GGGTCCAATAAAAAATATTTCATCTAATAAATATCCTTATTTTGTGACATTTATGGATGACTATTCTCGTATGACTTGGTTGTTTTTGATGAAAGCTCTATCTAAATTATTCTCTATATTTGAGACCTTTCGTAAGGAAATAAAAACTCAGTTTGGTTGTCATATACGTATTTTACATTCCGATAATGCTCGGGAATATGAATCTGATATTTTTTTAGCTTATCTTAGTAAAACTGACATTATTCATTAGACTTCTTGTGCTTACACCTCTCCACAAAATGGTGTTGTTGAACGCAAGAACTGTCATTTGTTGGAAGTCACCCCTGCCCTGTTATTCCAAATGAATATTCCCCGATATTATTGGAGTGATGTTGTCCTTACTGTTTGTCATCTTATTAATCGTATGTCATCCTCTGTGTTAAATGGGCAAAGTCCATATTCTTTCCTTTTTCTTGGTAAACCCTTATTTTCCCTAACTCCTAAGGTTTTTGGTTGTGTCTGTTATGTTCACAATTTGGGTCCTGAGTTTGACAAACTTGACCCTCAAACTACCAAATATGTTTTTCTTGGTTACTCCCGCACGCAGAAAGGATATTGTTGCTACAGTCCTTCTCTGCACCGATACTTTACTACTGCCGATGTCACATTTGAAGAATCTGTTCCCTACTTTCCAGCACCTTCTCAGCCTTTGGATCTGGACTTTGGATCATCTCCTGTACCACTATCTCTTTCCTCATCTTCAGATATTCCGCTGCCCACTGTGTTACCATCTACTTTACCTCTCCGTGTCTATTCTCGCCGTCCTCGCCCATCGCCTGAGGTGCCCGTACCATCTTCCTTGCCTCCTTCTGATTCTGGTACATCAAGTAATTTAGACTCTTTACCTATTGCTCTTCGCAAAGGTACTCGTTCGTGTGTTACTAATCATCCCATTTCTCATTTTGTTTCATATGATGCCTTGTATACTGTCTTCTCCTGTTTTACTTCCCAATTATCTGCTATATCTGTTCCTAAACATTTTCAAGATGCATTATCTGATCCGGGTTAAAGAAAAGCTATGGAGGAGGAGATGGATGCTTTACATCATAATGGGACTTGGGATCTCGTTCTTTTACCCCTGGTAAATTAACTGTTGGCTGTCGTTGGGTGTATACTATTAAATTTCATCCAGATGGTTCTGTGGAGCGTCTTAAAGCCCAGCTTGTTGCAAAGAGCTTTACTCAGACTTATGGTATTGATTATGAGGAGACTTTTTCTCTTGTTGCCAAAATTTCTTCTGTTCGTATCTTGATTTCTTTAGCGGCTAATCTTGATTAGCCCTTGTTTCAGTTAGACGTCAAGAATGTCTTCTTACATGGTGACTTAGTTGAAGAGGTATACATGGAGCAGCCACCTGAGTTTACTGCTCAGGAGGAGTATGGTCAGAGTATATGTCAGTTAAAGAAATCTTTGTATGGTTTAAAGCAGTCACCGAGGGCATGGTTTGGTAAGTTTTCAAATACAATTTTAGAGTTTGGTCTTCTTCGATGTCAGACAGATCATTTTGTGTTTCATAGACAGACAGATGTTGGATATGTCCTATTGGTAGTCTATGTAGATGATATTGTGATTACTGAAAATAATTCTGAAGGGATTGTCAAGTTAAAAATATTCTTACTGGATCGATTTCATACTAAGGATTTGAAAAAACTCAGGTATTTCTTGGGTATTGAGGTGGCTAGATCTAAACAAGGTATTTGTTTATCTCAGACGAAATACTTGAAAAAGCAGGTTTGCTAGGTGGTAGACTGATTGATGTTCCTATGGATCCGAACCAGAAATTATTGTTTAATGATGGTGCATTGTTTGAGAATCTGATTTGATATCGCAGATTGATTGGGAAGCTTAATTATCTCACTATTACTCGACCAAAAATTTCCTATACAGTCAGTATACTAAGTCAGTTCCTGGGATGTCCTAGAGTACCACATTGGGAGGCAGTTACTCGTATTTTGTGATATCTCAAACGAGCTCCTGAACTTGGACTGTTATATCGAGCTAATGGACATTTTAGAGTAGAAGGTTTCTCAGATGCTGATTGGGCTGACTCTCCTTCTGATCGAAAANAACAACCTGAAAGTGTATTGAAGAATTAGGATTGGTCTACCTCTCTTTCTCTAATTGGTTTCAGGAAATTGTGCTTATGCTTTCAATTTGATCAGTTTCACGCAAAAGTTTTGTTCGTCTATGGATTTTTTTGGAATATTTTTCATGTTGTGCTTGTATCAACAGTTCTAAAAATTGTTGGTTTGTTTTGGGTTCACATGACTTTGAATTTTCAGTTTCGTTTTGTTTTCTATANATGGCACATACGACGAGTGAGTTGACTTGGCTACTACACTTCCTCCAAGAAATTGGATTTCCAGTTCAACTTCCTTTACAGTTGAACTAAATAGAGAACTAGATATTGACAACCAGACAGCTATCAATATCTCTACCAATCTTGTGTTTCACGAGAGAACTAAATATATTGAGGTTGATTGTCATTTTATTCGAGACAAGATATTAACGGGGGAGATTACAACTTCATTTGTGAAATCTGAAGATCAGCTTGCAGATATGTTTACTACAGCATTGAGTCGTACATGTCTTACAGCTATTTGTTTCAAACTTAGATTATATGATATATATAGTCCAGCTTGAAGGGGAGTGTTAAGAATAGTAGGGTAGTATGTGTAATTTGTTAATAGTAAGAGGGTGTATGTGTAATTATTGTTATTGTAGGTTAACTATAAATACAAGTTTGTATGAGAGCTAGGTTAAGTTTTAACCTCTCTCTGTTTTCTCTAATATTGTGTTAATTCTCCACACTTAACACCCTCAAACAATGACAATAAGACATTTTTGTATTCTAGAGTAAATGGGATATTTAACCTAAATAATGAACTATAGATTCAACTGCCATGTCTTTGTTGTTATTGTACCTCTCTCCATCTCTTCACTTGACCGTCACTCCCCTCTCTCCTATGTGTTTAAGGCTCCACAAAAAAAATCAGGTGAAGAGACACTCATATCAAATATGTAAAGACAAGATTATGTTTCATTTAATAATTTCACTAATAGTATTTATGTTCACTATTTATTTAATTTCAAACAGCCGAAGACCCCAAGAGTCAGGAAAGCCTATGAAGTTCTTGCCTCTCTCTTGGATTGTCTTTGCTCTTGACGGAAATAATGCTAATGATTTCGGTCGTGGGACTACGCTGGAGAGTTGTATCTCTTTGGGATCTTTTTTTTTTTTTTTTTTTTGCTTCTTTAGAGACTTCACATCTAATCATGGAACTCATGATGTAACAACCTGAAAGTGTATTGAAGAATTAGGATTGGTCTACCTCTCTTTCTCTAATTGGTTTCAGGAAATTGTGCTTATGCTTTCAATTTGATCAGTTTCACGCAAAAGTTTTGTTCGTCTATGGATTTTTTTGGAATATTTTTCATGTTGTGCTTGTATCAACAGTTCTAAAAATTGTTGGTTTGTTTTGGGTTCACATGACTTTGAATTTTCAGTTTCGTTTTGTTTTCTATAAAGAGAGAATTACTAAACAATCCCAAACTAAAGCTGCGATAGCAGACTTTGGAACAACTTATGAGCAAGGATTTGATTTGTGTATTGGCTCGTGTCTGGAAATTTTATTTCAGGTGGTATAGTTCACATGATTTAGGTTTTTGGAATAATTAAAGATAATGTCTAACACCCTCACCTATAGATGCATGGTTGCAAAACAGCAACTTTGAATTTTCCAAGTCTCAACTGCCAACATATCCCAGCTTTCTCTTTTACCAGCATTATGGAAAATTAGAAGAATACCATATGGAATAGATGCTTCCCTTCATCCTATAATCATTCTAGCAATTGAATGGTATTTTGTGTATTTTTATACTAAATTTTTAAGGGCCAATTATTATTATTGTTTTTTTTGACAAAAACGGTAGAAATTTCATTATAAAGAGATCATCTTGGAGGAGTTCAATAAAATCAAGTGCACAGTCCTTCCATATATCAAAAGAGTAAACAAATTTAGCATGTCTCGCTTACTGATACATTTGATGCCCCCATTACCAATCTGGCATACATGACTCTTGGATACAATGAAAACTGATATCAAATGTCAAATATCTTCTAAAATAGCATCTAGGGTTGTCACTGGTTTTGAGTAATGAGTCCTTAATTTTGTGTTTCAATTTTTACGAATGGGATTTCTAAAAACACAACTTTCAAAGATAAAATGGAGACCAATGTGTTTCATAACAAATATTCTATTAAATATTAGTTTAGCTAGAATCTTTTAGGGGTTTTCCTACATAACATGATTTCTGAGTGCGGTAATCATTGATGTTTATTATAGTTGTGAATTTGGAAAGAGTGATCCACGACTTTGTCCAATATTTCATACATAGAATATCCACGTGCAACGCACATGGGCAATAACTAGTATTTATAGAGCCAGAGAGAGACTGGAAGTCGCAAAGACATAAGCGACGTGAAACATCTCTCTCCATGCAAAATCACTAGTCATGTGCAATCTATCCATTGCCAATAGTTCATGCCAAAAGCTGCAAGTTTTCTTGCCAATCCGTGATATCATGTCCTCATAGAACATGAAGTTCAACCATAGCCCCCTTCCAAAAAAAATCCACTTGGTATCTAACTTGGAAATATGAGAAACGAAAGATCATATCGACAAATGTACATTCAATTAAATCGTTGTTTTTTTATTCATCTATACTGTAGAATCTGCATGCCAGAACAGGAAATTCAAATTTCTCAAAATCTTTATCAATGATATATAGCAACTCTAAGAGAGAAAAAATAATCAACAATGGGTCAATGTAATGCTTATTCACTGTAATGCTTATTCAAAGAAACTGTTTTTTTTTATCACGTCATGCATTCCTAACAGTTGGCAGAAAGATGCAGGCTGACCAAGAACCAAGAACATTAAGGAACAGGACATAGGGAACTAAACTAAGAACAGAATTGCAGGACTCACAGGAATCCGAATTACATCATCTCTTTCCCATCCAAGAGCATTGTACACAACAACGATCTACAAAAAAGAAGTCACTGATTAGTCACTAGATGATGCTTTTCCAAGTAAGAATTGGAAGCTGTAGTTATTATTGGCAAACAGAATGAATTGAAAAAAAATTCTTACCAAGTTTTTCCCCTGTGCGAGATCAATTTCTGATGAAGGACAGTAACTTATATTCAGAAGTGGACACTGAAAAAGAAATTTGAAAATCGTAGTCCATTTTTGCTTATATTAAAGATACACAAAATAAGTTAAAAGGATCTCTCTAGGAAAAGTAATACAGCACATCAAGTGAATATTCAGAATATCAAAATCATGCTATCAATGACCTTTATGTCATGAGTATTGAGTCATTTTGCTTTCCAAAAGCTAAAATAATCAAATAGACTGACAGAGATCAAATTAAAGCTAAACTAGACATGTCAGAACTGAAATGTCAGAAAAAAATAAATAAATAATTCTGCGTTTAGCACTCTGGCAAAACCTGGCTTCCTCCCCATAGTTATGCACAAAGTAAGAAACAAAGGAGAATACTGGATGCAGTTTCTATTTGAGATATATGCAGATGTCCATCAGAGTTAACAAAGTTTAAGTCTCGAAAAAATACGCTCTGATTTAGTCACCAAGAAGGAACTAAATGAGATTTGACAACAGTTAACGAGGACCGTGACACATCCATCTATCAGCCAATGAGAAGGAAATAACTCAGTATGATAAAGCTCATGATGTTTTGCCTGCTGAAAGTTTGTTGTTGAGTTCCCACACTCAGCATATATTGTTCACTTAGTCAAGCATGCGAGTGAGGATGCCACTATTTCTTCAGCCTGCATACGGATCATGGATCAGTGAGTAACATTTCTGAATTCAGTGAAAGGAACGGATTCAAGGAAAAAAATGGTCAAACTAAATCTGCACCTCCACATAGCCCATTGACAGTCTTTTTGCATAATCATTAGCCAGATGTTGCTTCTCTGTTCCAGTAACTGCATCATGATGCTGAGCAATTGCCAAAGCATCCGCTAATGTGTCTGTGTTGGGCCTGGAATTTCCTCTTACTTTAAAAAATTCAAGTTGCCTCGCTGCCTAATCATATAGAAGATCTTTAAGGATCATAACCAACGATAGTATCAAGTCTCTGACTGTTAATTCCTTGATTAAAAATTCAAGTGAACCAACCAAATAATAACAACTCAACATTCTGACATAACATTTGAAGGCTGGTCTGCTTGTAAAGTATCCTGTCCAGTAATTATTTGCACGATCTGCATAACTGACAACACACATGCTTCAATCTCTAAGAAAGGACCAACCATAAGAAAAGAGATAATTTCAATATCCAAACATCTAACTCACGGAAAGAAATCATCGGTCTTGGTTGGCCAGAATCTATCCGTTGCATGTTTTGCATCAGTATATATGGATGGAGTTGAATAGAGTGCATTTACATGTCCATCCTGGAAGCATTTGAAATCAAACCAATTCTTAATGGCAACTTTGCCTCAGATAATTAAAAAGACCGAAAAATGAAGCTAAATCACGATTCATGTGATTCAAATTCTGCATAAAAATTACTAAGATAGGATTAAAGAACTAAACCGATAAAGAAGAAACAACCAGCCAAAATGGAAAACTACTATGTATGTGACATACTTTCTAACTCAAGAACGGACATCATAGAGGCAGGACAGCGATGAGTTTAACAGATGATGCCAGTGTATATCTATTGTGTTGGCTAACATTTGGTATGACAAAAACATAGTCTGTGACTACATCTAATCATTGCCAACAGTGATACAAGTTGGGTACTTCGTGGTTGACACAAGTTCACTAATCTGATTTACAAGATTGGTATGTTTGGGAATTGATTTTGGCATTCAAGCGGAGTCGTTTACTTCATGTCAAGCTTCGGAATATCCCACAAGTTTAAGAATGGTGAGTTGACTTAGACACCATAGTCAAACACCTTGGTTAATTAAATGGTTATTCTTTGAATTGAGATTGTGTATAATGTGGACCATAACTTTTATTAGAAAACTAGGTTTTAAACTACAAAAACTCAAACTATAACGTTACCGGTGGAATGATCGTTCAAATGAGCTTCGTTGGGATTTTAAATTTTTAATTCCAGAGAGCATTGTTTGGCATGCGTTTGATGTTTGTTTGAATGATCGAAACTAGAGGGCATTCAAATGGCCTTGATTGATGTTCTAATGGTCTATGCAGATTCAGTATTTAAAATAGGGTTTTGTGTTACCCTGACCCATGAATGAAATTGATTAACAGCAGGCATTTATGAGAACTACAAATTTTGAAAAACTTAACACAAACTTACCATGTTAACATAATGAATGAGCTTGTCCATCTGTCGGAACCACGTGTGCACGGACTGATACTTGAAATCTGTTCCCATGGTCCACATTATATGATTTGTTCGAGTTATGTTAGCCTGAAAATTCAACAACTGCCGTAAGCATTGACTGAGAAAGACTATAAAGGGAAAATTAAACTACTCTCGCCATTTTTACTAGACAATTAATCCAATAGAGATCTAGTTGGGATTGGGAATGAAGGATGTCAAGTATTGAGAGCCTATCCTCTATAAAATCAATATCTCCTATGAAATAAGTGGTGCTCACAGCAACTATACCTTTTCATACTATTATTTTGATTATTAAAATAGTTATAGGTATTCCCAGAGAAAACTTCCAAACATAATATGTATATTCATATGTTGCATCTCATACATGGTTCAAAGTATCGGCAGAGTCGCGAGTCATATTCGACTCGGCACCTTCTGAGACGATATCGTTATACGATACGTACAAATCCCGAGTCTTGCAAGACTCGGCCAAGTTGTATCCGAATCAATCCCGAGTCGCTGTATTATCGTCACCGAATCGGCCGATACGATTATACGACGCCGCGATATGACCTGCATCTCTTGTTATGTTCAATATTTTCTTTTAAGTCGTATCATCTGATACCGCACCGCGACACTGCGACCGATGTTCAGTTCTGCTCTCTCATTTATATAATATCTTCAAAAGAGGAATAAAATAAAAACTAAAGAAGGGGAGAAGGCTTCAAGAAGACAATACAAAAATATCAGCACCAAGAAACACCCTACACAAATTACTGCTNGCATCTCTTGTTATGTTCAATATTTTCTTTTAAGTCGTATCATCTGATACCGCACCACGACACTGCGACCGATGTTCAGTTCTGCTCTCTCATTTATATAATATCTTCAAAAGAGGAAGAAAATAAAAACTAAAGAAGGGGAGAAGGCTTCAAGAAGACAATACAAAAATATCAGCACCAAGAAACACTCTACACAAATTACTGTTGTTCTTTGACTCTGTTGATTCTTTATCAAATTGTCAATTTACTTAAAACTGACAACTGCGTAAAGCAGAAAGACGGAGTTCAACACAAAACTCCACCAGAGGAGGGGACAAAAAAATTCTTCTTCATTTCTGTGCTTAGGTAATATTTCTTATACACAATAGAGGGCAATACGTTCCTTCACTAGTTGACACCACCTTACAGCCAATTTGACTGGGTGAGATACCAGCATGTTCTCTGGAGGAAAGAATAGACAGCTATCAAATCACAAATACTACACATGCATGTGGCCCTACGATGACTTAATTTCTGCTCTACTTCTCATTAGGAGAAGTTGTTCTGCATCCTTTCAGGGAACCACCCATAGGAGGGCAGCAGCAGTGAAGCAACTGTTCCAATTGTAAGATTTTGCTGAGTTGTACACAAGTCTGCCTTACCTGTGAGACTACAGCAGCAACAAAATCATCAACTCGATCTTGAACATTGTAATCAAACAAGGTGATGTCATCCTTCATAAAAACAAGAAAGAAGGACTAAATACCCAAATATGTCTAAAAACAAGAGAATCACAACAAACCAGCAACTTTTGAAGGGGGATTACTTGCACAATAGGGGAAGCATCATTGACTTTAAAGTAGAAACTGGGAGGAGGTTCATAGTTTGCTGGGAAAGCTCCGGCGAAAATCTGAAATAATTGGAAAAAAATTGACAAGGAGTCGGGGAAATGCTCTTTTTATGTTGGCAAATAAAGAGAGCAAAGAAACGACATGAACAAAACACAATAAAGAAAATATTCACAACCAGCCCTTGTGGACCTGCGCAGACGAACCAAGACTCTTAGAACCCTGCCACACCACTTCAAGACTCTTCTCATTTTTACGCTTTGCCCTGTCTTGGTAATCAATTCGCCCAAAGAAAAATGCGTCAAATCCAACCTACACAAATTAAAATACATAGTCCATTATTTATGACAGAATGCATGTAGGTTGCTCTTTTTTGTCCAATAGCATTCGTTTGGCAATTTCAGCTTTTTCACTACATTTATTTTGTTTCTGCATTATTTCTGAAAGAAGAGAATGTCAGAAAAGATACAGGAAGCTAGAGATAGAAAGAGGCTTACTTCTGCTCCTAGCAAGGAAGCCTGCACAGCAGAATGCCCAAATGGGTCAATTTGCCAACCAATTCGTGGAGTCAGACCAGATTCCTCCTTTATAAATTGGTGCCCCAAAGTTGTCTGATCAATCATGTCAATGTAATGTGGTGTTGCCTCATCATGCATGCACATACCCCCATTTCTGCGAGAAGAACATGCAGGGTGATCTCAACAAAAATTCGGATTTCAAAAAATCCCCTAAATCAATCTGAGCAAACAAAGAAAAAGGTACTGAATTTATGCATCCCATGCAAGACAATAAGAGGTTGAGATAGTGTGACTGGCTTTGTTAAGTAATTATCATCAAAATTGCTAAAAGTTCTGAAAGAGCATGAATGGGAAGAAAATTTATGACGACAATACATGAACTCTAGTTGACCAGAGCTAACGAGCTGCTTGACTGCTCGCTGGATCTCTTCACTCTGGTCCCTCCACCAACGCTGGAAAAATGCCTGCAATATTCAAGAAAGATTGGTTATATGACATCTGAAAACAGAACAGAACCCTCGGTACCACGGATTGGACATAAAGTCATGATGCTTGTAGGTACCATTGCACCTTAAATCATAAGACTGTATAATACTAATATCTTGTAGAGCTAGCTGAGAAACAAGACACTGCCCCAGTGTTGGCCTCATCGACCAACTATGCTGCAAGGGTTGGACCAGTTATGTGACCCCATATACTGAACAACATCATTGCACTAAGCAAAGGCTACTAAGTGGCAAAAGATATGTCCATACAGACTGAGGTTTTTTCAGCTATAGTCATGTATCAAAGGGTATATGCAAATAGTCTTCCGGCGAAAATTCTATTGACAAGGACATCATGTATACTTCAAAACTCCAATGAACAAAGTTAACACTTGAAGAGTAAAAAGGATTCTGTTAATTGTGATACCTAGACATTTAGACAAAGAAGAGTGCCACCACCAGTTCAAAATCACTAACAATAAAAAATGTGTTAGTAAAACTTAAAGTCACTTGCCTTAAGAGAAGTTGCCAACATAAAATATTTTTCTGTGATGATTTCAAAAGATACATTGTTCAGATTGTGGCAATGCCTGTCTTTGAGAATAGAGTATATTTCCATTACCAAGATTATCACAAGAGTAGTTACATGATAACCCAACCGCTAACAACAAGTTATCAATCAAAAAGAAGACAAGTCAATGGCTTAGACATCCTAACAACTACCAGGCCATTATGTGAATTCACTTCACCCACTGATGATGTAATGGTGGTATAGCAATCAGTTCTGACACAGGGACAATGATAGGAACATCAAGGTAATGCGTGCCAACTTTTTCTGAAGAACTTGTAAACTACAAGCTCCCTCAACTTCCTAGAGTCAATTAAAGAGAAAGATTCGAAATGCTTTGATCAAACTACAAATCATCCTACAAGAAATACATTATAAATCATCGCCAATAACTGGTTAAATTGCTTATATAAAAAAGTATATCTCACCCATAGAATTAAATAAATTTTCTGCTTAAGAAAGGAGCCAGTAATCTAAAACAATGGAGGCACCGTACGCATATTACGAGCACGGCAACATTATTTTTTGATACTTTTAAGTTCTCATCAATAGACATGTCACTGAATAGAAATGAGATTATAGGGTTTCTCCGTTTATGTATTGTAAAGTCAAACTTCATACTCTATTCTTCTCATATGCAAACGAACTACACTCTCTTAATTACTTACTCTGATAATATTAGCTTCCTTGTTCAGAAATTACTGGAACGAGCACATATGGAACTGAATCAACAGAATGAAGTATTAGGCCAGTAGCAATAATAGAAAGAGATAGAACATACTTGCCTGTTCAACNCTCTGATAATATTAGCTTCCTTGTTCAGAAATTACTGGAACGAGCACATATGGAACTGAATCAACAGAATGAAGTACTAGGCCAGTAGCAATTATAGAAAGAGATAGAACATACTTGCCTGTTCAACAAATACGAATCTCGTGCTCTCGTCAGGCAAAAGTGCAGGATAAGCGAGTCCAAAACATTTCGCACGCATGCTCCCTACAGTTACGATTTACATCATAAAATTAGTTTAGAAAAATATAAGAGTTATTATGGTATCAAATTAGAATCATTACGCATGAATTTGTGAGAATGAATGTGTGTGTGTGTGAGAGAGAGAGAGGCCTGGATTGAGTTGTTAGAATCAACGTAGTACTGATCAACGGTCTTTAACCAGCCAACATCATCGTGTGTGTNATAAGAGTTATTATGGTATCAAATTAGAATCATTACGCATGAATTTGTGAGAATGAGTGTGTGTGTGTGTGTGTGTGTGAGAGAGAGAGAGAGAGAGAGAGACCTGGATTGAGTTGTTAGAATCAACGTAGTACTGATCAACGGTCTTTAACCAGCCAACATCATCGTGTGTGTGGGGCACCAAATGAACGTTGAGTTTATCAGGGACGACACCTTGCCTAGTATTGTAAACCATATACTTGGATTCTGCGCATGAGTCAAGACTCGCATAAAGAACCATTAACAAAAAAGCCGTAATCCCCATTCGATCTTAAGGAAGGGAAGGGATGGTGCTTCCGTGAGTGAGTGAGTGAGTGAGTGCAACTGCAAAGACGCTTCACTTCAACTTCATTCAAGGGAGAGTGAAGGGTTTCTACTACTTGTAAAATTATCACNAAAGAACCATTAACAAAAAAGCCGTAATCCCCATTCGATCTTAAGGAAGGGAAGGGCTGGTGCTTCTGTGAGTGAGTGAGTGAGTGCAACTGCAAAGACGCTTCACTTCAACTTCATTCAAGGGAGAGTGAAGGGTTTCTACTTTGTAAAATTATCGCAGACAGAGGAGGTGTCGGAGTGAAGAGGTTCCCTCCCACAGCGAGTTTTAATTTTAAAGCTTCTGTTTATTTTGTAGGGACAACATGCTATGCAGTGGTTTTTGTCTTCTAATTGTTTTTGGTCTTTCCTGCACTTTCGTGTTTTTTGGTGAAGTGTCAGCGTCCCCTTGGATATTGTTCTTATTCTATTTTTATAATTTACTCAGAAACATATTAATATGACACACATTAAACACTTATAACTACCACAGTCTGACCGTATATGTGATGGCATACCATTTAAAAAAAAAGCAACAATGAGAGTAAAAAAGTTGCACCAATTAGATCGCCATCGCTCTCAACTCTCCGCACATCCAACTCCTTGGCTAAACTTCAAAGGAAGAACATGCTCTGCCCCACAAGTTTCCAAGTCCGGAGTGCACGTAACACTCTACCATCCACCCCTACAGCCTACCTTACAGCAGGAGCGGGGTTAAGTAAAATAATACTAATTCTTAATTTTATACCAACACTGTTTAAACATTCGCATTCACTCACTCCTATGTAACTCCAAATTCAAACACAAATCTAAACTATATATCTAATTATCTATCTATCTATCTTCCCACGTCTCTCTGAAAGAAACAAACAAACGTGGATTAAAAACATTTTGTCTTTATAAATGATTTACTAATTTTATTAAGCGTATTTTGCACTTGAGGTGGGGACTATGATCTCTCCTTTTTATCCAAAAAATTTTAAACATGAAACTAACTCACAGCTTTCTTTCCTTCCTCGGTATAACAAACAGTATTAAGTTTATTGTGATCAGACCATTGGAACAGTAGTGATATTATTTTCTTTTTCTTTTTTCGAGTTTAATAATTTTCTTCCTTCTTAAAACGGGTTTACACCATTTAATTCAGCCATCATGGGAAGAACTTACATATAGAGAGGGGAGATGCCTGGGAAGTATGAGAATACATAACAATTTTCTCATCCACATGTCATGAAACTTTCTTCTTTTAAGACCCACACATTTTTATGTAATCAAAGTCGATACAGAAGGTCCGGATTTCCATTGGCGCAAGCTCCACCTCCAGCTTTACAGGATCAACAGGACCTCCCCTCGCAACATTGGGCTCTCCTGAAGAGCCTTCTACTTTCCAAACTAGTCTTCTCTTCTCCATTTCACCTCTTTCTTGATTGGCAGACAAATTCATCTCTGTTAACCTTCTAATCTGGAAAAAAAAAAAATATGGGAAATGAAATAAATATCAGTATGCATCACCCCAAGGAAAAGAGCAATAAAGGGATATCTATCTATGGTTTTACCTTCTTGTTTGGGAATAGCCTTTTTAGTTCCACACTTGTCATTACAGAATAATCTTTATCCTCCCCCGTCTTTGCAGATACCCCAACACCCACAGAAGCATGAAATTAGGTTCCATGGCAATAAATGTTAGACTGAAAAGGCAAAAGCTTACAGCTATACAAAAACATAAAATTCAAGATCCATTAGCAACCCATAAGTTAAAAAAAAAATGCCTTTAAGGTAGGAATGGGATGACTAAAAGAGAAATTAATCCTGAGCACGACTGTCATAAAGCCTTTCTTTAGCACAGTTATCATTGAAGATAATCCACTACCACCACATCCAAGAACGAACACCCAACCAATTCAAAATTCCCTCGTTTCAACAGAATTTCCAAAGTAAAATCCTGCGACTTTCAAGTTAGAGACTATGATTTCACTTTTAGGTTAGAAATAGGACCGCAAACTTTCTAAAAGTATCAGAAACTTGGATGGGATACACAGTAACAATACAAATAGCCGTAAAACCAGGGATTCTCTGCAAGCCTTAGATGGGTCTATCAGAAAGAAGAAAGTCTTTAATTTTTTGTCTTGATGACAAGTATGCTTCATGTTCCCCTCGACATCGGAAGTCCAGCTTCAAGCGATCAATGAAACTGATAATGGAAAGCAATTTAATTTCTAAAACTGGTCCTCAGGATTTTAGTTCACTAACGAGGTGTTGAGAAACTATTTTTAATGATGTAACCATAAAAGATCTGAACATCATATGAAAATAAAATGGAAGTTAGAAGCTCAAACCTCATATAGGTGGGCTAACCGAAGGAGTACTTTCCCACTTTCAAGTTCCTGCAATCAGGAGAAAGAAGCAAATTTTATAAACTGATAAAGGGGGAGGAGCAAACCCAGCAGGGAACAGTAAAGTAGTATCAAAGGGAAATTCAGAACCACCATGCCCTAAATACTTGCATTTTGGTATTCCTGTACCTGGAGAGTTAGTATTGCAATATTGTTCGGTAAACTATAGGAAGGATCAACGGCTGAAAAGGTTGGGACATGAGAGTTCATCCAATTATTTCCATCCTGCATTACAGGAAACAATCATCAAGTTATGCAGCATTTTTTGCACCAAGTCAATTTTCAGATAGAGATACTCTACCTGTTCTGTGAATGCTAAAAGAAGTGGAGAATAGATCTCTTGGCCAAATGTCCGACGCCACTTCGCCCCTTCTCCTAGAGGGTCAATTCTAAGATAAAATTTCCCTTGAACCTGCAGCACAACAGTAATGAATATGAGTTGCACTGCTTCAATAAGCAAACTAAATCTCAAAGAGGGGAAATGTGAAAGGAAGGAAGATGAGGTAATTGATGATCAAATTCAATCCTAGTCAAACTATATACAACTCAGCATTCCTTTAATAACTTACAGTGAAAACTAATTTGGTCCTAGTTATATATCAATATTCTTAAGGCTTTTAGTGATAGGAGCATAATCAAAAATGTGCAAGCAAGAAACAGCACTATTTTGTAGTAGCAATATACTATTATAGCTTATAGCTCCCAACAACATAGGTCACTGGGAAAAAACACAAACAGCAGGCAATCTAGAAGCAACTTGGAGATAGTTTAGACAAGGGAGCTCGTCCATGATTGTTTAGCTTGCAGTTGAAGTGAAAAAAACAATTTCAGAACTTCCAAACCATCCCACCTTAGTTATTTGATGATTTCAAAGAGATGCCCTTCTCAATCAACTTATTTTAAATCTTGCTTGTCTATATAAAGACAATTTGGGCCTGCCTCCCCTTTGCCTCATAAATCAACCTCCACAAGAACTTAAGCACCATGGCCATTTGTGTGTTGCATAAGTATGTCACCAAAAATTTTGAATATGACGTCCATATAGGATGTACGCAGCAAAAGGTTGATTTGAAAAAAGCACATAGGCTGATATGCTTCAATTGTATGTCAAATTTTTAGCGTGTATCTTAAAGTACTAAACTAAAGGTGGAACTTAACACTGTCTTTGTTCTTATCTTTTGTTATGTGGTCGGGGTTAAAAACGCAATAAATTACATGGAAACATTATGGAATCAGACACTTGGGGACTATGCAACAAACAAAATATTGAAATGGTACCTAAAACATTGAGGGGGAAGAGAGGAAATCATTAGACACGATCCCTATGAAGAGAGTTTGTACCCCAGATCAAAAAATTAAGGCCACCCAAGTGTAGTTTATGTCTTTGAGGGACCTCTCCACCCCTATTTTTTTATTTTATTTTATAAGAAACAACTTTTTTGAATAATGCGTAAAGAAACATCACAATAATTCATCAAAAAGACAAATCAAATGTTTACAAGACGTCCAACCCAAAAATACATCAAAACAAAAACATACAAAACACATCCGCAACCAGCCTCTCAGCCCATAGCCAATTGAAATTGGAATGGATGCCTTCAGTATTGTATCAGAGCCTTAGATAGTCAATAAGCCAGGTCTCTCCACCATTTAAATTTCCCAATGTGTTTGTCTAACTATTTTGTTTGGATGGTTAGTCCACGTGCAAGCCTATATTCCATGTGAGGAAGGGTATGAAGAGAGATTGGTTCTGACAAAGAAAAATTAGGACAACCAGAGGTTGTTATATTTGGTTGAGGGGCCTATCCACCTATACCCAATTGGTTTTGGTAGAATCCTCTAGAAGGGCCATGCCTATCCTGTTCTGCCACAATCACAGTATGTTTTGATATCATGTACCAAGACCAAAGTCAACAAGGCGTATAAGACAGATACCCTGGAGAAAATTTTTAAGTTCCACACACATGGTAGGAGAAAATGGCACAATAATTATGATAAGCTGTCCAAGCAACCCAGTGAGAAATTTCAAGAAAGAAATGAGATGTGCTTGTTTCCCAGTAATAGGACCAATGGTAATTGGACAAGAGCAACAGCCTGAAATACAGTGGGCACTAGGAAAACTTTGGTCGATTGGAGATCTTCACTAAGTGCTATTTTCAACATTATGTTATGATCCATACCATTCATGCGATTGTGAATGAATATCAATTGGTAAGATATGCTCACCGTTAAACCCTTGCAATCATTAAGGACACAAACTGTTTCGTTTAATGCCTCTCCTACACCTCTAGTATCATCATGAATCAGCCTCCTATACAATAAAAGAAAAATATGTTAGGTATCAGACAATGTAATGAATTTCAATTACCAATAAAGAAAAGCATCAAAGCAGTATGAATTCAATTTAAGAACAAAAAAACAATAATGTAATATACAATGAGGCAAAAAAAACCTATGGAGCATCAGCTCTATTTGACCATCCACCAAACTGGATCCACCCACTGCGCGGTCCACCAAAACGGATAGCTCCGTGCTATGATCTTCCACATAAATCCCTAGATTTATCTAAAAGAAGGAGAAAGGATAAATGAAAGAGTTGGGCAAAGAAACCATCAAAATGGACATCAGCAGTCAAAGTATTTCTGGACAAGCATTTATTGAAAGGCCAAATAACTGGGAAGATGTCAGTAGCCATTGCCATAAGAATTCCTACATACTAAATAAACTAGAACAAAGAAGATCGGTTTTTGAAACAGAATCTGTTGAAAAGGAAAAATCGCTTGGATCAACAGCACTAACAACTTGCTTTTAAACTTATCGGATTAATCCTCCAGCTTGACATTATAGAAACTCGATATCACACAAAATTTTATTCATGAAAAGTTGTAGGAATAACTTGCAACCTGATTATAGAAAAAGGAAGACAGACCAAACATATCTCAGCTAATAGTTAAGACAGGAATGACTTACAGGGTAATAATTTCCAGCAATTGGTTGGTGCACCTGCAGTTCCCAGTCTGCTCTGTAATTTCGAACCTGCAAAAGAGAAAGTTTGATTCAAACAATTAGATACCTTCAAGTATGGGAAGTCAGAGGCTAGCATTATACTATTAGATACCAGTTTCTAATAGTATCAAAACGGGTAATGTAGTGAATTTCATAAGCAACATTAAGTCAATCTTCTCATCTATATCCCCCTCTTCACATAACCACATCAAAATTTCCACCCCGATGCTTTGAAAGCACGTGTCGAGAAATATTGTTTGTAACAAGAAGACATGAAATATAGCTATATAAATTCCTCAGCTTGTCACCAAGTTTAACTAATTCAATAACCAAAACAACCATGACAAAATTGTAGATATTTCAAATATCAAACATTGGCATACCCTTTTAATGAAGTCCCGCCCATTAGAATCCGTATAGAATGTTTTATTGGTCTTCAAGGCAGTTGTAATTTGAGTTGTTATTTCTTTGCCAACTTCATCATCCACAGGTATTGGTCCAATCTAAAATAAAAATGCACAGACAACAAATAAATCCTCCCGTATTTGAAAAAATTTAGAATCATTTTGGTTATGTTATGGATAATTGTCAGAGGTATACTTACATAGAACTCAACTTCAGCATGTTCTTTTTCCTTGTATACCCTGGTGACCTACATGTGTTTGTTTTTTGAAAGTGTAAGCACATAATTGATGGCTAAATTCTGGAATTTTGGACAAATCCTCAATAAGATTGAACTAGAAAATATAGACATGACTTCGCAAGTATGAGCCAGCTGACCTAGTTGGTAAAATCTTTGGGTAGTCGTGCCTTCATCCAGGTTGGGAGGTTTGTGTGTGTGTGTAGGGGTTTTTTTTTTTTTTTTTTTTTTTTTGGGGGGGGGGGGTTGTATCCACAACTGTATCCAAGTTCATTACCTTTGGATACAGGAAAAATCTAAATATGAAAGCAAATGTGTAACAGAGGAAGAGAGTGATGCCAAAAGCAAAATAAAGTATTTCCAGATATGACTGGGTATACAAGTGCAGAAAGGAGTGATGAGACATGACAGATGAGAAAACTCCAACTAAAAGCAAAAAACGTAGAGCACTATATTCCTTTGACCAGGAAACCACCTGATACATCCATGAATTAAATTGCTGATGAACTTCATCCATTATGGGACCCCGCATGACAGTTAGAGAAACCTGGAATAATCATTTCCATTTTCTATGAGAAACTATGCCTTAAAAATGACAAAAAATACAGTAGAAGTGCCTCATCAAAACAGTATAGGAGAATGGTTTACCTGGCCTTCAGACTTTATGGGGAATGTACCATTTGGACGGAAGATATATGCTCCAGAGGCCTTTGACAATTTGCAAAAGATAATTGTTTATGCGCATGATGAAAACTATGTCAGGGCCATGGAGATCGAGACAAAAACTAACTTTGGTCGGGAAAAATAAGCTTACCTGATTTTCTCTATCAGTCCCATTGTACCCTGAATAATAACGGTATGATTGTTCAGCAAATGCTGTAATCTTCAGTGATGAACCAAAAAGGACAAAAGAGTTAGCTTTCCATGCTCTATAATCATCAATATTTTCACATATCACTTCAATATTTGGTTGAGCCATGTTGTGAGGATCATGTAGGTGCTATCATGTGATTCATATAGAACTTTCAAATATTAGAAGTTCCTGCACGAGATACAAGGAACTTTTCTGAAAGTAAAATGCAACTAAACAATAAGCTCATTCCCATCATTATTGTTTTAATGGAAAACAAAAATCAAAGAAGGAAAACACTGGAATCAAATACAATTGTGAATTGCAAAATTTAAGTATCAGAAATATAGCATACCAAATTTCTCCTATTGATGTAACGAGTAAGCTTTCCTTCATCTACATTATAAAGCAGCTTTAGATTTCCTTGGCCAATTTCTAAGGTATCATCGATACTTCCTTCAGATGTGTACACTGTTGAGATTGTTGAACCTGCACCAGCTTGACAGAGATTTCAATAACTTATTGTCAACTGTAGCATGGAAATATGTTTCACTATGTATTACAATTTAGAGGAGCAAACCACAAGCCCTGGAACAGGATAGTTAACCTGTCTGTTTTGCATGTGAGATAATATAAGTGTTGAAACCAAGAGGAGGTACAGATGCTAAAAAGGCAAGCCAATATTTAGGAGAGCCACTTGGGGATCCACCCAAATATGCTTTGACATAATAATTTCTGATGCTCAAAGAGACATTGGAGATAGGAAGAAGCTGAGATTCAACTTCTTTTCCAGCAGGATCCAGAACACTTATCCTCTCAGACGAAACCTGTAGAATGTTACTTTAGCAGATATTTTACACAATTCAACAAATGAACAAAAATTTATGTCGACAAATGGCGGTGTTATGCAAATAATTGCCAAATATTTAACCTTTTCAGTATTAAGTGATTTATGTCCCCTGATTTTTTTTTAAAAAAAAAAAAGCTCCCAATCAAAATTGCAACTCTCTTTTTGGTTTCATTGGTTTTGTGTTTACAAAATTGAACATCAGCCAAGAAAACAACCTCAAAGTTTGAAACTCCGATTTTGAGGTGCTCATTCAGCACAATCTAAATAAAATTACTGTATTAGTCACTAAGGAGGCATTGCAATGAGTATTTGCCCATTGGGTTCAAAAAAACAGTTCATGAAACAGAATTGAGGGATGCTCGGACCTAGCAATTTATATACTAAAGAAACTGAACACTGCTTATGGAATAACCAGACATGATTTCCTTACCAAATTATCTAAATATTGAAGGTTTTTGTTATAATCATTTACATGATTATCAAAATCAGTTTCCAAATGTTTGAACTGATCATTATTACCAAGAATACACATTATTCATTAAATGAAGAGGAATAAAATGCAAATAACAAACAATATTAATTGTATGAACAAAAGCTGCAGGAAACCTATAGAATCTAGCAAATGATTCCAATGTCTACCAGTAGGGTATTAGTTTTGGGACATACAAGGTTCACATGGCATGGGGAGACGCTCACTGAGCAGTAATAGCAGAAGTCCTGTTGATCAATCTCTATCAACTCAGGGCCATTGAAACCACACTCCCAACTAATTCTCACTGTCTCTCAATCTTGCCCTCGTTTTTTGAGTTAATGTTTTGCTTAAGATAAAACAGAGACTGCGTCAAAGTCATTATAGATCTGGAAGTCACAATTACTTTTTTCTCAACAACAAAGAAATGTTATTTTTAGAATAAAGAAAAGTGCATGGGGTGAGACGTCCACCAATAAGGTAAGTAAAAACAAGGAGAAATTAAAAAAAAATGATAAATCATATATAGCTTTCCAACATCTCTAATCAAGAAAATCAGAGTAGCCAAAAACTAGGGAATCACTGAAATCCAAAAGGACGCCAAGTAGTAAATTCTATCCAAAATATTGCTTTACTCAAACTTATCTTCAAAGTTTCTAGCATCTCTCTAAAACAAGACCCAAAAGGTTGCCACACCAAATAGTAGTTATGATCTAGAATTAATATTATGTTGCAAGTTTTTTACATAATGCCTCTTTTCATAGAATGTATACCTGATATGTTCATAAATCCTTACAAGGACCTCAATTTATATCAGGCAAGTTTTAATTAAGAGGTGAACTCAAATAACCCCAACGTAACAATGTCAACTTGTCAAGTTATACAGAAATCATCACTATGAAATAAGCACCTCTCAAATTTCAAGCATGTGAATTGAAGTCATTATACAAGTTTGTTTCTCCGCAAGCAATTAATCAGCTGCATTGCTCTTTCTTCTTCTTCTTCGTTTCATTTATATCTTTTCGGAAAAAATCAAGTGAATCTGTATTCATCCACTAGATCGGAAACTTCTTCATCACCCACACAAGAGATGTTCTTCATAACTAATACATCACATGTAAGCTTCTAGCACGTTCATACACAACATTTAGAAAGAAGACGTGTTTAGAGTAAAGTGGCCGCACTCACAGGAATACGAATTACTTCTTCTCTCTTCCATCCTAAAGGATTGTACACAACTATAACCTGGAAAATATAAGAGAGCAGAAAATGATGGTGGTCTTCAAGGCAGAATAAATCCATAAGAAGTAGAGTGAATTTGTATTCTTACCAAATCTTTCCGATTAGACAAAGCAGATTCTGATGGTGGACAATAACTCATATTAAGAAGAGGACACTAGCAAAGACAAAATCCACATATCAGGATTTAGCATAATTTTTCCATGAAATGAAAAGGAAACGAAAAATATACTCAATTACAAAGTTGTTTTTTGTACGACCACATCCATATAAAGAATACAGCATCATACCAGACAAAATCGTTTGGTATCCAAGAGTTCAAATTCAAAACAATCCACAACTTATTACGTAAAATATACTTCATCAAGCAAAATAAAGAAATAAACAAAATCTGCTATCAAAAACAAGAAATATTCAACTTATCGTGTATATCATAGTGCTTATTGATGATTGGTGCTTCTTGTAAGAACATTTAGTAGGATAATTCACACGCAGTTTCAACAACAAAGAAAGCTATAGCGGAAGACTATGTAGAGACAACTTCTCGATTCTGTTTCCATTTTAGCGCAGAAAAACATTTTTTGGAAACACGATCAAAAAAATACATTCCCTCTTCCAGATATAATTCCATATCAAAAAAGTAATTGGTTTTGATAAGTGCACGATAAAGGTTTACATGTTATCAAACTACAAGTAGTGCAATTCCACTGCCATAGGCAAATGATGTTGATAACCTTAACAACACTAAATCAAATGTAAAAGCTAGTGACCATATATTGCCTGCTGAAACTTGGTGACTGAAGTCTTAGGCCTGGTACTTAATCTTGAATCTGTCAAGAAAGCCAGTGATGATGCAACCACCTCCTCAGCCTGCACAAAATTATTACTCAAACTGTTAGAATGTGTATCTTTAAAAATTCGAATGCTAGCAATAAATAAGGAAGAATTGAATTCACTTCATTATTGTTAGATCATTCCATTATCTAGGACTATAGCATGCAAAACTACAGAGCCAATGCAGCAAAAAGTGGGGTAAACATATGCCTTCGTGAGAACTGATATATCCGCAATGTCCATTTTCCTGTACCTCTGCATAGCCCATTGAAAGTCGCTTCGCATAATCATCTGACACATGCTGTCTTTCCGTACCACTGACAGCATCATGATGTTGAGCAATTGCCAAAGCATCAGCTAATGCATCTGTGTTTGGACCTGAACTACTCCTGCCCTTTAAGAATTCTAATTGCCTTGCTGCCTATTTTATTACCAAAAAAACATTAACTTTCTAAAACTGTAACAGCTCACCAGGATATAAACTGTATGACCACACTTTGACATAAAGTAAGAGATGTCNTTGCCTTGCTGCCTATTTTATTACCAAAAAAACATTAACTTTCTAAAACTGTAACATCTCACCAGGATATAAACTGTATGACCACACTTTGACATAAAGTAAGAGATGTCTGAAAATCTTACCAGGTAGTAACCACTCAACACTCTGACATAACCTTTAAGGCCTGGCCTACTTGTAAAGTAACCTGTCCAATATGCATTTTCCCGATCTGCATACCTGGAAAATGTTTTTGATTGCTTAAACAATTGGATTCCGAACTTCATTTTGGGATCAATACATAGTGATCAGGATTCCAATAGTTCACTCACGGGAAAAAATCACCCGTTTTAAGAGGCCATGGTTTATTTGCTGCATATTTTGCGTCTGTGTAAATGGATGGAGTCGAATACAGAGCATTAACACGCCCATCCTGAGAGTAATCCAAAGGTAAATGATTTAGCTACTTCAAAAATAGAGTTCGAAAACATTATACCGAGGATATGAAACCCTTACATAAACTGGAATAGATGCATCAATTTTCTTAATTCACCCATATCCCGGAATACATATAAAGATGAGTACCAGGTTAACATAATGAATAAATTTGTCCATCTGCCTGAACCATGAAACTGCATATTGATACCGAAAATCCTCCCCCATGGTCCACATTATATGGTTTGTCCTGGTCACTTCAGCCTGAAATTAAAAAAATGTAGTCGTATCTTAACTGCAACAACAATATCTTAGCGAATTTCAAGACATAAAATGGAAGTCTTGATTATACTTCAATGACATTCTTTATTTTACCTGTTTCACAGCAGCTGCTACAAAATCATCAACTCGCTCTTTAACATTATAGTCAAACAGGAGAACATCATCCTGCAGACAAAAAATTCATTGAAGAAGGTTTTAGAGCAGAAACATCAAAGCACAATCCATTTTGCATGAGTTTACCTGTATAGGAGGTGACACCTCATTAATTTCAAATGAAAAACCGTCAGGAGGACTGTAATGCTCAGGAAATATACCAGTGAATATCTGCATGATGAGAATATAATTTCCAAGATGTTACCCGGAAACCAAAGTACCACTCATCTATCAAGTCACACACTATGAAAGGCAAAACAAATTTTGAAATCCCTAACCTGCGAAGATGAACCAAGGGACTTAGAACCCTGCCACACAACCTCAAGAGTCTTTTCATCTTTTCGATTAGCTCTGTCTTGGTAATCAATTCGAGCGAAAAATAGAGAGTCAAATCCTAACTGCAACAAAATGATTAGTGACCGGGATCAATAACTCGCCTGCCACAAGGGGATTGGCACTAAAACAGCTTAGGGGATGTACTGAAAGTTTATTAGATAGATGTATCCTAAATGCACACAAAGTAACCAATATTCAAGAATGTAAACATAGAAGTGACAGAGACATAAAAAAAGAGGCAACATCCACGACTCGTACCTCTGCACCTAGTAAGTAAGCTTGAACAGCAGAATGTCCAAAAGGATCAATTTGCCAACCCACTCTAGGTTTCTGCCCAAATTCATCATTGATAAACCGGTGTCCTAGAGTTGTTTGATCAATCAGATCGATGTAATGTGGGGTTGCCTCGTCTTGCATACACATACCACCGTTTCTAATTCACAATAGAAAGGAGAAAAAATCGGATGCATAAAGCAAATTTGTATACAGCTACTAGAGTTGAAAGCGAAGACAATAAATTAAAAAATTTTTACTACATGAACTCTAGTTGGCCGGAGTTGACAAGCTCCTTGACTTTAGTCTGAAGTGCCTCGCTCTGCTGTCTCCACCACCGCTGGAAGAATGCCTAAAAACATCAATAAAAACCACTCATTCAGGTAAGAACTCATCATAAATTCATCAAAGATGTCCGTGTAGTGGCAGGAAAATACATAAAAACATATACGTATTCCGTATGATAGATAGATACAAAATAATCGAACGTTTGTTTTATGAAAAATCTTGCCATTTCAACATAGATGAACTTCCGATTTTTGTCATCCAAAAGTGCTGAAATCACGGAATCCAATACGTTCTGAACACAAGCTCCCTATTCAATCAACCAACAACTAATAAGTATACGACAGATTTACTCATAATTTGAGAGAGAGAGAGAGAGGGAGGGGAGATGAAGAGATAAGAGCGGTCAGAAGGTAGCCGACCCGAATCGTATTATTGGCACCGGCGTAGTACTGATCAACGGTCTTCAACCAACCTACATCGTCGTGAGAGTGAGGGACCAAATGGACGTTGATTTTGTCTGGGACGATTCTATGTGTATTATTGTAAGCTATGTACTTGGATTCTACCAAGAAGCGAAATCCCGTCAAAAGAATCGGAAGCAATACTAGTATTTTCACCTCCATTGATGTTGCACAAGACAACCCAGCTACAAGCTCTAAACTCCTTCTACTACCAGCCACTTCCTGCTTCAGCTCAAGATTACAAGTAGCAGATCATCTGAAAGCACAGCACAAACTTCGATTCATCAACGATAAAACTAAATTTGTGTTAGGTGTCGATGGTACAGAGAGTCCAAGTTCTCTCTCTCTTTCTCTCGCACACACACACACAGATGTACGATCAATTCCTCTCTCTGTCGGACCCACATCTATGGGAAGGAAGGAAGGAGCAACACTCTGACTCGCGGCTTGAATTTATAAATTATTAATCAAGACGATAGTGGATTATTACGACATATCGATNTACATGAACTCTAGTTGGCCGGAGTTGACAAGCTCCTTGACTTTAGTCTGAAGTGCCTCGCTCTGCTGTCTCCACCACCGCTGGAAGAATGCCTAAAAACATCAATAAAAACCACTCATTCAGGTAAGAACTCATCATAAATTCATCAAAGATGTCCGTGTAGTGGCAGGAAAATACATAAAAACATATACGTATTCCGTATGATAGATAGATACAAAATAATCGAACGTTTGTTTTATGAAAAATCTTGCCATTTCAACATAGATGAACTTCCGATTTTTGTCATCCAAAAGTGCTGAAATCACGGAATCCAATACGTTCTGAACACAAGCTCCCTATTCAATCAACCAACAACTAATAAGTATACGACAGATTTACTCATAATTTGAGAGAGAGAGAGAGAGGGAGGGGAGATGAAGAGATAAGAGCGGTCAGAAGGTAGCCGACCCGAATCGTATTATTGGCACCGGCGTAGTACTGATCAACGGTCTTCAACCAACCTACATCGTCGTGAGAGTGAGGGACCAAATGGACGTTGATTTTGTCTGGGACGATTCTATGTGTATTATTGTAAGCTATGTACTTGGATTCTACCAAGAAGCGAAATCCCGTCAAAAGAATCGGAAGCAATACTAGTATTTTCACCTCCATTGATGTTGCACAAGACAACCCAGCTACAAGCTCTAAACTCCTTCTACTACCAGCCACTTCCTGCTTCAGCTCAAGATTACAAGTAGCAGATCATCTGAGAGCACAGCACAAACTTCGATTCATCAACCATAAAACTAAATTTGTGTTAGGTGTCGATGGTACAGAGAGTCCAAGTTCTCTCTCTCTTTCTCTCGCACACACACACACAGATGTACGATCAATTCCTCTCTCTGTCGGACCCACATCTATGGGAAGGAAGGAAGGAGCAACACTCTGACTCGCGGCTTGAATTTATAAATTATTAATCAAGACGATAGTGGATTATTACGACATATCGATGGGTTAGTGATCATACCAACCATATGATATCCCTGATATTTGGAATTTATCCTCTTTCAATCCCCTTGATTTTTTACTAATAAGGGTGATTATAATCATATTTTTTTACTTTATTATCCATTAATGGATGACCATAATTCATCCAACAATTCCTAATAATGGAAGAGGGGTGCTTGTGTTTATTTAACAAATGTTAGGGAGTCGTGATGTTGTTCTGACAAAATTCATGGGGTTTAAGTGTATATTTTCAAATTAACTATATTTACGCTTTTACTTTAGCACATATGAATGATTTTTTAATCCCTTTTTTCACTACTTCCACCACCATTCACCAATGAAGAGAAGAATAACGTGCAAGGATAAGAAACTCTCGGGCTATATTTGATAACTGTTTTTATCTCTGTTTTTTTATTTTTAGTTTTAACTTCTGTCAAAAATAAAAACAAAAATATGTTTGATAATTATTTTTGATTTTGTTTTATTTTCGTTATATTGGAGACAAAAATAAAAAAATAGGAACAAAAAATTTTTGTTCCAAGAAACACGCGAAACAGAGACAGGCGTTAAAAGGGATTAATGAGATCCGGGTTTCGAACTCCCTTAGCAGCAAAATACTTTTTTTTTCTTGAACCTATTTAAACCCACTCATCTCTCTCTCCTGTCCATCGCTGCCTCACTCTCTCCATGTTCTCACCTTCACCAATGATATCTCCTCTCCTCTCTCTCATTGACGACTGGTAAGCCCCTTCTCTTTCTCTCTGTTTCTCCCTCTCTCATCTAATCTCCTCTCTCTCTCTCTATATATACACACAGATCTGTGCATATATGCATATATACACACAGATCTGTGCACATATATGCACAGATCTATATGTGTTATGAATGTTGGATGTGTGTGTGTTGTGTTCTATGGGTGTTGTGTTTGTAATTTAATTGAGATTGAGATTGGGAAAGTAGTTCATTGCCTTCGATTTGTTGAAGTATTGGATTACTGTTTGTATATTTATCTTTTGAACTATTATTAACATTTTTTGATTTTAATGTTACATGAACTGTTTAACACGGATTAAATTTATACAAAAAATTGGCAATCAACCATTTTCTTATTAATTGTCAAACCATTGCAGACAAAGATATAATAATCTTCAAACAATTTTGGGAATTGCACAGGTGAAGGCTTCCTGCATATTATTTCATGATACCTTTTTTTTTTTTTGTATTTTGGTGATTTAAAAAGCTTCATCAATTAATTTGGTCATAGATGTTTTTTTGTATGTATTCTGATGTTTCATATGTTCATATCATGGAAATTGTTTGAATCATTAGAATATCCCAAGAGAGAAACAGTTGGTTGTTAGTGCTCTAATTATTACTGATCAATGCCTAGGAATGTTATTATTGAACGCCCCGTTATTCCTTGATTGCGCATACCAACAGAAGTTGGGCAAGAATCAACTAATTGAACTTTGTCACCATCAGCTGTACATTTGTTGAAGTAGTTTCATTAGGTATGTTTCAATTTCTAGTCAAAGTGACCGGTTGCTACTGTCCAAGTACAACCGTGAAATAGATGTTCTAAAAATGTTTTTTCTTCTCCCCAAGAAAGGCAGAGTTTTGGGTCAGTTTCGTATTCCACATATTACATTAGGATGCTATGTTGACCTTCAATTAAACATTTGCAACTGAGGTTGTGCTTTATGTTGCAAACAAAAAGACAGAAGTGTTCATTTTTGTGTGGAATGTTGGGGGGAGAGTGTATTAAGTGAAGGGGTTATTTCTGCTATGCTGAGGCTCAACCTTAGCAATTGTTGTAGCCTATCCACTCACAGTATATTCTTGAGGTAGTTTTTGCCCATTTAAGTATTATCTTGGATGCCTGCAAGCAGCCCTAAGTTAAGGCATGCCCACATCCTTGGGTGGTGTTCTTTTTGCAGCTTAGGTTGTCTAATTTCAACTAAGGTGTGGCACAATTTTAGGTGTCTCCAATTTTTTTAGAGTAATAGATTAAATTTGTATGTCTAAACAATGTACTAGCTTTATCTAAATTGCAGAAAGTTAACATTGTATTCATGAAATAAAATCTTGTTTAATTTATTCAAAGCTTCAATATATTCGGAAAATTAATGAAATTCCATTTATACCTCAGTAGCTATGACCTTAATTCTCATGTAGGGAGTGGCTTTTGGTGTAGAATTAACTGCATGGGGTGGTTTTTGGTGAGGAAAGAATTACNAACATTGTATTCATGAAATAAAATCTTGTTTAATTTATTCAAAGCTTCAATATATTCGAAAAATTAATGAAATTCCATTTATACCTCAGTAGCTATGACCTCAATTCTCATGTAGGGGGTGGCTTTTGGTGTAGAATTAACTGCATGGGGTGGTTTTTGGTGAGGAAAGAATTACAAGGGGGTGGAAGATATGTTTCTAAAGGCTGGATAGTTGGTCTGTGGAAGATAGATGTTTGGTTTAAATCCTTTTGAATGATTAAAGCCAACTATCGCATCTAGAAGAGGATTGTTAACAGGAACTGTTATGTTGTTAATCTGTTGCTGATTGGGATCAATCAGACTGTGATGCTGTCTGGGTGGTGTTACAGTNTGGAAGATATGTTTCTAAAGGCTGGATAGTTGGTCTGTGGAAGATAGATGTTTGGTTTAAATCCTTTTGAATGATTAAAGCCAACTATCGCATCTAGAAAAAGATTGTTAACAGGAACTGTTATGTTGTTAATCTGTTGCTGATTGGGATCAATCAGACTGTGATGCTGTCTGGGTGGTGTTACAGTGCTGCTGCTGCTTGAGCTGATTTCTAGACAGCTTGATGAAGGAGGATTGGAGGAGGCTATAACAACTGTATTATCTATTTTTTGTAATTAGACTGTCGGTTGTAGTATAATAGAATTCTGTTAGGAAACAAAAAATATGTTTTCTTAACATTTTTCTATTTTTTCTATTAAACAGATTTTCTAGTTGTCTGGGATCAAAGGCAGGGAATTGGATGATGCAAATGTTGGATCAACCCAAGTTACTCATTGCAAAAGGAGGTGGAGGGTTTTCAGAGTAAATGGTGTTCTGTCACTTTAATGGTTCAGTTAAGGGGCAAATTGCATGGATCTGGCAGTTGCTGCCTATCTGACTGTCTGTTTCTGCAATCAGTCTGGGCTTATACTGTTCTTATCTGCATCTGAGATTGATGTTGTTAGTCTCAAGGAGTTACAAGCAGCTGGAATTGAAGANTGCAAATGTTGGATCAACCCAAGTTACTCATTGCAAAAGGAGGTGGAGGGTTTTCATAGTAAATGGTGTTCTGTCACTTTAATGGTTCAGTTAAGGGGCAGATTGCATGGATTTGGCAGTTGCTGCCTATCTGACTGTCTGTTTCTGCAATCAGTCTGGGCTGGTACTGTTCTTATCTGCATCTGAGATTGATGTTGTTAGTCTCAAGGAGTTACAAGCAGCTGGAATTGAAGAGTGTGCAGTTGATTAAATCTACATCAGGACCTGTTTGCTATGGAAGAGGGTGTTGTCTGCTGTAAAGAGCTAGGAGCTGAATTGTGAAGATTACAAGGTGCAAAAATGTAGTTAAAAATGGTTTTAATCATCTTGAAGGATTAAAGCCATTTTTTGAATTTTTTTTAAAACAGATTGTTTTTTGCTTCTTAAAATTCCTTCTTTATCAATAAAATTTTCCTTTTATTTAAAAAAAAATGTTCTTCCATGTTCCGAATTCCCAGTTGCATTCTAAGATAGAGTATTATTTATGTAGTAANGTTTTAATCATCTTGAAGGATTAAAGCCATTTTTTGAATTTTTTTTAAAACAGATTATTTTTTGCTTCTTAAAATTCCTTCTTTATCAATAAAATTTTCCTTTTATTTAAAAAAAAAATGTTCTTCCATATTCCGAATTCCCAGTTGCATTCTAAGATAGAGTATTATTTATGTAGTAACAATTTAATTAAAGATACATTCTTGCGGGAAAACATGAATGATCAAGGTTGTGTTCCAATTAAATTAATAACAAGCTTCAAGAAAGTGATGAATTTGATTTTTTTAGGTAGTAGCGTGAAATCGTTGGGATATATATGTTTTGTTGAGGAATTATTTATTTATTTTTTTGTGTTTTATGATTATCCATTGTAGNAATTAAATTAATAACAAGCTTCAAGAAAGTGATGAATTTGATTTTTTTAGGTAGTACCGTGAAATCGTTGGGATATATATGTTTTGTTGAGGAATTATTATTTTTTTTTTTTTTGTGTTTTATGATTATCCATTGTAGTTTGGTTGGTTGGTGTTTCTAAAAAAAATAAAATAAAGCATATTTAAGATAAAACGTGAAGTAGTTATCAAACATGTTTTTTGTTTTTTATTCTCATAATTTGATAGACAAAAATGACATCCAAACATGATCTCTGTTTTTGATTGTTTTGAAGACACAAAAACGAAACAGTTACCAAACAACCCTGACTATTTCTGGATATGTTTATCTAAACAACTCCATTTATTTTTTGTTTTATTTTTTCCCGCATATAATTGGTCACACTAAACTAAACTAAGAAAAATTGGGTTAAAGGTTGGCGACTAGTGCATTATCTGCTGTTATCCATAATTTTGTGTCTGAATATATTTTATAATAATTAAANCCCGCATATAATTGGTCACACTAAACTAAACTAAGAAAAATTGGGTTAAAGGTTGGTGACTAGTGCATTATCTGCTGTTATCCATAATTTTGTGTCTGAATATATTTTATAATAATTACAAATTTATCATGTAAATTTTATTTTGTGTTTTAAATATATCAATCCATAGTCCATTCCACCGCCTTCCACCTTTTCCCAAATTATCAAAAAGCTCAACCTTCTTTCTGAAACCCTAATAATTCACTACGCTCTCAACCACCAAACAGCCTCATCCTTATGGAAGATAGTTTTCGAGTGCGGGTAGACAGGGCTTTTGGATCTCTCGCATCATCTTCAACGTCTTCCTCTCTCAGTTCTCTGTGGTGTCTCTCCGACGAAGAGATCCAAAAAATAGAATGGAATCGACACAAAGAAAGCCTCGACGACGAACTGGAATCGAAACCCTACCCTCCCAACCTCGACGGATTCTTTGCCAACCAATCAGCAGTTAATTTTCAAAACGATCTTCCCCAAGACCCCGAGTCCGACCCTCAAGACCTCAACGATGACTGCGACTACGGCGACCAAGAACGTGAAGAAAACCAAATTCGTGATCTATCCCTCAAAACAGGCGACGAAGACTGGGATATTCGGTCCTCAATTGGTCTCGATTGTACCCTCGACTACGAGGTACTCTCTCCCTCTGTGCGTGTGTGTGTGTGTTGATTTTGACAGATGCTCTGGTACGAGGTTATGTTGCGTTGTGTTCATACTTCAACTTTATAGTATGTTATAACTCTCTGAGATGCGCTGTGCTGTTTTATCATATTGTGGCGATTGCTTATAACTCTTATTTGATTTCGTGAGCATTTGTATGCATGTTTCAAGTAGTAACCTAACTGGAATGGCATTCATATGGTTTCAGAGAGCTGATAAAATTAGCTAACATACCCTAGACTTCAATTGTGCATTATGCGCCTTAGAACGTGCTTTTTGGTGGGAGTTTCAAGGATTTATTGATTTATTTTGTTTAAATTTCTTATTTTATTTCTGCACTTTTATTTTTGAGGGGATGGGATATTTCGCGGGTTGGAGGGGGGGGGTGCCTGTTCGGTCTGCCCAGTTCATGTTGGTTTATTAAGGTAATATTGGTTCTTGTGTCCAGGAAACAAGTTCTTGAATCAATTTAAGCATTCATAAGCAACAATAACAAAACATAAGAGATCAGCTCGATTCATGATGGCCAAAAACTTGTGGTTTATGTATTTAAGCTGTGAGCTCCTATTTACTTTATGCCTTGTTATGCCCTACTGCATTTTTACTATCCTGGCATGTAGCTATTCAATGACTGAGTCATTTTCCTATGTTCCCAAGTTTTTAAGAGTTTGCCTTGCCAGTCGTTGAGAGTTGAGAGTCAAGTTCTTGATTTATTAACAAATTGATGTTATGCAGGAAGAGGAAGATGAATATGACAAAGTGGCCGTCGGCAGGGAGAAGGCTGGTGATCAATTATGTACTAGTGACATTTATGATTATGGACCAGGCATAAATTCTTACAATGAGCTACCGAATAGATTTAGGGATGTCACTAGGGATCCTCGTGCAAATCACATGGTGGCGAAAATTAGGCTACAAGAAGATGCAGAAGCAGCTGGCAGAATTGATTCCTTGCGTGTTTGTGATGATACTGCACCACGTGCTGCACGCAAATTGGAAGCTGGTGTTGACCCAAAACCAATCCTGAAGAAGAGGGGAATTAATGTGGATTCTAGGTCACCGAAACGTGTCCGGTTTGACCCTGGATGCAAGAATAATTGGGAGGAAGAGGCTGAAGGAGCCAAAGATTTACAAATGGAAACTTCTGCAAAAAAAGATGCTACAATGTCTGATGACAAACCTTCTTTCCCACGACATTGTTCTGGTGTTCCAGATTACATTTTGAATCCTTCAAATTACATACATTATACTTTTGATTCGTCGAATGATATTGACGAAGAATCTAATCGGGAAGCCTACATGGACTTTTTTAATATGCTGAAGAAGCCAAGTACCACGGAATCACAGCTGGATGACACCTCGACTGATCTCCCAAGATCTTTGGCATTCGTTCCCAAAAAGAAACCATGTGATACTTCAACAGTGGGACGGGTAAGTGCATTCAAGCAAAATGAGGAAGATGTTTCTAAGAGAAAAGCTTTACCCATTAGCATTGCAGCTGGGGATGGTCATGAAAACGAAGTCTGTGGAATGGAGGAAGATGAGCCAGAAACAGATGCAGAGAAACGTAGCAGCTTGCGAGGATCAGGTCGGCAGTATCGGGTAAAGGCCAGCGTAGATCTATGTGGGTGAGCTTGTAGCTTGATTGAAACTAGCTGGCGTCTCTAGGCCAGTATGTCTGCCGACCTTGATACAAACTTAAACTTATATTGACGTTGTCTTAGACCTGTAACTGCTTTGAAAATTGGTATTCTCGTAATCACAGTGTGGCACTTGCATTGTGTAATGGATGGCTTGGTACTCCATTATAAAGCATGAAAATGGAATTGCAATCCTCTTTCATTGTTTCTAATACATAAGAGTTGCAGGTCATCTGAATATCGATCAAGCAGTTGAGAATCCTTCTTGATGAGCAGACTGGCTAAATGTGAACTCATGAATGTGTTGTAAATTCTATTCATGAATGTGTTGTAAATTCTATTCTTATGTGAATNTCTTTCATTGTTTCTAATACATAAGAGTTGCAGGTCATCTGAATATCGATCAAGCAATGTGAGAATCCTTCTTGATGAGCAAACTGGCTAAATGTGAACTCATGAATGTGTTGTAAATTCTATTCTTATGTGAGTGGAACTCATGAATTATTATGAACAACAGTCGTAGAATTATGCTATTCTATTCTATTTAGGGTCGGTAGAACTGTTGTGCAGGTCATCATCAGATCAGCAATAGAATTATAAGTCGTGGAATCCGTGTAAAATTGACCTTAAATTTTACAACTGTTGTGCACCCAAAGAAATCCACAACTGTCTTAGACATATATGAGCCGTGTTCATAATAATTTCCAACTAAAAAGGCCAGTACCAAGCATTTTGGTGAACAAGAATTCATTTGCATCCCCCACTAAAAGCATCTGAAACCAATGAATTGTTATCTAAGGCTATGGTTTAGAGATATTCCATTTGTAATAGCCTGTCCATTCAAGCCCATGAATACTGAACTTACTTTGTAAAATGCCAGATTCACTAGCAGTATTCACCGTATTCTTTTATCCATAGACACAAGGCATTGGACGCATTCCTGGATCAAATGTCACTCCAACTCCCTTGTAAATACAGTACGGAAAAATTGCAGCAAACTCAAACTGATGGGTGATTTAAAAGTCATTGTATATAGTTCATCCCTCCATCAATATATTAAGAGTGACCTTCTAACTCCAGAACACTCAATTTATCAGTCATATTCCTTCTAAGCTACAAAATAATTTGTTGCGTAAAGAAACGTATACATCAACTAAATGTATTCACAACTAAATTTCTTTAAAAAATGATCATCTATCATTTTCTCATTGAAATGGGGTGGTATTTAGTGTATCATTTGTAGTAATCCACCTTTCCCACCCTCTGGAGTTAACAGTGACGGGAAAGAATAAAATGAGAGTACAACAGTTGACTGCAAAAACATTACAGATACAACCAACAAATTCTACCTCCTAAATACACCGCAAAGTGGCCCAAAAGAAGTGTCTGCCAAAGTCTCGCTTCGCACAAAGAGTTGACTGAGGAGCATGTATTAGTATAAATAGCAGCAGCTAACAAAACAGCCTAGAACAAGCGCTTTCGACAATCTTCTGCACCACAGTAGCATGCCATTTGCCTTATCTTCCCATCAGGATCCATGACACTATCGAGGGCATAGCCGTAATCATACGTCAGCTCCTAAGAGTAGTCAATGTTCAAAAGAAAAGTGATAATCAGTTCTTATGCTACGCAGCAGGAAAAAAAAAACAGAAGATAAGATACAATTATTAAAACACACAATCACTAAGATGCAGTTTATCAAACCATGCAATGTATCCCTTCAAATTTTAATGACCAGTCTCGTTTGACTTCAAAAATTGCAATTAGGTGTATTCTATCCTGGAGTTTGACCAGACAACATTTCTAGAGTATAAAGAAAGAGAACCTGCCCTCCTACTTTTCAGGATTAGTTCTCATACCGAATTCTAGGTTTACCTATTTTATCCATATCCTATTTTTGGGAAACTAAAGGCAAATGGATAACTTTAGTCCTCTAAAATTTTGAACTCGTTCAAAAGTTCTCGCACTCCCTCCTTTTCCTCATTTTATCCCTAATCCAAATTTATTTCTTACCATTTATATTGCTTCCAAGTTCCAATCACACAAGTTCCAGGTGCATCACATGAACATTAGTATTTAGGTACATAAATTAATTCTAGATTGGCTCCTGCTTAGGCATCAACCCTAGCAGAAAGGCATACACACCAGAGCAAAAGTACTATTCGGCTGAATAAACTGTAGAGCAGGAAGATAAAGTATGTTATTGCAATTTTTGTCGATACATGATGTGCAACTATTCATTCATCCCAAGTTCAACAAGAAGTCATATGTATCAAAAAGGTAAAACAGTTCCAGGAAGATAAAACGTTATTGTAATTTTTGTCAGTACATGATGTGCAACTATTCATTCAACCCAAGTTCAACAACCACTTATATGTATGTCAGATAGAACATAAAAAAGGTAAAACAGTTCTAAATGTCTCAAACTATCTCCCCCGGGAAAAAATACAAAAATATGACTTCCAAAAAAGTTTTAAAATGCTCAACTCATTTTTTAACATGATCACCTATGTTTATTAAATACTTAACCATTCCAAATTATACTTGAACCTGTTCACATCAAAATCAGCATGTGATAAAACTGAACATTATCCCACGGGCTTCATGTTGACACAAAGGGCCATTACTTAATGTTGGCCAGCAAATGCAAAGCGATTAGAAGGGTATAGAGCATACTTAACAACCATCATTATCATTTGAGAAAAAAGATAGGTTTAGAACTGGATCAACCCTTCCACACTCAACAATCCAACGTTTCACCATCAAAACAAGCCTCTCAACAAGTTATTGAGGATGGATTTCAAAAGACACACAAACAAACAAATAAACACACCCACAAACACAGATAGGGGCAGGAGCAAAGAACCTTTAGTGGAGGTATATTGTCTGCAGCAACTAGCGTCACCCGAGCTAGTTTAATATTATGGTGGGTGCTCAAGATACATTGAACAAACAGGTTTGGTTGACAGCTATGGTTGATAAACCTGGCAACATTGCCGGTGGAGCCCGCATCAATGCAGAATTCTGGCACACTTTCAGATTTCTTATCATCATCCTTTTCCAAATATGTAGGTAAAGTAACATCTCCCAAGCGTCTCTATTTAGAAGAAAATTTTAGTTAATAATGTACAAAGGTGGATGTAACAAAATAGAATGCAATTCAACAAGCCTCAATCTTACTACTTAAGGTTTGTTGTGTTGATTCATTTGCTAGGATCAAAATTCATTCAAGTACATAGTTTCAATCAGCTCTAAAAAAGAAATGTATCGAAACCTTGGTTGAAACATCCCGAGGCATCGCAAAATATTCGGAAACACCTTAAAACATAGTAATTTTGATATTTAATCACCGAGTTGTTTCAGTTGTTTGAGTGGATTGACAAAAAGAGATGATATGAGTTATAATCTGGTGGATTGACAAAAGGAACCCCTATCATAGTGTTGCAATTGGAAATAACACCCCATATACAAGTGATGTAATGTGTGCAATGGATGGCACAAGTACCTCTCAGCAGTTGCTATGCTTTTTGTAGTATCACATTGACTTTCTATTTTTAACCGAGCATAATTCCAGGAAATCAACATTTAGAACCTCTTTCAGAACCCTCACAAGTGCTTGAGGCCAATTAAACCTCATCTTTTAGCATCTAGACAACACTCCATTGGCCAACATAAAACCAACCAGCCTTGGTCCTAAGCCGGTTCTGGGTCTTTAGATACCCCCTTACTTTTTTAACACAAAACTGTGTTAAAATTAAGAACAACCAGAATGTAAGTGGTAGGGCAAAGAGGTGGTCCAGAAAGCCTTCAGTTCAGAATAGGGGTTGCAAATAATTAACAGTCACAACGTGTGCAAGATTTCCACCAACTATTATTTCATACCTCAAATCAACAGGGCATCAAAACACATCATATTCGATGGCATTATCCTCTGCACAAACACTTAAGAGTAACTATGTACTAGATATAAAGGCAAACACCATGCATACCGCGAGGTGTGGGAGGGATACCAAATTGGGACTCTACTGCAACATACACGGTATTTAAAATGACTTCACAGACCATGATTTTTCAAAGTTTTTTTTTTTTTTTGACAAAAGATAACAGGTGTGAGCAGATTCACTAATAAACATGGAAAAGATATTCAAGAAGAATTCCCATAATACCATGAAAATTCAGAGGATTCAATTGACATTAAACATTAAAAGAGAAGATTTGTCGCACAGTTAACTCAGCAAATGAGAACAAAAAAGTAAAATAAAATTCAGCAAAATTAATAAGAGTTGCTCTATCCATACCTCTCTACCATCAAGCCCCTTCATTGTCTGTAAGCAGTCAATGTCAAAAATATAACTATTTTCACTAGCTGTGTCTACTTCATCTGTCTTCTTAAGTATCCCTATGTATTCACAAACTGGAGCTCCAGAAGGTATATAATCCCAAGATCTAACACCCCAACCTTTCTTTGGAGTACGAAAAACCTGTTAAGAACAGCAAGTTGAGAACGAAACAGATGCAAGAAAAAACAAACTGATATTTGGAGCCAAACAACAGCAAGTGGTTAATCGGCTATGGTCACAGAACCTCGAGTCGGTATCTGAGCCCTCTTTGAGATGTCCGGTTGACACAACCAGGTCCACATCCACAATTCGGACCACATTCAAACACCACAGCTTTAGGTTCAATTAATCTGAAAGGGACAATGTTGGCAAGAGAATCATCAGGAGCAAAAAACTAAAAACCCATTACTCAAACAAGAACCAGGTCAGAAATTTTAGGCAAACCAACAACTACCACAACAATCATTGGACCATTGATTTATACAGAACAAGAAGAACTGAAGAAGAATCATGTGTCATCCAAACTAGAGCCAGGCAAAAGCGCACAAACACCAATTAATTTCAGAATCAACTCAATTGGATCACAGAGATTACACATATACAGTTTGCTTGGATTCTCATACACACACTGTTGGTTTTTTTTTATGGAGTCTAGTTTGTATATGTGATCCGGATGATGACCCGACCCGAAATAATGTTGTGTGGTTTTTAATGGAAAATTTTCTGAGATTTTTAACGTAAAATCTGTGTCTTGTTCTTTCTTGTTTCTTATTGCTTTATATTCTTGATTTGTTCTTCGATTGTGTGTGTTTGTTAGTGGATTTAAATCGTGAGAAATCCCAACACACACTAGAACCAAGATTCCAAAAGTATATAGTTTTTTTTTTTTTGCTTTGGATTAAGTGATTAATTTATGAAACTACTCAGGATACCCTGGAGTCTGGACAGCAAAGAAATTCATATTATGATCTGAACAATATGCATGTGCTGAAAATAAGAGTCGGTCTGTATGTACAGTGAATGTATGAGACATCCAAAAATCAGCAATTACACTTCTATCATTAAGAAGAACAAAGAATTCAACTACGTACTAATAAACTCAAACCAACAAATAAGAAACAAATTGTAGAGGGGTTAGTTCCCACGTACCCTTATACCTCGTGAGGAGGTTCCACACAAGGAATAGGACAACAAATGCTCTAACAAAAAGAACAGCGTTAAAAAAATGAGCTCAAGATGCTCTGAATTGTCTTTCTTCCAAAGTTTGTGTAGTAGTATGCCAATATTTAAAGTAGTAGGTGGGTAAACTAGATCTATCGATCATGTGATACTGGAGGACTTCGAAGAAGTGTGCATTGTACAGCTAAGTGTAGGCCTGTGAGGCTTGACCAAGCCTCATAAATGATCACAATCTTTTGATTTTCTCTAGTTTCATGGGTGTCAAAGTACTACTTCTCCAGGTTAGACATAACCCCTTGACAGAACAAAGCCACCATGTCACGCACCCTTCTGAATCCGAGGTACAAACCATCACACTGTGAAGAGAGTTCGTACTTCACATTGAAACATCAAAGATTAGAGCTCCTAAAGGTTGGTCTATATGATTCAGGGCCTCTCCACCCAGTCCCTAACCATCGACATTTGGTTTTGGGTTGAATGCTTTAAAATGATATAAGAGTTGGGTTCTGGATGGTCGGCGGACCAAGTTTCTCAGCCATCTATATTTCCTGGTATACAAGTCTTATGCCTCAATTTGGCTTGTTCAAGCAAAATCAGGTCCCACTTGAGGAAAGGTATGAACCGAGCTTGTATTCCACATTAAAAAATTAGGACCACCCAAAGTTAGTTTATATGTTTGAAGGATCTTGCCACTCATAACCAATTGTGGTTTTGAGCTAGATGCTCAAAGCAAGCAACAAGGGCACAGTCAATCGCATGGCTCGAGTTACAGGGTATCAAAGGGCATAGTCGATTGCAAGACTCGAGTTACAGTGTATCCTATGGCCAGCCATCAATGCCGAACCAGATCAACACCTACACAAAGAGGGGCTAGTGATTGCAGGCTAGAAGATCAATTGATAACAAATCTCAAGATAAAGAAGTAACCCAACCAACTTATTAAGCCAATGTTTAAAACTCTGGTATTTTTTGTTAAATTAACTTGCTCCTGTGATATTTTTATCCCACAGAAACATTTTCTTCTAAAGTTTTGGAGTCATGATAGGATAGTACTTCGTTCAGAATTGAGAATAGTACAAAATTGGAGAGAAAGTATTCCCAATGTGGTCAAAAAGAAGCACAATGAGGTAACATGCAAATCTCACTAGCCCCAATCCCCAAACCACAAGTAATCTTTCCAAAGACGATCTCAATAAATAAAAAAAGAAAATACTGACACCAATGTTAGTGTTCATAGATGGAATTATAGATTTGTTGATGTCTCCATTAACTATTAAGACACACAGCTAGAAGAAACAGAAACAAAATAATTATAGACATCATATTCAACATCATAAATTGAACTACCAAATGAAATCAATTCCCTCTTGTTTAAGATTTTATCTGACAAATATACTCCCACAAATACTTTCGAAAGTTTTTACAATTTCTTTCTTACCTGCCACCATCACGGTGAACATATGGAAAGTCGGAGCCATTTAGTCTAGCACAGGCACAACTCTTGGGATCAACACAAGTACCCTTACAACTGCATCCAAGGGCATATGGAGGAATCTTCACACTTTTTGAAACTTTAATAAACTTGCAATACGTGAAACCTGATACTGTTTAGGATTCAACACGACCAAATAGTTAGATTTTGACAATATGTGTACGTCTTAACCCGAGGCGGAGCTAGGATTCTAGCTTTGTGGGGGCAAAATATGAATAAAAAACAAGTGATGCGAAAAAAATTCTAACTTTGAATATAAAAATATATATTAAGATTTAAGACTAAATTATTATGTGAAGTGAACAATAAAATTAGTGTTAATGATATATCAAAACAAAACACCAAACCAACTCGAACTCTAAAAATTGTTTATTATTGATTTGTATACTCAATTTCTCAGTCATTTCCTTTCCATATACACAAATTGAGAGTCCGTGACAAAATCATAATTTATTTGTTGTGAGTTCTCAACCTTGGTGAGAAATTGATTCTTTGGAAAAGTAGAAAATACCTTTTTTGGTTAGTACATTGTACCATTTTATCTAATTTTATTTTATTGAATTACAAGTCACTAACATATTAAAAAAAAAGTGATAGACAGCTATATAATTTTTTTAGAAAAATAATGGATAATATATTAAATAAAATAATAGTATTATCTTGGGTCAATATATTTGGGTCTGGGTATTTCATATTTTTTCATTCAATCCAAAAATAAAACATTTGCGAAGAAAAATAGAATCACTATAAATTATTAGAAATCAATGGGGCAATCAAATTGCGAAGAATTGTGTTTTTTGAACACTAAATATGCAGTATTTACAAATAGGCCAATGAGAGCAATTGCCCCCATATCAATCAAGGTAGCTCCGCCCTTGATCTTAACGAAAGATAATCTTGGGGAAGAGAAACATGAAGCAAAAACTTTTTAATATAGGGAAATCTGAAAGAAGAAGAGTTCAAGAATAACAACCATAGCTCACCGGTAGAAGGAAAAAAAAAACAGTTTAAAATTTGAAACAAATCTAGGAATCAAGAAAAAGGCGTACAAAGAAACAAAAACCTTTATATGATTTTATAGACTTAGAGAATGCAAATAGTATAGTCCTAGAGATAGAGAATGATGGGTTTTAAAGCAAAAAAGAAAAAGTTAAAAATAAACATAATGATATAAGGGATGTGTACGAGGGCAAGTTGGGTCTGGTCGGGTATTGTCTTTTTTGGCTTGTCCCAGGAGGGACGCTTAACACGAACATGACACATTTACTTAATCGTGTCAAGTTTCCTAACACAATTGTGTCAACTTGGCACACCCATTTAATATACGAGTCATGTTAAAGGTTAAACATATCATTGGTCAATCAGCTAATACGCTTGACCAAAACAAAAAACATATAACTAAACAATCGCATATCCAATCAAACATGCAATCCTAAAAAATACCAAAAAAAACAAAAAAAAGGAACAAATAATCAACTTCTAACAATTTGAGAGCAAAACCTAACTAAAAAAATTTTGATTTTTTAATATTTATCAAAATGCAAAACACTATATCAACTACCCAAATAGCTACAGACCATTGATTCCGTCAAAATCAAAACCCATATAAGTATTACAAAATAATGAAAAGGGAGAATTACACCCAGACTCCCTAAAATTTGTCACTTAATCATTCAAATCCATTAGCATTTAAAATATTATACATAAATCCCCTAAAGTTTGTACGTGTACAGCACTTACACCTTTGCCGTCAATATTCATTAGTAAATTACACTCAAATCCCCTGAAATTTATAGACGTGTCATACTTAAACCTCTCAAGTTTATAATGTTATACTTAAATAAAAAATACTCCAATCAAAGATAAAATATTAGATATTTTAAATTTTACAACTAAAATTCATATTCTATTATATCATTTATTGAAATAAAATAAAAATATATTTTTTTTCTAAAAAAAATCATAATTAGTATAATTGTATACTATCTACTAGTATAAAACTAAAAAATTAAACAAAAGGTCAAACTGTAATAGACACAATATCTTCTAACTTTAATTGGGGTAATTTGATAGTTTAAATGACCAAATTAATAAATAATATAATTGTATACTAATTATGATTTTTTAAGAAAAAATTATATTTTTAATTTTAATTTTATTTCAATAAATGTCATACAGAACATGAATTTTGATTGTTTAAAATTTAAAATATTTGATATTCTATATTTGATTCGAATATTTTTCTCTAAGTATTACACGCCTACAAATTTCAAGGGTCTGGGTATAATTTACTAACAAACATTGACAATAGGGGTGTAAATGTTACGCGCGTATAAATTTCAATGGGTCTGTGTGTAATATTTCAAATGTTAAGAGATCTGAATGATTAAGTGGCAAACTTCAGAGGGGATTTGGGNTAAATGTTACGCGCGTATAAATTTCAATGGGTCTGTGTGTAATATTTCAAATGTTAAGAGATCTGAATGATTAAGTGGCAAACTTCAGAGGGGATTTGGGTGTAATTCTCCCTAATGTACTACACTTCATGACGAGCCGGTATCAAAAGCTTATACAATGTACCACTTCAAATAGCAAAAGCAGAGCACCAGGGAGCCACCACTTATAGGCTCCCACAAGTGATCAACAAAACAACATAACTATACTCATTAAGCTCAACATCTAACCATTTCATTCTAAGAAAAATTCTAAGGAGTCATATTCTCAATCCAACTTTTTGAAGCTAATCAACTTTGTGTTCTAGTTAAGGTAAGCAACAGTGAGAGCTTGGAAAATTGGGGTGCGGCTTTTAGGAAGGAATAGATGAGGATTTGGAGAGAGAGAGAGAGAGAAAGATAAAGTGGGGGTAGGGGGAATTAGGGTGTTCAATGAATAAGTCACAAGTGAGGCTAAGGGGAGTTAGGGTGTTCAATGAATAAGTCACAAGGAGTGAGTGAAGAAAGATTTGGCAATTTGAGATTCAGAGTGAGAAACAAGAGAATTGATGTGAGGAAAAACAGAGGACAATGGTGGTGGAAATGGATAGTGTCATGTTCAAAGAGGAAGTTTTAGGGGAAAATATGAGAAATAGGGCAAAAAGATAGACGATTGATGAAATTAGGATTGGACTTTTTTCATTTTATACCTAAATTCAACTGGTGTACATAGGTTATTTTCTACTTAGAGCTAATGGGTTGCATGGAAAACTAACCAGGTTAGGCATGTCATTCTTAGGTTGCAGGTTATTTACTTGAACCATTTCTTTTTCATGTTATTGGTTATGTAATTTTTGGGTTTGCGTAAAGAAATGGCCAACCATAACCCCCTAATTTCATATTGGATTCATGTCTTGTTGTAGTGTTGTCTCGATCATTCCCACCCTTATACAAGCAAAAATTTCCATGCAAAATGAGTCGCAACACAGCCCAACCATGACAAGTCTTTTATTATAAAAAGGATTAGACTTTTTTGCAACTAAAAGCTTCAAAACAATGGCTCAAATTCAGATAGCAAAAATGTCGCAAGCCAAGAGAATGAGTTTATATATATAAGGAAAGACAGCTAACATTAACAAGCTTTCCACAATCACATCTTTAACAAACTAATTCAGATGATCGAACTTGCCTGCAGGTGCAACTGGTGGATCATCAACCAAATTTGTAGCTGGGATGGGAATATCCTCTTGGCCATCAGAAATGTCCACGCACACCAATCTTATCCATCAAAATAGTAAGTTTAAGTCACATTCTTAATTAATAACTAAGAATTGATAAACGTTGATTATGAAACAGTTCTTATCTTACCCACGTATTTCGGAAATAGAGTTAGGAATCCGGCCTCGAGTATATTGAACCTATTATAGAGGCGGTAAAAAATAAAAAATAAAAGCTTTAGTAACAAAAATAGCCATGCATCATAACAATCCAGCCACGGGAAAAAGAGATTCAAGATATACTTAGATACAGATAATAAAGGAAATGTGAGAATTGAAGTATATAATATATGCCAACAAGTCCGACAACAACCAAAAAGGAAAAGAAATGGTCAAAAAAGCAGCCAAGATATGGATAAATTTTCAATACGTGGAAAATACACAAGAAACATAGCACCAGTATCAAAAGTAACAATTCAAAGACAGGTGTAGGGTGGCAGCAGTGGATGAGGACATCATGGCCCAAGAGAGACTCGTGTTTCCAATAACCAACCAAAGATCCTCAAAAGCTTGATAATATAGGTGACTATTCTCATCATAAACCAAGAGAATCCATTCTCACAAAGAACATAGGTAGTCCTGGTGTGATTATATTGTCGTCAGTAGTCATAAACTCATAGAGGGGCAAAATAAAGATAGTAAGAACAAAGGTAGGTAGAGAGAGAGCAGACTATAAAGAAGAAGAAAGGAAGAGTCGAAGAGAAACATAGAGGATATATTTCAACATTGTTACATAGCCAAAATTACTCTCCTTCTTAAAATGAGAATTTTACTTTCCTAAATTTAGAAAAGAAATGGTCCTCATCCAGAATATTTGCTCAAAGCAGAAACAATTGTGCAACTAGTATAACAACAATGAGAGCCTTCAAAGACATCAGGGATGGGAAGCCCAGCAGTATCATGGGCCTTAACCTACGGAAGATATCATGCGTCCGAGCTGAACTAAAGGAACAGAGAAGAAAGAAGAAAAATAGAATATTATTACTGCAGTTAGTCTGTGCAATCACATAAAACATTACCTAACATACACAATAAAAGCCTTTATATAGTAGGACAACATAATATAAAGTACACGATTAAACTACCCTTAAAACTAATATGTTAGAATACTCTAAAAGTTCATTAATCACTGTATCAACAGAGGGGAAAGTCGATGGAGAATAGACTCACAAAGTCCCACAAAATCATCTCTAAGTGACATCAAAAATTGCACCAACCTCTGTTTCTCTCTAAAAGTGTGGTATGTCTTGTTAGTACTCGGTTCAACAGGCTTAGTAAGTGCCAGTTGATCCCAATATTCAGTCAAGTTGATACCTCTTTGCAAAATAAGACTGAACAAACGTGGCCAAATAATCCCAATATCTAGTCATAATTGAGTAATATTCAGTTATGTTTCTATCGCTTTGACGTGCAGCTTGAATTTCATGGTCAAGTTGATACCTTTTTGCAAAGTTAGACCGAACAAACATGGCCAACTAGTCCCAAATTTGCTTAGCTGTAGTGAATTTTGTCATGTGAACGCCAATGGTTTGATCCAAGTAATGATTTTAGAATTGTTGACGTCCCAAATGCTTTTCAAATTCACATACCATTGAAGAACATATGAGAAATCAAGTACAACAGTCACCTCTTCTGCTCCAGATTGATGATGTCATCACATACGATGTTGACATCAGCCCTAGCACTCCCTTAGAAATTTTCATAACATTTTTCCAACATCTGGACTATGTTTACGAGCTTACTCTGATACCATGTTAATATTGATTAAAAAAAACAAAGAACATAAAGAAAATATTATTACAACACTGGTCTGTGCAATCACATAAAACATTAATTAACATACACAATAAAAGCCTTTATATAGTAGGGCAACATAATAAAAACTAAATGACTAAACTACCCTTAAAACTAATATGTTAGAATACTCTAACAAAAAAAAGCCCCCAAAAGAAATTAAGCTTTTAAGGGAAAAATAGAAAACCTGATTTGTGGTCATGAGAGGCTGCCCTTCAAGCCGCTTCAGTCGAAACTTAAACACAGTAAACCCTGAAACACCTTTCTCTGCCCAGTAATTAACAACCTGCAAAATCATTGTAGCAAAATGAAGACCAACTGCTTGCAGAGTTCTAAGAAACTACACTCAGATCACCAATCAATCTGCAGTAGGAATGTGCAGGAATCAAAACCACATTGCTTTAATGCACATAAAACTAAAAAGCTAATTCTCCCACAAACCCAAGTTGACAGTTATCACCAATGAAGTATAACTCACCAAAATGAACTTCGCTGAAATCTTTTTTTTATGTACCCCAAAGTATTTAGCTGACTCTTAAGGAGAAGGTGCAGGTGCACAAAGCGGTAAATGGGGAACAAATTTAGATCTACTACCTAGTAAGGATTATGTCTCATTCCCACCAAGAAGGCTTGCCTCTGTATGAATGGAATTCATGCTTTCGTAGAGAAGGTCAGGATTCCTGGCCCCACGAGTTAACTAGCAATGGTTTTTTAGTGGAAAACTTAACAACCAACCATGTCCAGTTCAGGCAACTCTTTACCAATTGGTCCAAACTCCAAATCCTAAAGTAAAGATGATTCTTACCCGATCCATAAACATGCAAGGAGACACAAAATGAACCCTCAGAATGTGCAATCTATCACAAACATTAGAGGACTAATATTGCTAATCCAATAGGAAACAACATTAAGCTTTTCAATGGATAAAGAAAAGATGATCACATTATGTATCAAAACAATGCATTTTCGAAAAAAAAAAAAAAAATATGGAATGATGTTACATGGTTCTAATGCCAGAACATAAGCACAAGTTTGCATCATAACATGATGAATATTATACAAAAAAAAAAAAACCTACTTGAGTATGTTTCGGATAATACCTGGTATAAGCCATCATATGTGTAAACTTTGCCCACATAACTATTTGCACTTTGATGACCTCGAACAACTCTAACAGGCACACATTGTTCCATACAGTTCTGTAATTAAGTAAAAAAAGTTGTTGAAACCCTGACTTACAGTGTTAAAGTAGAAGATGTCATATTAATATTTTCACACATACATCAACCCCGACGTAAAAATTTTAAAAAAAATAATAAGGTTCTAGCACATAAATGTATTGCTGCAGACCCCCAAGACGAAATGGTCATAAACGAAACTGTGAAATTCCACCTTGAGTGGACTCTGTATATTGTTAATATTTATAGCGGTAGAGTACATGAGACAACAGAGTAGAGGCTCTCATGACAAAAACTATCCTTTAAAGACAACTGATACAAATCTGCGATCTTTTATGTTATTTAAAGTTGCAGATCTTACAAGCATAAACTGAACCAGGGAGGGATGGCAAGGAACACTAAATAAAATTATCATCAAAGTTGGGAGAACTCTGCTATGACTTGGCTTTTCAATATTAACAAAAACATTACGTTAATGACTATACAACCATAGGGCGCAGAAACTAATTGCATGAATATATGTCCAAAAAAAAAAAACAAATGCAAGAACCTCCTTTTTAAGACACGACATTTTATTAATAATCATAAGAAAAAATTTACAAGAAACAAATCAATGGTGGACAAGGAATCCACACAATGACTACAAGCCACATGAAGCTCTCCAACTTGTTCTAATACAAAAGAGAGGAATATCCTCAAATTCCTTAGCTGTGAAAGTCCAAAAAGAAGCCAAAAAATGAATTCTATCTCATAGTCCCTCAACTTCTTCACACTTATCATTAAAAATCCTTGCATTCCTTACTTTCCAAATCAACCACAAAGTAGCAAAGAAAGCATTGTACCAAAAAATCTTCCATTTTCTATTTTCCCTATATCCCACATCATTTAAACAAAACATAGAATTCATTTTCCTTGGGATGACCCAACAAAAATTCCCAAAACCACAGAGTTTATTCCACAAATTTTGTGTCAAAGAGCAATGCAAAAAAAGATGATCCACACTCTCATAATCCCTTCTACACATAACACACCATTGCGGTTAAAGACAAAAATTATGTCCCCTCTTTTGAAGAACCTCATTGGTACTAATCTTCCATGGGCAATAATCCATGCACAAACTTACCCTTTTAAAGATACCTTTGCTTTCCAAATCTCCAATGAAGGTTCGAAAAAAATAATTTACTTATCATCAATCAAAGACACAAAGAAGGATTTACAAGAGAAGACACCCGTTGGATCACCAATCCAATACCACCAATCCTCCAAATTAGGAGACAACTCAACATGATTAAGCAAGGAAAAAAGATTAAGACTCCTACAAAACCCAAAAACCCAAGCAATAGGATTAAAGTATGACCAAACCATAGAGGAAAATAGTCGTGGAAAGAGAGTAGAGAAATAAGACCCTCCCACCCAAATATCCTCCTAAAAACGCNTAAGACTCCTACAAAACCCAAAAACCCAAGCAATAGGATTAAAGTATGACCAAACCATAGAGGAAAATAGTCATGGAAAGAGAGTAGAGAAATAAGACCCTCCCACCCAAATATCCTCCTAAAAACGCACTCTAGTTCCAACACCCACAATGAACTTAACCCCTCGAGCAAAGCAAGGTAACCCCTGAGAGATAAACTTCCACAGACTCCAAAAAGTATTCCTTTCAATCCCACTAGCCTAAAGCCCATACTTGCTTCTAATAACGGCATGCCACAATGAATCTTACTTCAAAAGAAACCTCCATAGCTATTTTCCAACCAAAGTAACATTCATTTTCACCAAATAACCTATCGATAGTTTTACAACCAAAGCAACATTCTTTTTCACCAAATTCTCTATCGAATGCAAGAACCTCCTTCATAAGCAAAGATTAAATAGAATTAGATCAACCTCCCAACGTTTGCAGGCAGGACGCTTTTAGAGCTTGTCCCACCTCTATTTGGAATCTCCGAAACTAGTATATGCATCTTATCGGTCTCTCTGCTCACTGTCAATTCATTTTGAATTGGAAATTTCACATAATATCAAAGTTGTTCTTCAGGCAACTGTGGGAGAGTTTCTCCGTCTGAATTCGATTGATTTGGAATTTGATCTCTCTTTTAGTATTCATATAGTCAATAAAGACAGGGGCAAAAATTAGCCAATCACACATTCGACAAATAATAGAACACCAGGAACAAAGATGATAATATAACAATGTTGCAACACATAACATGGAAACCAGAAGGAGAAAATAGCCAAAAAGAAATATATTAGGACTTAGGAGTACATACTTTAAGTCCCAAATTACCACGTAGCATTACTTGATCCTGTATTTGTCTCTTATTGCCAAGTAAATTATTTCCACCTTGACCAGTATATACAATATCTTCACAATTATCCAGATCGTCCTCATACTGCCCTGACAAAACAATTGATGTTGCAAGTGGAAATGTGTAGCCAGTATACTCCTGCAACAATCCCCTGACAAAACTTTAATTGATTTTTCATTAATGCAACAAAAAGATGGGCTGTACGAGAGTAAGAAACAAAAATTAAATCGACAAGGGATCAACCCTCAAACAAAGAACTCCCGGGTGCTTTTCAGTTTATTATTTATCATATGCAGCAATAACATTGATGATGCAACAAAAAATAGCACAGCAAGCAGACAAGATTACTACTTTTTCAACAGGTCGCATTTGTTTGACTCTCAAAACACACTCCTCATAATCATATCCCACGTACCAATGGCATTTTGGCTAAGGGCAACAAAATAAACAAAATGCACCAAATGGCACAATCCATGCAGTCGCAGGGTACACATGACCAAAGAACACTAAGCTCCACCTAAGAACATGAACCACCAATAGAAAATGCATAATAGTAAAATTACAATGGACAAGAAAGTGTTCCAAAAATTTGAAAAATGCAAGGAATTTAAAAATCAAGGGCACTGTTTTGCAAGAATACAGGATTTTTTCCCAAAGAAACCACCTTGTCTACAACCAACTAGAAAACGAACCAATGCACACCCACCAACCCCCATACTCAAAAAAAAAAAATTTTAACAAATACAAAAATAATACCTAGTGATGATAGAATAAATAATGAGTTGGTTGATGTCTCCTTCGTCTCGATATGCAGACAATTCCAACTTGAAAGAAGTTCCCTCCATTCCCTTAAACCTTAGCACTCAATATCACGTGAAAAGTGTAGTCTAACACTCTATATGGATCAAAAGCACATCATATGACCATCCCTGACAAAATAGCCCACACCACAAGACTATCATCCTCTGATTTTGTTACACTGACACGCCCCATAAAAACTTCCAACATCTCAAAGTTCAACTATTTCCTGCATAAATTATCCACTTGCAAATTGAATCTCGAGATCCCTATGCCCAAACGAGATCAGTTAAACATCCTGACTTCCTAAAACCCACATTTCCTAACCAATCTCATGAAATTAGAAGTTTACCGCCACGCATCCCACAAGAAATCTATTAAAGCTTCTCAATTCAACCTGCTACCAAGGCCAAAATTGTCAAAATAAACAGATTAATCATAGGGAGGAAGTTGAAATGACCTCCTTTTAACATAGTTAACAGAAAACCTTCCCCGTGAAGAATTACCTCCCACAGCCAATCTCTTCTCGAACCCCTCAACTACAAAGCCTCAAAATGATATTGCCTTAAAAGGAGAACTCAGAGGAAGACCAAAACATGACGAAGATTATTAAACTCAAGCCCATAGTGTTTTCCATTGTTGAAATGTTAGAGGTTTCTAAATCCCAGTTTGAGTATTTTCAAAATAGGAAAATGGGGAGAAAAGAAATCAGTAACAGAGTATGTGCACTGAAAAACATAAAAACCCAATTCAAACAGAGCTCCACATTGAAAGATCCACAACCTAAGAAAACGCCAAAGAAAAATAGCTGAGACTCATTACCGGTGGGTACTTTGCCCCTTTGCTGGCAGTTTTCCCAGATTGCCCGATATAATCAATTCCATTCAGCCAGTGGCTATGGAACCCTACAGCAACCATCTCAGCCCGTGAAAAAAACTGATGCCCAACATCAATCCCTGCAATCACAAATGCAAACTCAGTAATCCTTATAAAATATTTTGAAATTGTAACATGTCTTTATTCCTGAATGCCTACAATTTAATGTTCAAGGTTGAGTCGAGTTAAATATTGCTCTGGAAGGAATTCCAGTCAACCACGTCAACTAAAGGAATAAGCCATTATATAAGCAAACATGGAAAAGTGAAAGCCACCCACCTGGAATGGATCCAAATCTTTTGTTGGGGTATAATATAGCATTAGTCTCCATCATCTGCCACTTTTTAACTTATTAGAAAGATAATAACAGTTAATGAACTTAAATAGCTTAAATACATGGCGCAAACAACTTCATCTATAATCTACTCAAATTGATCTTATCAAGCAAAAAAACCAATATAGTAGCCACTACGGGTAACTAAATTAATCCATTAACCTAAACCAAACATATGAATACATAAAAATATATGGTGGTCACTTGACATTGTTAGCTGAGGCATGATCATAAAGCAACACAACTCATGGCAGGTAACTGTTGGGGCAGTTCATAACAAAAAAGAAAGGAAATTCCAAGAGAGAGTAGAATGGCCCATTACTGTGATAAGTGTAAACCTCAACTAGAACTTCCATAACAAGTCATTACACTTCATCATGTAGATAAAACTCACCAACCATACAGCAGAACATTTATAAGTAATATGACACCAACTTCCCCCTTATGCAAAGAACAATGACCATCAAAGAATGACTTGCCTTCGTTATGGCTTTCAGATCAGGTCGCTTGGAACCTCGTTTAGCATCATTTTCCGCTGGTTCCCCTTTCTGAACAAGTTGCACAAGTTTCTCCATTAAGATAGACTAAGAAAAGCTAAGGAACAATCAAAAATCAATATTTCATTTGCTTCCTTACTAGAGATAAACTTCAAAATGATATAAATTTAATGAGAAAAAATAATAAAAATGTCTCTGTCATGTAGACAATTCAATTAACAAGTAACTCCTCTAAAACATTAACCTGACAGAGTAGAGATTTGATAGGGAAGGTGACAAGCCTTGAACCTTCCTACACTGATAACATAAAAGTAAAATAAAAAAAATTCCAAAATAAAACTTGAGGCTGAGACACGAGGTATATTACATTATATTTCAACATATCCACATCAATCTATAACTACTTACATGCAGCAACGTACTAGCTATATCCTTTTTAGGTAACATAATGTCAAGGAGTTTTGAAAAAAAAAAATCTAGAAAGTTGGATTAGCAATGATTGAGAGTAACCCTGATCAAAACGATTTATCAAAGTACAACAAATCAGTGTTATTTAAGGCGTAAAGTGAATGGAAGCAAACCGGTCTCCTGAGAGCCTAAATGAGAAGCGAAGCGAGCGTTTCATCGAAGCAAAACAAACAATATAAAAAATAAGCAAATATTTTAATTTGATACTTTGATTACCCCTATTCAAGTTTTAACTTTACAAATACAAAATATTTAAATGTAACTAAAATAATAATCATCAACATATTAAATATTGAACTTTATGGCATTCTAAAAATAATCAATTGACATAATCACACCATCTAATTGTAAAGCTAGCAAATGTGAATTCAACTTTCACCGTAATTGATTAATATTACCACTAAATAGGGCACTCACAAATTGATTAATCAAATAGAGCATATAATAAATTGATTAATCAATTTGATTGACCAAACAAATTGATTAACAAGAGCATTCACATAAAAACAAAACATTCAAAATCATTTAATCATAATAAAAACAGATTGTCATATCATACTGTTAGATGAATCTATCAATTTATTTTATATATACATACATATAACATCATCTCTACTAGAGTTTAGTTAATGTTAAGGAGGAAGAAGAAGGATGGGTTGAGTGCGGGGGGGTGGAGGAGAAAATAAAAAAATTGTCAAGCGTTCGCTTTTCTCGCCTGGTTCAGTTCTTCGCTTCGTCGCCTAGGCTCGTTTTTTCCTCGCTTCGCTTGAGATGTTCAAGGCGACCAAGACTCGCTTCTCGCCTAGGCGCTCTCCTAGACTCGCTTTTCACAACACTACAACAAACAGCAATAATTGCACCAATGGTTTCCTGAGACGATTGAAATTTAAATCTATGGACACCATTGATCTAGACAATGTTATAACTTTATGACCTTACATAGACCCTAAAGGCCATGCAAATTTAATTTTAGGCCTATGCTGGCATTATTATTTCAATACCATAAATTTCAAGATATGGCCTTGTTCATTCCATTGACTTCCATGGTATATAAATGCAAGTATAAGATGAATCGCATGAATGATCATCACAATGCAATATTATAGGATATATATTTTCTCTAAAATCAAACACACTAACCAGCGAGATAACATTTTTGTTACGTGATCTAAATCATAACTTCATCGATGAAAAAAAAGAAACTAATTTACAAGCTGGAACATAACAAGCTTATTATCACAAAAGAAAAACCTTCATAATAGTGCATAAGGAAAAAGAATATTGGCATCCTATTAATTAACTAAGCCATTTACAAAAAAAAGTCCACTTAGAAAAGGAGAAAAAATATTAGACACTCACCTTGGATTTTGGACCCTTGCTTTGTTTTTTATCAGCTTCAACTCTTGTACACCTCTTCTCCTCTTCCTATGTTATCATCACAAACACGCAATTGAAAAAGTTCTTTTTCCATACAATTGATAATTAAAACCAGACACAAATCGAAAACTGATTTCTTCAAAAGTGTGTGCATGACAGTGTTTTAAAATCCGGTCCGGCCCGACGGATTAACCCGGTAAACTAGTGAACCGTTGTCTAAACCGGCCCGATTTAGTCTTTGAATCGTTTAAGTACCAGACCCGTCTGAAACCCGCTAAACCGAAGAAAAACCGTTGATTCGTTTAAAACGGATGAGTTGAATCAAACCGGATGGGTCAATTATATTAGTATAAAAACTTGAGTTTTGGGTAGTTTGCCCTAAATCAACACTCGCAGTCGCAGTAGTCTTTCACATCTCACTCAAGTTTTTGATCTGGTACCTAAGTCGAACGAAAATCGTTGTTCACCGAATCGAAGCCAGCCTCTGCATCTTCTCTTCGCAATGATCGATCATTGATCAATCAGCCGCTACGAGCCTGCGACTGTCTCTCTTCTTTGCGATTCCTCTTCTCTTCAACTGCCCTAAATCGACAGTCTCTCTTTCTCTATCTCTTTGAATTTCTTCTCTCAATCTCTGTTCTCTCTCTATGTTGCTGCTAGCAAGTAAAGGATGAAGCTGGACTTCAAAGCTCCATTCCATTGAAGCTTCGAGCCATCGACAACCATTGACAACCGGTACACTACTCTCTCTCAGTCTCTCTCCCCTCTCTCTCTTTCTGTCGTTATCTCTGTTATGAGAGCTTTTGGTTTCCCACTGGCATATAGGGTTGCATTTTGGAATCTTATGGTGGTTTGAGAAGGAAGTGGTTTGTGTCAAAACAGTTGGGTTGCATTTTTTTTTATGGGTTGGAATTTGGAGGGTTGACCTGAGTTTGTGTCTAATTTGGTTTGTAATTTTGATCTAAATTGTGTGTGATTCAAGCCAAATTATTGAAACAAGGGCCAAATTTGTTTGAGTAACTTGGATTTTATGATTCTTTTTAGCATTTATAGTTTCTGTTGTTACTATATTTTTTGAACCAAACAAATGATATAATTTAATGGTTATTGTTATTATAATTTAATTGAAGAGTGCAAACTACATGGATAATACTTGGATTGAATAATTGATGCATAGTAAGAGACTTGGACTTGGAGTTTTGAAGTTAAATATAGTCATGTTTTTGCTACTTAACCTCTGCTCCTAGTGCACAGCTGGTGGGTTGGAGAATATTGATGGATGCTTAGATAAAAAATATTGAATATAGATGGGGCCGCTAAAGGTAATCCTGGCCCTGCTGCTGGTGGGGGTGTTGTTATGAGAAATGAATGGGGGAGAATGGTGCTTGCAGCTTCTTTCTTCTATGGTGAGTGCACCAATATGGTGGCAGAGTTTAGAGCCCTTCTTGATGGTCTTAAGTTGGTGGAATAGTATGGTTTGTGTGTTTATCAGATTCTAATTGAATCAGATTAATCTGCGAGGGGGAAATTTGATTGTGCTTGGTTTTTGTGGTCCATTTTGGCACAGATTAAGGAGAGGCTTGGTAGAATGGTCTTTCAAATAAGACATGTGTATAGAAAAGCCAACTTTGTGGCTGACAGCTTGGCCAATGTAGCTGTGCAGAATGGTTTTTCTACTGATTTCACTGTGTCTGCTGCTATGCCTTGTTCAGTGAAATGGATGTTGTTGCAAGATATGAGGGGATTGCCTGTGGTGAGAAAGAAAAATGTGATTGTTTTTGATGATAAGGGATGATGGAGGTAGTTGTTGTTGCTGACTGGGTCTGGATAGTATGCTGGGCTGGGAGTACCTTTTATGAGGCTGCAGTGCTGCTGTTCTGTTTTGCTGCTGTGCTGCTATGTTGCTGAATTGCTTTGATGTGTTGCGATTGATTTTAAGAGGGATAAGAGGCTGCTGCCATGGGTGCAATGAAGGTACTTTTGGAACATTTTGAAGGATTAAAGCCTTTTTTCATAAAATTGAATGTTTTAGAATTCTTGTAATTCTTGATTCTTGTAATTGCTTGATTCATTCTACAAAATTCCTTTTTCTTAAAAAAAAAACAAATTGTATTAGAAATTAAATGCATTGGATATATGTTTGATGATTTTTCTCTACTTACCTTTACACATTTGCTATTATTATCATAATTATTGTGATTTTTTAGCCTATTTACTATTATTTATAATTATTATTTATTTTTTTATTATAGAACCGGTTCGATTAGTGACCCAACGGTTGAACCAGTAATCCATTAACCCAGTTCCTCTGCCGGGTTGATGTCCGGGCTGGGTTTTAAAACTATGGCGCATGATCAATGTTTTAAAATTCACCCCAGTCATTGATGTAATGATGTTTTTACTTCTCAAACATAAAAATGTCTGCATCAACAACAGAAATACAGAATATAGTATGATGTACACATTTAGTTGAACACAAATCACAGATATTCCACACGATATCCAAAAAAACCAAGCCAATATATAGAGAAGAACAAAAAATTACAAACAATTCAGTTTCATTCAACAGTTATCCATACTATGGACAAATTCTTGAATGTACCTGGCATCATACCCTAAGAACATGTGGATTGGTGTAGATAAAATCTTAGGAGCAGTTGCAAAATGCAGATAGGAGTAACTATAGTATACAAATGACTAGATTGCCTAATTCATTGCACTATACTCAACTAGAATTTCACACACAAACATGCACAGGAAAATTGAAATTGTTTAGAGCATTGCAGTTGCCCATTCATTTACGTGCTTGGTTACTGAATGTACTGATGAGTGTAGTACTTCTTCTTGAATGACTAACTTAGTAATCAATTAAGTAGACATTTGATTAAAGCCAAATAAATTAGAGACAGAGATAAAGGGCATGGCGCAAAAGGTCCAAAGAATTCATCATGTTGTACACCTTTCAAAAATTAAAAGGAAAAAAAAAAAGGTCCAAGGTGTCTTTGGAAAAGAGTTGATCATGTATTGTGTGAGAAATACAAATCTATTCATTCAAAAAATGGAAGAAAACACATAACCCCCAAACCATTCCAAAAATGTCAGTCGAAATAATGTTTTGCCACAACTTTTTCTCTTCTGACACAGCTTTTCTTCAAAAAAAGCTCATATTCCATAAATTATCATTGTAAAGATATACTTAAAGTCCAAATCCACTTACAACAATGAATTTATTCTATTTTGTTCACATGAATTATGCTATTACTGGTAGGAACACAAATGGAACATAGGTGAATATATCCACAACACTCAGCAATAATATTTCTCATCAAAAGTGGTAGAAAAATAAACTGCTGAGGCAAAAAATTACAATATGCCGTTAAAAATGAAAGTAATTTTACCATAACAACTATTGGTAAGTAGATTAATGGAGCTAAATTGGATGTTATTTTAACTAGTATAAGACAAATTCTAAGATCTAATACACTTTGAAACTGTTACATAAAAATATTGGATGAAACTGATGAAAGAAAATAAAGACTAATGATTATAGGGCATATTACTTTTTCAGAGATTTTCTCTAAAAAGTGTAAGAGCTCGTAGAAATTGTTATAATAACACTTTTCAAACTAGTGTATAAACTGGGCATGCCTCTCCAATTATTGTCAATTTGTTTTCATGTTAAGTTTATAGCTTTTCTATTTCCTTTTTTGTCTTCTTTTTTCTTAAATTTGAGTACTCCCCTCATGTACTGCTATACTTCTTATTCATAAATTTGTCGTGTTTCCCATCAAAAAAATAATAATAATAACTGAAGCCACATCTCACATCTGAATAGACAAACATAACATGACTTCAATCATCAACGCATTCTCCCGCTAGCTTCTTACATATCCATTTCTTTTCCTGTCAGATCTAGTATTGCCATCAACCCTTCCATTGACAATGATTAAATAGACAAACAATTTTACAACCGTCCAAACATGGTACCTTTACAATTTCATATGAAAGGATTTATATTCTAGCATTCAAAAACTACATCCCTGAAGAATTTTAAGGTACACAACAAGACAACATCTTCAACATCTGTTTCTAATCAAGTAACAGAAATACCAACTTTTGACTTCTGAGTAACTCAAGTTCATCTAAGCAGTATCAACAATGATAGAGACAATTCCAATTTAGACGCTTAACTTCATATCTAAAACGCATGCTTATAAAAGATAAGGATGTACATCAAGCCCTGCATTATTCTAAGCAAAAATCTAAGTTGTTTAACTTCAACCTAGAATCATTTGATTTCTTCATACAACCTTGAAAAAAAGTGCCAATGCAAGCAAACTCGTATTACAGTAGGCTGTCAGTATGACCTTCACAAGAAGTCCAAAGAGTTGTAATATTCTTAAACAGTCGAGGATGTAGAAGTTACTATAACTTCCAATGGAACAAGGACACAGAACTTCACATATTACATGGCAACAGTCCGAAACTCAGTTCGTGTAAATCAGTGAAACATCAATAACCAAATAAATTAAATCAGAGTCAATCGTCTTTAGCAGTAAAACCTTTATTTCCCACCTGTTGCTGATAATATCAATAATGACCCATATACTTCTCATTCAACAATCATCAGAGCAATAGATTGGTTTTCAGTACATTGAAGCTAATAACATCAACTAAATACACATTCGCAATATAAACAAAGTTAAAAATACAAAGAACTAGGACTTCAGAGTTTTACATAAAACCAGCTGTTCGCCAGGACAACTGAATGATGAGGCAAACACAGAAACCATTTATGCAATAGCAATTTCACAGAAACAAAGATTCTATAAATTTTTCTAATCCAAACAAGGCATTTATCTGACCACATTTATATTCTACATATACTGATGTGTTTGTCAAGAGCAGGGATGTCTCCAATAGGAGTATGTATATAATGTATGCACATTTTACCTTCTTCAAAAGTAACAATAAAAAACAATACAATGCCTGATATAGAATAGAAAGGGAATAAAAAATAAGGAGAATAAGAACACATGTTGAATACATAAGTATTTTGTTCACTGTAAGAGCTTAGCAAATGAACTAACCTGTACAAGGTGAAGGTAATGCTTGTTAAAAATCCTCAAAGTCTCCGTAACCCTAGTATATGCACTTTTCTCAGAGACTGTTCCGTTCTCTGTAAACTCTGCCAAACTCATATTCAGCTTCTCATCATTCTCTACAACAGCACAGTCCTTAACCACATCTGACCCTAAAACCTCTATCTGAACCTCTGAACCTCCGATCTCAGAACCCACATTAGGCCTGTCCACCGTTTTCCTGTGTTGCACTCTGGTCTTCTTTCGAAAAACCCTATCTTCTTCCTGATTTACGAATTCTTCTCTCTTACAAACTCGGAGAGCCTTTTCGCTATTCAGTTTTTTTATCCTCGCACTCGACCTTCTCTCACACGGCGAGCTATCCGACTTCCTATTGTCCAGTCCTTTGCACTTCATTCCTTCGCCGTCAACAATAGAAACCACTCCAGCGTCAAGAGTAGCACTATCAATCGGATTAGCACTCTTGTCAGTGGAAACGACTGACAGAACCACCATTGTCGACCCCAGAGCTAATGACCTGCATGAGAAGAGTAAAAATGAAGAATCAAAAAATGGAGCAGAGTGAGAAAATCTTTTTCTAGAGCACGTACCGATCTTGAAGGGAAAAATATGAAGAAATGGAGAGTGAGCACTGCGGAGGAGGGAAAAAAGAGGATTCAACGATTTGAATTATAAGGGTTACATAATAGGCACAGTGAACGAACGAAGGAACACTAAAGTGGAGAGAGAGAGAGTCTAAAATCTCTACTTACGAGAGAAAGAGGGAACGAACAGACATGCACTGAGTCACGTTTGATGTGTGTGGGTTTTGCGCTTATTTCGTTCCCGCTCGGCTTTCTCTGGCAAATCGAGGCAGTAAAACCACGCCGCCTTAATTTGTTTATTTCAATTTCTCCATTTTTTCTTTTTGCTAAACAAACGAGAAAAAAGTTTTATTCAAACGAATTCAGTTTTCCCCCCTCTCTTAATACAATAAATTCGATTCGGCGTCTAATTCAAAATTCAAAATTGATTTAACTCGGTGGGCCATGATATTTTCAAATTTATTTCAATATTTAATCAATCAATCAATCTTACCCGCTAATTTAGTATTGAATATGCCTTAAAACAATTACTTGTGAAAAAATGATAATTCAAAATACGAGAAACGATATTAGTTAATTAAAAATATTTTCTCGTACGGCACATAATGTCTATAATAATAAGATAGAATTTTTTATAAGATTGGAACTGAATTTCGATTAATTTGAATGATTTTTAAAATAAAATTGTTATTCTTAACGAATTTCTACTTCATCATTGGGTTCAACAAACATGAAATTCCACTTGTGCTCAAGAAATCGAAAATTAGTTGCTGTCACTTTGGACTAAATCTTTGAGAATCATTTGTGCAGATCATACACACATGAAATTGAGCACACTGTAAAATGAACAGAACACCAGTTAGCTAATTATGCCAAATTTTGTCAGAGCTTTTCGGTCATGCAGTGGAATTAGATTGAATTTTGTTGGAAATAATAGGTTTTAAATAAATAATTTTGATATTTATTTGTTTAAAATTATTAAGTATTAAATTATAATTTATTATGTTACTCAAAAATTATAATTTTTTAAAATATTTTTGTGACTTTCGGAAAAAATTAAATATGTGTAAAATAAATATGACATGAAATACTACTAGTTCAAAATTTATGACTTTTGGTTAAAAACACAAATTCAATAGTTAACATCTTTTCACAAAATTACAATTAAGACATTTTTAGTTAAAAGACATTATTACAAATAATCACAATTTTTTATAAAGTCATCAATGATATCTCTTAGACTAAAATATATCATTTCAAATGGTTGTACCAATTACTATTAGTACCTTTTGAACTAAAAATCACCATTATAAATAGTTATACCATTTATGAAAAGTCACTAGTTAGTGTGTAAATAAGTGATGTCTTACACTCCCAAATAATACGATTAAACAATTCTTACTTCTTGCAATAATTGTTCTCTCATTCTACTTCTTTCCATTATGCCAAATTATGAATTTTGTATTCAGTATTTTTCTTATCTCTTTCTACATATTGTTTCTAGGGATGGCAATGAATTGGGGCAGGGGACGTAGTCTCCACCCTAGTACCTGCTTTGAAAAATTCTGTCCACCCTCGGTTCATCCCGTTAACAAAGAAAATTTTAATTCTCGTCCCTGCCTTGTGGCTAAATTATGATCTCCATCCCCACACGCCGCTACCAGTTTCCCCGCCTTGTCTTTGCCCCCACTAGGACTCCCAGTATTCAAGCAACAAACTAAATCAATAATCAATAATCAAGATAATACCATAATCATGCAATAAACCATATTCGAAACAAAAATTGAGAAAAAATGCCAAAAAAAAATGACGTTATCGTAAGTCATATCTGTAAAAAATAACATCTTCAAATATGTTTGGATCTAATCTAAATAGACCTGATCTATAATATATACAAAGGTAAAACAAACAAAAATCAAAATAAAATGTCAAGAAAGTCAACCCATAACAAATTTAGGCAAAAATTATCTCAATCTAACAAAAAATATATGCTCTAAGACAGATCTAGGAATCCTTCGCCTGAGAAGACAAATCCAAGTTGTTGCAATCATATGAGGTTAGAGTTTTTCGAGTGAAATGGGATTTTTTGGGATGGGGGTTTTGGGTGAGTGATTTAGAGGCCCATTTGAGATAAAGAAGAACATGGTGACATCGCTGATGACGGGGTAATTTTATGGGATGAAAGGTTGTTGGGTAGGGGTTTGGGGGGGCGTTTATGGGTTTAGGAGAGAGATAAAAGGAAATATGGTGATGGTGGATGGCGTTGGTTTTGAATTTGTTGTCGTTAAAAGAAATAGGGGCGCTGGTGGTAGAAAGGGAAAGATATAGAAGGTGGGTGGGGGGCCAATTAGGTGAGGGAGGGGAAGAAAATAAGAAATCAAAAGATAAAGAAAAAGGAATGGCGCCAAGCTTGAAAATGAAATTTATTATATATATAAATGACGAGTTTAACGAGGCGAGGTGGGGCAGACGGGTTCGGCGCGCGTGAGTTTATACGAGTATCTACGTATCTAAGTTACGGTCCACCCATGCANGGGTTCGGCGCGCGTGAGTTTATACGAGTATCTACGTATCTAAGTTACGGTCCACCCATGCATCTATTTTCTTACGGGTTTATATGAGTATCTACGTATACGTTCACCGTCCAATACATATAGTTCATTCTTCATCCAAACGAAACGGGATTTGGACGGATCTTTGCTTTTCCCAGTCCACTACCATCCCTAATTGTTGCATTGTCATTTCTTGTTCGATTCGAGTATAATTGGAGTTCTGAAGATAGAAGTACCAATTCTTAAAAAATGAAACTTCGTTCTATATCGAGAGGCAGTTGCTCATCAAGCTTAAGTACCGAAATGAAGCAAATATATCTCAAGAAAGCTATGATTACACAGAGCTCAAATTATTATTATTTATGATTTTTGAAATTTTTATTACTCGTACAGTTATGCGTCACTGTAAGTGCATTACTGCTTATGTTNATGAAATTTATTATATATATAAATGACGAGTTTAACGAGGCGAGGTGGGGCAGACAGGTTCGGCGCGCGTGAGTTTATACGAGTATCTACGTATCTAAGTTACGGTCCACCCATGCATCTATTTTCTTACGAGTTTATATGAGTATCTACGTATACGTTCACCGTCCAATACATATAGTTCATTATTCATCCAAACGAAACGGGATTTGGACGGATCTTCGCTTTTCCCAGTCCACTACCATCCCTAATTGTTGCATTGTCATTTCTTGTTCAATTCGAGTATAATTGGAGTTCTAAAGATAGAAGTACCGATTCTTAAAAAATGAAACTTCGTTCTATATCGAGAGGCAGTTGCTCATCAAGCTTAAGTACCGAAATGAAACAAATATATCTCAAGAAAGCTACGATTACACAGAGTTCAAATTATTATTATTTATGATTTTTTANTAAGTACCGAAATGAAACAAATATATCTCAAGAAAGCTACGATTACACAGAGTTCAAATTATTATTATTTATGATTTTTTAAATTTTTATTACTCGTACAGTTATGCGTCACTGTAAGTGCATTACTGCTTATGTTTTATTTCAATAGTTTGCATGTAACAATATACTTGGTGATTTAGATTTTACTACAATAGTTAATATTTAATATTAATATCTAATTATATATATATATATATTATGTTGGATGACAATTTTAAGATATATTTATTGTATAGTTAGATTAATCACTGTTCTATATAAATCAAACTTCTGTATTCTATCATATTGTTACACTACTTTATTAAAATCATAATGTTATTTGCTTATGTTTGTGTAACATAAATGATTATAAATAATTCTACTCCTATAACCATTGTTCCTATTCCGATGAGTGTGTCTCGTGAAGAGAAACACGAGTGTTGGCAACAAAAGATGTATTTTTATCTCACCACAGTAAACTTTGCCAAGTTTCTAAGTGAGGATATACTTGCACGTAACGAAAAATAAAACTGACAATGAGAAGTTGATTGCAGTGGATACTTAAAAGCATTTAGATTTATTGTGTAGAAATTATATTTTGAACAAACTAGACAATACATTATACAATTTATATAGTACTGTCAATTCTGCAAAATGAACTTTGTGAGTCTTTTGACAATAAATACAAGATCGAGGATGTCGACACAAAAAAATTAATTATTGGTAAATTGTTGGATTATAAAATGGTGGATTCAAAGACTGTCATAATCCAAGTTCAAAAAGTTAAAGTTATCCTTCTTGACATTTATGCCGATGATATGTCTCTAAGTGAGTCATTATGAGTGGCGGTGATCGTAAAAAAATTATTACCACTTTGGAAAGATTTCAAAAATTATCTCAAGCATAAGCGCAATAAGATGAAATTTGAAGAATTTATTGTTTATTTGAGGATTGAAGAGTATAACCGCAAATCTGATAAGAAAATTGAAGTCTTTAATTCCATGAAATATAAAGCCAACATTGTGAACGGTGGGACAAAGATTAACAAGAAGAGGAAGTATAATGATGAAGTTCAAATGTAAGTGCTATAACTGTGGTAAACTGGGACATCTCTTCAAAAACCAAATATTTTAGCAAACGTGGCTAAAATAGACAAATTTTCAATAAAAATCTTTGACACGAACTTCTCAGCAGTTGTTTCTGAATGTAATTTGGTGAAAAACCTTAAGGAGTAGTGAGTTGACACTAGTGCTACTCGACATATTTGCTCCAACAAATGTATGTTATATACTTACAAGAAGTTAGAGAATGATGAACAACTTTTTCATGAGAAATTCCTCTACCTCAAAGGTTGAAAGATGTTACAAGGTGATATTAAATATGATATCCGACAAGGATCTCACATTGAACGAAGTGTTTCATGTCCCCAACATTCACAAAAATCTTTAATNCCTCAAAGGTTGAAAGATGTTACAAGGTGATATTAAATATGATATCCGACAAGGATTTTACATTGAACGAAGTATTTCATGTTCCCAACATTCACAAAAATCTTTAGTCAGACGTACTTAGAGTAGTGTTATCAGAACCGAACCTAGCCGGCTGGTCCAACCGTTGAAACAAACCCTTATTGTCCCAATTTGCTAATTAAATAGCGATATGCAACGAAAATGTTTTAAAATCAGAAATCGATTGATTTTGAAGAAAAGTGGTGAACCATATGATTTTATAAAACAAGGCGGTTTGAATCTTAAATGATATAAAAAAAAACAATAATAACCTTATTTTGGCAATTTTACCCTAAAAGATATATATATTTTTTCTCCAATGTATAGCCAGACGCACCTCCTTCCTTTTTCATTCCTTCTCTACTCAGTAGACGATGAACTAAGCACAATCTCCTGCCGGATGAACTCGAACAGATCACGTCAAAACAATATGGCTATCCACTCGGTTGTGCGTGTCTTGGTAATATAAGTATTGATTTCTCGCTCATTNCTCAGTAGACGATGAACTAAGCACAATCTCCTGCCGGATGAACTCGAACAGATCACCTCAAAACAATATCGCTATCCACTCGGTTGTGCGTGTCTTGGTAATATAAGTATTGATTTCTCTCTCACTNTCTCCTGCCGGATGAACTCGAACAGATCACGTCAAAACAATATGGCTATCCACTCGGTTGTGCGTGTCTTGGTAATATAAGTATTGATTTCTCGCTCATTCTCACTCTCACTCTCACACACAATGATGTTTTGATCAATTAATGGCCATTAGGTAGTGGGAGAGATGAGAGTGCTCTACTTTTGGCCTTATTTACTCTGTTCCCCTTATAGTTCACAATTCTTTTAATTTATTCAATAAAATGTTTGATGGAAAATAGAATGAATAAATTAGAGTGGACATGTTTTATATTATTTTTAAGTAAATTATTATGTTTTATAATATTTTTTTACCATATGTACCAATTGATTCCATGATTGAATTATTGACTTGATCCATCTGTCAATTTAATATTTGGTCAAATTCTAATAACATTGATATAGAGCGAGTCACGACGCTATAGCTATCAAACATCAAGGTGCTTTATTGTTAATTTTTAAAATTACTTTGCTATCTTTATAATTAATCGAAAATCGAAATGTGGTGTTGCTTTACCCTAAAATTTATTAATTTTCCATTATTGTTGGACCAAAATACCCCAAACCAAACCAACAATACAAACCATATCTCGCACGCCCGTGTGCCCAGAACCCCTGATCAGTCCCAACCTTTCCCCTATCTCTTCCCGGAGACGCTGCGTGTTGGCTCAGAGTTGCCGCGGACTAGCAAAACAGGTACACTTTAGTTTCTTCACCTTCGCTTTATATTCTCCTCCTCTTTATGGCCAGACACACAGGCACAGGTTCACACCCACCTACATACATACATTCCGTATCTGCAATGATGCAGGAACTATTAGATAAGTCTTCCAAATAAATTCGATGAAGCCTATGTATAGTGGCACCAACTACCATCACCCATCACCTCCCTATCAGTTGGTATGCCTACTGCATCCAAGCCAAAATTAATTGGCAAAACCAGTCAAGAGTGGATGGAGAGACTCCTCACTCTTATGGATCAACCTCAGTACCCTATATTTTATGACGTTAGCATCTCCAGGTCTTACTTTTTTTAAACCTAAATTTAAAGTTGGGTAAAAAATCCCTAAAAACATTGTCTAATGTTATACTCTAACTCATACTAAATCAAAGGTCTCTAAAACTTTTCCTCAAATCATCGATGTTTAGATTTCATTCTCATTTAAAGATCTAATAGTCATTTTTTATCCTCTTTTAAATTTGAGTTTGACTTTTAACTTTGAATTTCTCCATTGGATAGTTTTGTATGAAATCAAGTTTTTTACTCAAATATTGACTAAAATTTGAGTTAAAGTAGGAGAGACAGTTTCTCATCGAATCAATACAGATAGACAAACTTTCAGAATTCATATGGGTGATAGGCTCAGCACATTGACATAATGTCAAAGTAGGTCTGTCAATGGATCAGTCTTTTGATCTAAATCCAAATCCGATTAGTTGGATATGGATTGATATTTATACTGATAACTCGAATCCGAATCCAATCTTCTATATTTCACGGATTTGAATTTAGATATACGTATATCTGATCCGATTATGATCAAATCCAATCCAAAACATATATATTTCGATAAAAATATTGAAATGCCCTATAGATGAGTAATGGGAAGCTCACCTATTTAGTTAAAATTTAGGTGTAATTTGTTAAAATTTAGTTAACTTAAATTATTCGGGTAGGATCATATTTCGGATTGTTAACGGATTCAGATATGAATCACGAACATAAATTGAATGGAGTCAAAATGATATTACTCTGTGTATCGGGATTATAAAATTTTTCGTTTAATAATCCGTTGGATAATCAGNAATTTGTTAAAATTTAGTTAACTTAAATTATTCGGGTAGGATCATATTTCGGATTGTTAACGGATTCAGATATGAATCACAAACATAAATTGAATGGAGTCAAAATGATATTACTCTGTGTATCGGGATTATAAAATTTTTCGTTTAATAAATCCGTTGGATAATCAGATTAGACTTTTAAAATCCGTTTTAGATTCGGATTAGTCAAAACCCGATCTACATCCAATCCGTTGACAAGCATATCAGACAAAGTATTTACTGCATTACCAACGAGTGGAGAGTTTGAGGCAACTCATTCATTTTTTTTTTTTTGCTATTGGAAATGGAGATACAAGTAAAAGCAGAAAACTATCTATCTTGTGCGGTCAAATGTACTTGAAGTGATGCCCTTGCCGATTGTGGTAGTTCTTCATTTGAAAGTGTACCCGTATACCCACAACTAGGGAGAGATAAATATAAGAATCAGAAGATAAACCCAAAAACATAACTATGTTAAATTTATACCTCAAAANATTGGAAATGGAGATACAAGTAAAAGCAGAAAACTATCTATCTTGTGCGGTCAAATCTACTTGAAGTGATGCCCTTGCCGATTGTGGTAGTTCTTCATTTGAAAGTGTACCCGTAAACCCACAACTAGGGAGAGATAAATATAAGAATCAGAAGATAAACCCAAAAACATAACTATGTTAAATTTATACCTCAAAACCAGTTAGCAATGGTTGGAGAGACCGTGCAATCATACAAGTCAAGTTATTCAACCTCAGGTGCTCCTAATTTTTCAGGGTTACAAAGCACTCACATTATGTAATAATAGCTCATAAGGATGTTAGATTTCTTTTACCTCATCAGTAGGATGCCAGAGTAATTTTTTCAGAGTTACAAGAGTAGCTTGTAGATCTTGCAGTTGTAGTGAGTACATTAGGAAAGAGGATTACTTTACACTACCCATCTTTGCTTACTTTCATATGTTGCTACTTGCCGATGGCCAGAGAATTGTTGCGGAATGGAGATCCTAATTGTATGTGCCCTCATTCATCCCATACCCAAGTCACCATATCACCACCTTTTAGTTATTGCATGCCATTGTTGTGTGAGATATTATCCAGTTATTGGTTAAGTGTGTTATTTTTCATCTTAAGTTCCTATTGGTCTCTTGTTTGGCAGATTCAGGAAGTGATAGCCATCATTAAATCACTACATATGTTCTCTCTTTCTTAATTACTGGAATATATTTATAAATGTATGTCTCATTGATTTCCATTTTTTCCCCTAGTCTGTTTATTTGTGTATCTTTGGTTGAGGATACTTATCAGGAAATAAAGTATTCAAGTGTATGTTTTTGGTTGGGAATGCTTAAGGATAGACCTGATTTCATTCGTTCAGGTGTTAATTTACTCTTTATGTTTCCTGTAGGGTAGTATATTCTATGACAAATGGAGGAGGCAAAATGTTCAAAGATAAGGGTTCTTCAAACCTACGGTCTGCCAGCAGGATAATAGATAAGAAAGCCAGAAATGAAAAGAATTCAAGGATCCGTTCAAATTTGAGTTTTGTTCATACGACCACTCAAACCTATGCTTTTGCTCCTGCTAACCCAAATGTTCCTACTATTGCCCCTGCCACTTCTGGCAACTACAACTGGACTTCTGCAGAAGGAGAAATGCTGGCTTCCAGGGATCACCTTTCTGGGTTTATATTCATGTGCAATGGAAAAACAAAAGCCGATTGCTACAAATACAGAGTTTTTGGTCTTCCTGCAGCAAAAATGGAAGTTGTGGAGAAAATCAAGCTACATACGAAGCTATTCTTGTTTGACTTTGACTTAAAACTTCTCTATGGTGTCTACACTGCGGCCTCTAAAGGAGAATTGGGAATGGAGCCAACTGCTTTTGGAGGGAGATTTTCGGCACAGGTAAGATTCTTTCTGCTGTTGCAACCTTTAAAGATGCTTATCAACTGGTATTGTAAAATGATTAAAGAAAATGTACTGCAGACTGGTGTCTTATGGCATGCATTGGCAGTTCAAAGTATGAATTTATTATGAAGTTTCAACTTCTCAAAAGTCATGTGTACGGACATGCTTATACAAGGGGAATAAAACAAAGTCATACAATTTGTCCCTAGTCCTTAGAAAGTCCTTTAAAATTATCTCTCTTTTTTTTTGGTTCCCTTCAAATGAATCAGAAAACTTTATTGCTCAATGAAATATTATGTCACTTGTTCCAAGTTTTTTCCTCACCAAAGGAAGGCTGGAGTTGTGAACCACTTATAAGCTGAACGCGGGATGAGTTTGCCATTAAAAATGTGGTTTATTTAATTTTTTTGAAGTTGGAACATTGGAATATACATTTATTCTTTATTTTCTGGACATACAACGATGTGTCTATTTTTGTACGTAGGAAATCAAATTGAAGTTCTAGACCTGATAAGAATTGTCTTGTTTTAAGAAACAATAGTCTTGGCTGGTTCAGGATTGCAGGTACCCCTTGCGTCCTACGACTGGTGGGTCTCACACGACTAAAGTTTGGATTTGCGACTTTGGTTGCCCAAATTCCATGTTTAGAATTTAACCCTAGTCCCAAATAAATCAAGATGTAGGTTACATTGGGTTGAACTTCTGATCTCTTACTGAGCCTTTGAAGTTTTGACCCCTCAAAGTTCAAAATCGCTTGATATGATTATACACTTATTCATTACTAGCATATTTTTGATTTATCATTAAAAGTATTATGTTCTTTGAGTTCTGCAATTTGCAAACAAAAAAGGTGATGTGCAGTATTCGTAGGCTGAAAAATGCTGAAAGATACTGCTACATACCTACAACATTGAAGGCATTAATTGTTTAAAGAGGGGTAGGCATTTGTGACTTGATTCGGACGCATTCCATACTTTTGCCTTTTCGTTTTGTGTCGTGCNTGCTGAAAGATACTGCTACATACCTACAACATTGAAGGCATTAATTGTTTAAAGAGAGGGGTAGGCATTTGTGACTTGATTCGGACACATTCCATACATTTGCCTTTTCGTTTTGTGTCGTACCGTATCTTGTTTGACTTGGGATTCTACGCATAGTGAAATAATTCTTAGGACATAGCTTTGTCTAGTTTATTGGGCCCCTACGTAACATTAAGTTCCCGTTTTTAGTTTGATCCAAGGCTTTTAAAATTGGGATTCTACCTTGAATCAATAAGGGAGGTAGGCTAAAGGATCGGAATCGTAGGATTGGACCAAAAATCGTAAGATCATACGAACTGAAAAAATGATACGAAAAATATACAACCGTAAAGAATTCTTAAAAACAAGTAATAAACAATCCTAGTGTATATGCAAATAGAAATGTTGTGACAAACATAAAATTTAGATAAATGATCAAAATTTGAGAAACTACAATTTGAGCTTTGAAGAGGGTTGAAAATCAAAGGTGGGCTGTTGATCTTGTTGATTTTGCGAAGAATAGTAGGAGAATTGAAATGTTGTTGATTTTGAAGAGGGCTGATAATGGGCTTGTTATAGATTTGTCTACAGGTCTGATGTCAATTGTGCAGTAAGGATTTTGAGGGCATTTTGCTCTTTTGTATTATGGCGGACTGGAGATCATTGTTTGTTCCATAATGATATTGTCTTTCCTTTCTGTTTTCCCATTTCTTGGCTGGACACCTTGTGCATCTCAAGTTGTCTCTGTTGTACTCTTTTCATATTAATAAGATTGTTTAGTTTGCTATCAAAAAAATAAAAAAATGCTCATTAATTTCAGTTGTTGGTATGCCTAGGTGAGGTTTGAGATTTTCAAGGATTGCTTACCTCTGCCTGAGAGTGCTTTCAAACATGTCATCAAAGATAATTATAATGGAGGTTCCAAATTTAGACAAGAGCTAAGTGCTGAACAGGTAAAGATGTTTGAATGCATTCTTCTTCACTCTATGCCCTGTAATTATCTTGTTGCTGTACCTGATTTCCTCACTCACCCCCAGCAAAACACCAAAAAAAAAACTCCAGCAGAAAAAGAAAAGCTTAGCTGATTCTATTGAATTAATGTGTTTCAGGTAACTAATCTAATTTCGACATTTCGTCCGATGGCTGTGTCACCATCAGGATCTGCTGTCTCTCTGATGCCAAATGCTGTCAGACCAGCCAAATTTGTACCACCAGGCATCGAGGTACAGACTCGGCCTGTAGCTGAGTTTTCTTCTTCTTATGCCCAATATTTAGGTCGATCGCAACTTACTCACCATGAATTGGCACTTAATTCTCAACATGTTCAACAAGCTGGCCCTCTTTGTGCACGTGTACCTCATGCCTCAATAGCAGACATGGATTGTTTGCAGCCGACTACACAGTCTATGCATCTTCTGCCAAAAATCCCACAGACCGTAGCTGATCCATATTATCCCGCCGAAGGCCGTCATGTATATTTTCCTGAATATCATTTCTCACATCAACAGACACCATTTTGCAGGTGAACTGATGATTATTGTGAAGATTGCTCTAGGTTTCTGGCACGTGGATGTAGTATAATATATCAAACTGTTTTGCCCAATGTTATTCATATCCATTGCATTTGATCCTTCCTCTAATGCTTTATATCCAAGAATAAACATTTCAACCCCCTTTCTCCTGGATTATTTTGCTTCCTCCATCCAGACTGCTGATCCATTTGGAAAAGCTCATATTCTTACGAAGTTAATCATTTATCCATGTTACTGTTTGAAACTAGTTTCAGATAGTGCCCTTTAGTTGGAGCCAGATCAATGCATTCAGTCCGTACATCTTAATTCATTTAAAAAACAAGGGGCATGGTAGGAAATGGAGAAGACTTCATATATTGAGATTTCATGATTGATCTATGCAATGGGGCAGCCAAAAAAGGAAAGAAGTCCCATATTTAGGGGAGAACACAGTATTTTCTTTGATATATGGTGGGCTGTTGTCCTTTCTAGTTAATTAATTTTTTAGTTTTTAACTAATCTTGTATCATTATTTTTATATGTTTGTGTAGAAGAAATATACACAAATAATGATTTTCTGATATTATTGTGTAGTTTCTGTGGTGTTAAGCATAAACGAGTTTAATAATTTAGGGATTGTGAGTTCACTGAAAGTTTGAAACTCTTCCATCAACATTCCTGTTTTAGCCAATTTTTTTCTTTAGACCATCGACTGTGAGTCTTAAGTGAAATGCCCTTGTGAAATTTACTTTCATGGATCATGTTGGACTCTTTATAAGATAATGGAGCTTGTGGGCTTGCTTCATTGTGAATTCTTCAATGCATGATATTGTGGTTTTGTATGCTAGAGTAAATATTTGAGTAGTTGTTGATGTTGCTCTGTCCATCCTCCCCTCCTTTTCCTGACAGATACACTGCTGTACCAAATGATGGTGAGAGGGGGATCGTAATGCTGTCGAGCTCTACAAATGATCACACAGGCGTAGAGTCATTTAATGCCCCAGGGCAAGTACATGCCCGTATGCCATCGCAACTCTCAGCCACCTCACATGGGCATATGCGATTACGATCTTCGTCCCTAACAGCTGCTTATTGGGCTGGTGTGGCTTATGAAGGCCCAAAACAGGAGTGTTCTTCTCATCAATTAATACCATCAGTAAGCACTGGTCTGGGACACAAAAATGTTCCCGTTCCTTCTGTAGGAGCAGGCTTGACTCGCCCTGCTATGCCTGAGAAGACTGACACTGAAACTTTTCTGCAATTAGGCAGTGCGGATAATAATCATGACTTCTCGCTTGCAGTTACTAGTGCTCCAATACAGGCACATGCTACTGTCCCATTGCAATTTCGAGCACCCTCTCATGGAGCTGGTACTAACAAAGAAAGTGCTTCGCAATTGGGTGCTGCATATGGTTACCACCACAATTTAGCAGTTTCAGCCACTAATGCTTCATTACAAGCACATGTACAAGTGTCATCACAGGTCCCAGGACCTTCATATGGACTGGCCAAGTTGACATCATCATCAGAAGTGGCTGCTTACTGGACAGCGATGGCTGCTCAGGACCCTAATCAGGTGTACTCGGGTTCTCATCAGATGTTGTCATCAGTAGAAGGTACTGCATACTGTTATGACCACAATCTAGCAGCGTCAGCCACTAATGCTACATTAAAAGCACAGACCCAAGCTCCATTATATGGTGCAGCATATCTGCCATCCTCATCTGAAGCAGCTGCTTCTTGGACACAGGTGGCTTCTGAGGACCCAAATTTGGTGTACTCTGGTCCTCATGAAATGCCGCCAGAGTATGGGTGAAAACCGCCTGCCTCTTTAGCTCCAGCTTATCACGTATGGGATAGCAATTTAGTTGGAGCAAATCTGTGCGTAATAATTTGTATATGTTTTTTCTAAGGCCTCGTCTTTGTCAGCTTTAGCAGTTCCGATGCAATTTCCTTGACTCTTTGTAAAGTACAATTGCACAAGAATCTCAGTGTTCGTGGCCCAGTTGGTATTAATGTGTTCAGGTTTACNCGTAATAATTTGTATATGTTTTTTCTAAGGCCTCGTCTTTGTCAGCTTTAGCAGTTAGATCCGATGCAATTTCCTTGACTCTTTGTAAAGTACAATTGCACAAGAATCTGAGTGTTCGTGGCCCAGTTGGTATTAATGTGTTCAGGTTTTCAAGGACAATAGAATGGTTGCAATTTTTTTTTTATGTGATTGAGGAAAGATGATTAGCTTGTCTCTTTAAAAAAAAAAAAAAAACCGAAAGACCGTAATAACTGATTTTGTAAACCATCCAACCCATCCAAAGTGGTTTATAAAAGGCCGGCAGGAAGACCTTAAGTGGACGCAAGTTTGTAGAGCTGCCCCCATCAAGCTTCTTAGTTGATGGATCTCATCTTCTGTAGTGTAAATTCCCGTTCCTCATTGGCTGATACCTTTCCCTTTTTTTTTTTGTGAGAGTGGTAAATAATTTGACAAAATCAAATAACAAGCTGAAAGATCACAGCAAATTGATAATAGAATACATCGTCATGATTCCACAAATACAATTGACAAGTCTGTGGGCTGTAAGACATTTTTATGACAAGAAAAAATTTGATCACAAGCTTTATAGAAGAAAAGGATTCTCTTCTGTTTGTCTACTATCTTTATGCCACCCGCTCTCATCCCCTGTAGCCCTCGTGAGCTGAGGGGAATGTAACTCTGGTCGGGGAAATAATAGCTTCAGCCGGAAAGCATCAACTCCATTCAAGTAGTATCGGAAAAGCCTTTTTGCTCTGATAAACCCAAGCCTGCCATATAATGCAAGTGCTCCCTTATTTGTCACTTCTGCTTCCAATGTCACCTTTAAAAGAATAAAACAGTCGTGAGCTAACAAACACTTAAATTTTTTTCTTTTAACTTCTGTTGGATAAGAAAACTTCTGAAGAATACATCATCCTAGTACAAATTGTACAAAAAGGGATACATGATAATGTGCCAAATCAACAAGGACTTTCCGCAGAGCAGAAAGAATAAAATTGTTAGGCAACATACTTGGTAGTAGTTGGTCCGTGAAGTAGAAAAGTTTTGACAAAGTCAATGTTCTGCCAATTTCAAGGCACTGAATGATGTGAAGAGATATAAAACCGCTTTTGGGATCTCTCTTAAGTTTTGAATGATTTTGTGCTGGCCTAAGTGGCTTTATATATATCCATTCTTACAGCTCTTTTGTTTTTATAATCCCCTAACACAAATCTAGAAATGGTGGATGCAGGTAGTGTGGTCCTAAGCAACAACAAAAAGGAAAAAGTGAAAATAGAAAGGACACCCTTGTATCAACACTCAAACAACTGAGATACTTATATCAATTTCAATGAGTTGCCATATAAGGAATAAAGAGGGAAGGATGCAGTAACAATTAATTGAAAAGAGCAGATCATAACAGCACCTCATGAACTGGGTGCAGAACATACCTCTTCACAACCGGATTCCATCATCACTTTAATAGATCTGGTAACAAGTTCTGTAGCTGCAGGAAAAAAAATTTGCTAACTTAATCTAGGCACTGGGTCTAATCAGTAATTTCTGCAGGGAATTCACTCATTCAGATAGCAATATTCATTTCCAGTCACGGTCTTTATAAATAGTTATCTTATTGTTTAACTAACACATAAAAAAAGTGCAATCGGGCAGCTAGTGTTATTTTACAGAAAATATTAAGGCATACGAATTCATCTCTTAATGGTGCATACTTCCACCCAAAAGTAATATGCCACAATGATAGCTATGCAGTAGTCCAAAACAAGCCAGATAATTGGAAAATACCCATAAAGTGTAGCAAAAGTGCTTCATATCAATAGTCACAGCCATCTGCAATAGTTCATCTTCATAGCAAATGTAGGCAACAAATTTGTCGGAGAGTTTAATTGAATGGGATGCTGGCAGATATAGAAACACTTCCAGATGCATTAAGCATTCAGAATCATAATTACATAGATTGGAAACATATTGGTCTGCTTCCATCTTCATTACACCCAAACACATTGATTTTGTTGTGACACATAAAAAATTATCACGGCTACACTTGTAGGTTCACGCATTAATGGGTGGTATCGATATGTTGTGATTCAATCAATTGGTGTGAATGTATAAGAATGCCTAACAATGCGAGAAGTTGATATAATAATTCCATTGCACGACACTTGATTGTTTGTTAATAAATTAGTAGTAGTTGCAAATATGTGGGTGCGGTGATGTAAATAGTGTCAAAGAGTGGCTATGATGCCATTTTCTAACAGGAATTGACAACAAACTAGATTAAAAGAAAAGAAAAGTAAAGAAAAAGAGATGGGGTATATAAGCAAGTATATATAGTCACCGATGCCTCGGCCTCTGTAAGGCTTGAGGACGACGAGCATCGCAATGTAACCTCTGAAAGTATTGCGATGCTCTCCCATCTTACAGANATGGGGTATATAAGCAAGTATATATAGTCACCGATGCCTCGGCCTCTGTAAGGCTTAAGGACGACGAGCATCGCAATGTAACCTCTGAAAGTATTGCGATGCTCTCCCATCTTACAAACCACTGTCCCCACGCATTTGCCTTTGTGGAATGCCTAATAGCATAATCACATAGACACAAATTCAGATCTCAATTACTTATAAAATACACAATAGAGAGAGAGAGAGAGATTGCGTGTATATACGTACGAGGAAAGAGAGTTGGGGCCATAGATAGACGAAGTAGCGATAGGTGAAGATGGAGTAGGGTTCGCTAAGTTCTTGATCCACCAGGTTCATGATAAGGGGTAAGTGATGTTCACCACCATAGCTCACGTATTCTATTTCAGACGCCGCCGCCGCCTCCAATTCTACTATTTTTGCTTCCCTTTCTTCGTCTGTCGTCGTCTCCATTGGCCTTCTTCTTTTACTCGTCAGTTGGGTGGGCGTAGGGCGCCTTCCTGCCTCAGGCTGCAGGCTTCTTCGCAGGGTCGGTGTGGAGAGAAGAAAGGCAGGTGCCAAACGAGTGGCATGCTCTTGGATCTGGATTCAGGTCTTGGGCAGGCTCAGTCTAGGGGATTAGAGTCTTTGAATATGGAATGGGCTCGCTAGGCCTCAACAGTATTATTAGGAACTTGGGCTTCATGGCCTCAACATTAAGAGCTTGGTAGCTGCGACCTTCAATTCCAGGCAGTTTGAGGAGCAACCTTTTTCTGTGTGCTACCATGACCATTGTGCCGTGCTGTCCACTCCCCACGCACCCGCTGTAGAAAATATTATTATCACTAAACCTGTTTGAATGGCTGGAAAAATCTGGATACACCTTGCTGAATTGGATAAATAAGTTGTGGCCTTATTTATCCTTGCGTTTGGCAATACATTTTAAGGCCAAATATTCGTAACTTTTCAAAAAATCGTCGGTAATGATTCAGCTCTTTTATCCTTTCTCATCATCTGGACAAAAGAATCCCACCAAAACTTTGGGATTAAGCAGCAGCCAACAGGATACATATGTATTTTTACAATTACACCCCGGTAAAGCAAAAATAGGGTTTTTTCATCTTATCTTCTGCCATTTTCACTGGTCCCCATATTCGAACGACGCCAACTCCTTCCATTGGCAAGGTATTCTCTCTCTCTCTCTCTCTCTCTCTGTCTGCATTTATTTATATATATCGGTTGAGAGAAGTTGGTCTATGTCGGTGTATTGATTTGTGTCCTCTTGTGGGTTCATTTGCTGGGTGTTGCTCNACACAAATTCAGATCTCAATTACTTATAAAATACACAATAGAGAGAGAGAGAGAGATTGCGTGTATATACGTACGAGGAAAGAGAGTTGGGGCCATAGATAGACGAAGTAGCGATAGGTGAAGATGGAGTAGGGTTCGCTAAGTTCTTGATCCACCAGGTTCATGATAAGGGGTAAGTGATGTTCACCACCATAGCTCACGTATTCTATTTCAGACGCCGCCGCCGCCTCCAATTCTACTATTTTTGCTTCCCTTTCTTCGTCTGTCGTCGTCTCCATTGGCCTTCTTCTTTTACTCGTCAGTTGGGTGGGCGTAGTGCGCCTTCCTGCCTCAGGCTGCAGGCTTCTTCGCAGGGTCGGTGTGGAGAGAAGAAAGGCAGGTGCCAAACGAGTGGCATGCTCTTGGATCTGGATTCAGGTCTTGGGCAGGCTCAGTCTAGGGGATTAGAGTCTTTGAATATGGAATGGGCTCGCTAGGCCTCAACAGTATTATTAGGAACTTGGGCTTCATGGCCTCAACATTAAGAGCTTGGTAGCTGCGACCTTCAATTCCAGGCAGTTTGAGGAGCAACCTTTTTCTGTGTGCTACCATGACCATTGTGCCGTGCTGTCCACTCCCCACGCACCCGCTGTAGAAAATATTATTATCACTAAACCTGTTTGAATGGCTGGAAAAATCTGGATACACCTTGCTGAATTGGATAAATAAGTTGTGGCCTTATTTATCCTTGCTTTTGGCAATACATTTTAAGGCCAAATATTCGTAACTTTTCAAAAAATCGTCGGTAATGATTCAGCTCTTTTATCCTTTCTCATCATCTGGACAAAAGAATCCCACCAAAACTTTGGGATTAAGCAGCAGCCAACAGGATACATATGTATTTTTACAATTACACCCCGGTAAAGCAAAAATAGGGTTTTTTCATCTTATCTTCTGCCATTTTCACTGGTCCCCATATTCGAACGACGCCAACTCCTTCCATTGGCAAGGTATTCTCTCTCTCTCTCTCTCTCTCTCTGTCTGCATTTATNGGTCCCCATATTCGAACGACGCCAACTCCTTCCATTGGCAAGGTATTCTCTCTCTTTCTCTCTCTCTCTCTGTCTGCATTTATTTATATATATCGGTTGAGAGAAGTTGGTCTATGTCGGTGTATTGATTTGTGTCTTCTTGTGGGTTCATTTGCTGGGTGTTGCTCTCTGTCCCTGTAGCTCTGTCTCTGTGTAGCTTTGTATGGGTGTATTATGTGTTGGGTATTTTTTGGGATAAATATGCTTTTTGTTCATGTGAATTTGTCTTGTGCATTAATTTTAAGCACCCCGCAACGTTTCAGACATTAGCCATGGAGAAAGTCTGGGCTTCCGAATTTCATTGATGGGCTTTTGGTCAGCTTGTAGAGGAGAGAGACTCGTCATCTTTACAACAAATTATGTAGACAAACTCGATCCGGCGCTCATTCGGAGGGGAAGAATGGAAAAGCACATTGAATTATCTTACTTTAGCTTTGAAGCATTCAAGGTTCTAGCAAAGAATTATCTTAATCTTGAGACCCACCATCTGTTTGTGAAAATTCGTGAATTGTTAGAGGAAATTAATATGTCCCTTGCCGATGTTGCGGAAAATTTGCTGCCCAAGACTGTTCCTGGGGATGCAGAGACTTGCTGGGAGAGTTTGATCGGAGTTCGATAGGGCCAAAGAGGAAGCAAGGCTGAAGACTGAGGAAGAAGCTAAAGCCAAAGAATCATCAACTAATGAAGCCATAGAGGGAGAGAAAGATGGAGAGAAAGAAAAGAACATCCGAAGAACAAACAGAGTAAGAAAACAATCAATTGGAAAAGCAAATGAGAGCAAGCCATCATATGAAAAGGAATTAGAAGGAGACGGAGCTGGAGCTGGAGCTGGAGATGGGTCCATCAAGATAAGCAAAATTGAAAAATTGGTGGGATCAAATATTCTTGATTTTTTTTTACTTTTTTATATTTTTGGTAGATCAAATAATTTTGTGACCGCTTTCCATAAGCACTCCTACATTTTCACTCAAATATTAAAGTGGTAACCAATCATTTGCAAGCCAAAAATGACATAAAATTGGATAGAATTTAAGGGAAAAATTGTCGATTAATGTCAAAGTTAAGAAATATTTTAAAAAAAGTTGTAGTTTATCCATGGTCCCACCATATCAAAAATTACAAACCAACTCAAGGATTGGATTAGCCGATTTGCTTTTATCCCACTATAAATCTGGATTATTGAGATTTCACTGGGCTGGTTTGAAATTTAAATCCAACCCAGTCCGATCCATCATTGATTTGCCAAACACCCTCTAATGTCATTAAGACATAATTAAAGAATATAATTTGAAGATATAATGAGTTGTCACTAATGAAATAATAGTGAAATACATTTAATAATGAGTCTCATTACAATATTTAATGCATTCTCCTATCATTTCATTAGTGATTGAACAATACTATTGAGATATAATTTGTTGACATAATTCATTGCGACTTTTGGATCGACTGTAAGCTCTATCAAACATTAGAACTTGATATTGATCCAATAATTTCTATGAAATTATATCATTATGTCAACAAATTAAATCAAAATTTTAGATTCAAATAGAATTATTTTTGTGATAAGGGCATTGCTCAATTATTCTACTTCTATTAGACTATTAGATTATAAGAGAAGCTTACAGTCAACATAATATTTAAAATTATTATTTTTATCTCTTTGGAACCGCCCAAATGGCCCATGTAGCCTGCCTTTAACGTGCAGCATTGAAATGAAAACTCTACAAGCAAACCCTATTTTTCCTACTTCATTTTCTTTTTTTCGTCTTCGTCTTCTTCAACTTTTTCTTTTCTCCCTGTGTCCAAGCTAAGACCTGCACATCACCCTCTAAATCATCTTTAGTATTTTCCTTTTCTTTTTCTGATGTTCAAGATGATGATCAGGACCAAATATAGATCTTATTTTTTGAAAGTCTATTCGAAACACTTTGATTGATTGGGCTTTAATTATCTTATCAACTGAGGGCACAAGCATATATATCTAAGCAGTCACAAAGCTGGATCGAAGGCAGAGCAAGAGGCCTCTTCCCTACGATGCATCCCAACAGGAAAAAGAAGCAGATCCCATCTTTCCACTATATGCATCAGCACAGGCCCAACAAGATAACTCGGCTATGGTTTCCGCCCTTGCTCACGTTCTTGGCGCCGGAGACAGCGCGCCAAGTCATAGACAAGGCAATTACCAGCAGTTTATTGTGACAGAGTCTGCCATGAAAGACCATAACCCGCTTCCACACACAAAGGATCAAGGTAAAACTCAATAACTCATACATGCATTGTCATTGCAATTAAATATGTTGTTCTCAATTTATTCAGATCAACAGTGGTAGATAGAAGTGGACATAAAGGAAGAGAACGAACACAGGGTTTAAACTAACTAACCATCAGTTAAGTTTGGTTAATTGGTAGTTTAGAGTAGCTCAAATGTGAGAGATATTTAAGCGAATAAAGATGTATCAGAATTTTTTTCAAGGGACAGATTTAAACATGAGCAATGCTACACGGATTTCAGTATTTATTAGATTTGATAATTACAATCATTGATTTCACTGTGGATCCTAACATTTATTACGACTCATTGTCTATTTAATGGTTGAAATTATCAAAACTAATTTTTAAGTCCATCTAGAATTTCTGTTTAAACATACACAAAGAGCCCATGTTTTGAGAGTGAGGGAGCCTATTTATAGATATGCGTTTATCCTTCACATTTGAAATTATTTGGTCTAAAAATGGTTTGCATGAATGGAATAAAAGAAGACACTATAGAGGTGTAAAACAGAGACCGTGGGGGCAAGTGGGCAGCGGAGATCCGTGATCCAAAGAAAGCAGCTCGCGTTTGGCTGGGAACCTTTGATACGGCGGAGGAAGCAGCAGCTGCTTATGATACCGCAGCATTAAGATTCAACGGAACCAAAGCTAAACTTAATTTTCCAGCTCAAAGCACCCAATTCCTAGAGAAAACCCATTCAAGGTACCTGTTGTTGAGTTCTCATTCTCAAGATTCGGTCATGGCCCCCCAAATTGTTGGTAGCTCATCAGTTACTCCTCCGCCGCCGTCACAGCAAGCATACCCATACCCATACCTGTATCAGTATGCAAATCTGCTTTGCACCAGTGAAGATGTTCATACATGGAACGCCGCTGCTTCAAGCCTCCATATTGAAAAAGTACCCTTCATTAATTTAGAACATTCGTCAACAGTATCTTCATCATCTTCTTCGGTGGTAGTGGTATCTCAACAGGAACTGGATGCAGATAAAGATAGTACGAGGTTGGCGTCTTCTTCGAGTTATGATCCTTGTTTCGAACAGGGGAACGACTTCCCCTATATATCCTCCTGATCACCGCCGGATTATTGTTAAGTATGTTTGCTAAATTGGGAGAGAAAAGAACAAATTTTGATTTTATCCAATAAAATTGTAACAAATAATTCAAATAACCAGCTCACCGTGGTATTTAAATAACCATCCAATTTGAATTCACCTTACCTATTTATAGATTTATTATTGAACGGAGACCCNTAATTCAAATAACCAGCTCACCGTGGTATTTAAATAACCATCCAAGTTGAATTCACCTTACCTATTTATAGATTTATCATTGAACGGAGACCCCATGAATGGAGCCGCAACAACTTAAAACTTGTTAAGTGCTTTAGTTAAACTCTAATTTGATAGTTTATCCTTGACCATTTAATAAATAACTTATATGGAGCTTAAATAACCAAAATAAACCAAAAAAATTTAGTAAAAATAATTTAGAATCGAACTAAGATTGAGGAACAATTTAATCAATCATTAGCAAATTATTCAAGCTGGTCAATGGAACATTTTAATCCAAAGAATAACTCATAAGAGGCAAATTTTCAATTGCTTAATTCAAAATGTAATCCAATTTAAAATTTTAAGTAATCAGTAAAATCGAATAATTATATAATTGGAAAAAGAGCGACTAGTAAATCAAGTTTAAAAAATGACTAATTCCTAATGACAACTATCAAAACTCAAGAAGGTGATAAGCCTTCAATTCAACCTCACATATTTTATTACAAATAAAATAATTATGGCACAATCTCATTAAACCAATTTCTTAGCATCAAGCTCCATCTTGTCCTCCTCACCCTCGAAGAAATTTTCACAGATGTGAATTGCAACGCTGTAGCGATTCTAACTCAAGTAAAAATCGTATCATGCAGTTAGCTTAAAAAGTAACACTGATACTTACAAAAAAAAAATAACACATTGACCAACCATTTTCTTTTAATTTGCAATAGTTTCAATAAAATATTTAAAAATTACAACCTTTTAATCTTGGGTAACCCATAATTTTCTTAGGGCTCCCGCATGCATAGTCATTGTTTCTATAATGGTTTTTGTCTATGGCATTTTAACAACACTTAATAAATGACAATGGTTTGACAAAACTATATTTTTGTCATGGATCTTTGAAAATAAAAAGTTCCAACACATAAAAAATCGTTGAAAATCTTTAGAACTCTTTAATAGGATATTAGTTTACCTTTAGACTAGGGGTGTAACTCAAGAGAGTTAGGCGGGTTGGACAGTTAACCTTAAATATATAATCTTCAACCCTAACCTTAACCGTCTTCAACCCGAGCACTGCCCGAGTCTAATTCATGCGGGTTCGGATTGAATTCGGGTTAATAATTTTGGACTGATTTCGGATTATTTTACGGGTTGAGTCCAAAATAGGCTTGTTATTCTAAACCTAATACATATATTATATAATATTCATATAAATTAACAACCAATAACTTTAACCAAATTTTTAACATAAAAATCATAATTAAAACATAAAAATCATTGCCACCAGTCCACTGCGAGAAAGACAGAGAGAGGGGGAAATAATTACAAATTTATACAACATAATCCTTATATTTTTGTCTTTTTTTTCACAACTGAGAGAACGAGAGAGGAAGAGAGAGAAAGAGAATGAGAGAGACAGAGAACGATAGAACAAAAATAAAAAATCAGTGTTAATACTTTATATATATATAATTTTTTTTTAATTTATCGAGTTCGGGTTGAACCCGTGAACCCGATGCCTTAACCCGAGTCCAACCCAAATTGAATTCGAATTTGAGTTTTTTGACCCAAGTTCAACTCAAGTATTAAAAACTCTTACCCAAACCCTAATTTTTTCGGGTTAGGCTCGGGTTGAAATCTGACTGCCCAACTCAAGTTGCACCACTACTCTAGACAGCTCCCACAGTATCTTCTAGGGCCCTCATCACGAATTTGTAACAAGTGGAAATTTTTTTTATGGTTAATAGGTTATCTCTCCAAAGCTTCGACATTATCTACTTGGGTTTTTCATAGTCTGATTTGCATAACGTTGAACCATATTAATCGTTTACATAATCAGTAATGGAGTAGATTTATAACTAGTGGAATTATTTTAGGAAGATTGGGACGGAGGGTGTCTGACTGAAGAGTACCTTGTGACCAACGTTGTTACGATGTGAAGACAGGGATGAGAACTTGACGGGAGCCAACAATTAAGTAGGTCGATTTGTTAATGAATATAGCAAAGGAAAGAAAAAAAAGAGGTTGGTGAATAAAGGGTAAGAACTGAGAGTCGAAGTTCAACGAAAAATCGAAGACGAAGAGCGTGAAAAATAAGTTGTCAAAATTATCTCACTGACTCTATACATTATGAAAATTTCAGTAGGGGAAAAATTCTAAAATTTTTGAAATTTTCAAAATTGTGTCTAGGTCCCAATTTTTTTTAAAATTTTAGTGGGGACAACTGCCCGTACTTCATGACATGGTATCATTGTTCCACCTAATATATGCCACTAGATTTGATATCATTATTAACTATATATATTTGAATCAGCCACTAGATTCTTCAACCCCCCCCCCCCCAAATTATAATTCTATAATTAATTTTATCAAATATGAAAAGAGATAGTAAAGATTTTTCTCATCAACCAAAGCTATTCCTCGTCAACTAAGCCTGTCTTATTCCTCCAAATTTTGTCCTCATTTTCCAAATTTATAAGAAAGTGTAGGCTTTGAGTCTCATTTATTAGATGAAGTAACTGACTCTGTTTTTTTGGTACTAACAATCATCCATATCTCCTACTATTAATAAAGGGATAGCGTAGGGTTTGTGGTCCTCTCCTTTGTTGACAATTATTACTAATTAATTACATAAGTATAATACTAATATTTCATTTTTTTTATTTAATCATCTATAAGTTTTCTTAAACCACATTTAACCCCTTAAATTCATCTATTCTTATAATATTTTTTTTTAACTTTTATATCTTCCTCATCTTTACCATCTGCACATAAGTACATGATCCCTAATTAATTAAAATAGTTTTGTTTTCATGGGATTCAAGTCTTCACTCTAATAATTGGGAAAAACAGAAGTCGATACAAAATTTTAAACTTATTTAAGCTAAAATACAACATGGAAACTTATTTGAATTCAAGTGCATATTTTTAGATAATGATCAAAAAGTCATTAAGTTGAAGGGAAAATAGTACAAAATTGATTTTGATCCCAAACATCATCTTATTCTACATTTTCTGGATCGGTCAAGCTGCGTTTTAGTTGATGGCGGCAAAATTTCAGTTTTATCCACCGCGTGACAAACGTTTCACTATCATATTTACATAAAAACAACACTATTTCCTCAATTCCTAAGTATGACAACAAAAATATAAATGACGTTATATCTTATAACATAAACAGTTGCACCAAGAGTATTGAACAATAACATTATTTAGATATTTTATAAACATAAAATGCTGCTCTATTTTTTTTTTTGCAGAATGTNACCCCCCCCCCCCCCAATTATAATTCTATAATTAATTTTATCAAATATGAAAAGAGATAGTAAAGATTTTTCTCATCAACCAAAGCTATTCCTCGTCAACTAAGCCTGTCTTATTCCTCCAAATTTTGTCCTCATTTTCCAAATTTATAAGAAAGTGTAGGCTTTGAGTCTCATTTATTAGATGAAGTAACTGACTCTGTTTTTTTGGTACTAACAATCATCCATATCTCCTACTATTAATAAAGGGATAGCGTAGGGTTTGTGGTCCTCTCCTTTGTTGACAATTATTACTAATTAATTACATAAGTATAATACTAATATTTCATTTTTTTTATTTAATCATCTATAAGTTTTCTTAAACCACATTTAACCCCTTAAATTCATCTATTCTTATAATATTTTTTTTTAACTTTTATATCTTCCTCATCTTTACCATCTGCACATAAGTACATGATCCCTAATTAATTAAAATAGTTTTGTTTTCATGGGATTCAAGTCTTCACTCTAATAATTGGGAAAAACAGAANTTTGCCGCTTTCTCCTACGATTCTTGAAATTGAGTCGTTGGTCTGGAAGAATAGCTAGGTTTTTGTTGTTTTATGAACCTGATTTATCGGGAGCTTTGTTTTCTTCTGTTGTTATTTGTCCGATTCAGGTAAAGCTAGTAAAAAAGTATTAGCTTCGGCGCTACTACTCCAACATTTTATGATTTCACTTGTTGTCATGCTGTGCAATGTCTTGCCTAATAGTTATGGGCTTCATTTGATGGAACTTGGAGCTGGGGCTTGGTTTATTTATTTTGATTTATGGAATCTTAAATTCAGCTGCTAAAGATTTATAAAACTTGGAGCTGGGGCGCTGATTGATAAAATACTGCTGCCTAAGTTTTTGCAATTTGTAGTTGTTAACAATAAATATGGACTGCTACCTGGCAAAAAACTTGAGGTTAGGTTGTGCAATCCTAGATTCAATCGCAAATTTTTTTTTTTTAATAAAGATTTTCTCTTGGGAACTTCAGCATAGGACAATGCTGTGAGAGTGCCTAGCTGTTTTTGCAACAAGGGACAGGAAGTGAAATTACTCAGTATTATTCATCAACAAGCCATTTTCTAACATATTCCGTCCTTCTCTACTACCTTTAGCACTCCAAACAGAGTCAAAACCTTTCTAAATAACGTTTTAAACTATATACGGTGTTTTAAACAAATTATAAAACATCCAGCAATGTCTTTTGGGCTTTTTTGTCTGAAAAAATTATCTCGCTTTCCCATGTATTTTGATTTGAAAGATAAACTTTTGTTTGGGGAGGCAACTGGAGAATCTCTGAACTGAGTCAATGAAATTGACAATGTCTATCGAAACAAAACAATGGTTAGTCTGACACGGTATTTGGAGAGGTTTCTTGCAAAAGTTATTGGATGCAATCTGCTAATGTCCTACAAACAATGCTAGTCAACTTTCATTCTCGAGGTTTTATGAGGTTTGTTAAGATATGTGGACAAGTGCCAATTCACAGTCAAACCTGAAAAATTCAGAGAGAAGATTAAATGCAGACATATTCCCTAATCTAACTTCAGGGAAAGTGACATGTAGGATATGAAATAACAAATGATATGCAATGGATTTGCAGTTTCCAAGTCTGTTACTGCTTGATTTAACGGGGGTGATCCTAAGTGGGTGCAAGAGCAATTCGTCCTTGGTTTTTTTTAATTCAAAAAAAGTAGTCTAAAGTTTGTAGATGTCCAATTTCGGCTCATACATGGAGTGTTTTTGTATGATGGATTTTGGATGATATTTAATTGTTTGAGTCTATGCTANAAAAAAGTAGTCTAAAGTTTGTAGATGTCCAATTTCGGCTCATACATGGAGTGTTTCTGTATGATGGATTTTGGATGATATTTAATTGTTTGAGTCTATGCTAGTTTGACTGACCTGATACCGGATAATGAATGTGACTGGTTCAACCGTCAATTGTGCTTAGTGGTTCTTGCGGCTTTCATGATGGCTTGTAGTGAAAATAGTTGAGGGGTAAGATTAACTTTTTGGTCTTTCAAGCTTTACTAAATGAAGGGGATGTGTTTATGGCTGTTTGGACCCCACTTCAACTCAACATTAATTAATTACAAATCACATTTTGCATTTTGGGTCATCCCTTGTGGCTTTAGACCGCATTACAAAAATTCAGATGAATGCATATATAGTGCAAGGGCCATCCCTATCCAGGTGATATTTGGTAGTGCATGAACCAAGCTCCTTATTAACGTCGTCATCTCACCCTCCAAAGTTGCTTGAACAGTTGGATTTTGGGTTATCGCAATCCACTCCATAAAGGTGTATACGTCTTCATGTGAGACCTTTTCAAGCTCCTCAAACTTGTTGCTTGTGGGATCCACCCAAGCATATCACTAAATGGAACCCGAGAATTTGCCTTTGTGAGACCAATCCAAGCATATATCCTCATGGGACCTGCCCCACCACTACAAGGTGGGTTCAGCTTTGATACGACTTGTAACGANTTTGCCGCTTTCTCCTACGATTCTTGAAATTGAGTCGTTGGTCTGGAAGAATAGCTAGGTTTTTGTTGTTTTATGAACCTGATTTATCGGGAGCTTTGTTTTCTTCTGTTGTTATTTGTCCGATTCAGGTAAAGCTAGTAAAAAAGTATTAGCTTCGGCGCTACTACTCCAACATTTTATGATTTCACTTGTTGTCATGCTGTGCAATGTCTTGCCTAATAGTTATGGGCTTCATTTGATGGAACTTGGAGCTGGGGCTTGGTTTATTTATTTTGATTTATGGAATCTTAAATTCAGCTGCTAAAGATTTATAAAACTTGGAGCTGGGGCGCTGATTGATAAAATACTGCTGCCTAAGTTTTTGTAATTTGTAGTTGTTAACAATAAATATGGACTGCTACCTGGCAAAAAACTTGAGGTTAGGTTGTGCAATCCTAGATTCAATCGCAATTTTTTTTTTTTTAATAAAGATTTTCTTTTGGGAACTTCAGCATAGGACAATGCTGTGAGAGTGCCTAGCTGTTTTTGCAACAAGGGACAGGAAGTGAAATTACTCGGTATTATTCATCAACAAGCCATTTTCTAACATATTCCGTCCTTCTCTACTACCTTTAGCACTCCAAACAGAGTCAAAACCTTTCTAAATAACGTTTTAAACTATATACGGTGTTTTCAACAAATTATAAAACATCCAGCAATGTCTTTTGGGCTTTTTTGTCTGAAAAGATTATCTCGCTTTCCCATGTATTTTGATTTGAAAGATAAACTTTTGTTTGGGGAGGCAACTGGAGAATCTTTGAACTGGGTCAATGAAATTGACAATGTCTATCGAAACAAAACAATGGTTAGTCTGACACGGTATTTGGAGAGGTTTCTTGCAAAAGTTATTGGATGCAATCTGCTAATGTCCTACAAACAATGCTAGTCAACTTTCATNTTTGCCGCTTTCTCCTACGATTCTTGAAATTGAGTCGTTGGTCTGGAAGAATAGCTAGGTTTTTGTTGTTTTATGAACCTGATTTATCGGGAGCTTTGTTTTCTTCTGTTGTTATTTGTCCGATTCAGGTAAAGCTAGTAAAAAAGTATTAGCTTCGGCGCTACTACTCCAACATTTTATGATTTCACTTGTTGTCATGCTGTGCAATGTCTTGCCTAATAGTTATGGGCTTCATTTGATGGAACTTGGAGCTGGGGCTTGGTTTATTTATTTTGATTTATGGAATCTTAAATTCAGCTGCTAAAGATTTATAAAACTTGGAGCTGGGGCGCTGATTGATAAAATACTGCTGCCTAAGTTTTTGCAATTTGTAGTTGTTAACAATAAATATGGACTGCTACCTGGCAAAAAACTTGAGGTTAGGTTGTGCAATCCTAGATTCAATCGCAAATTTTTTTTTTTTAATAAAGATTTTCTCTTGGGAACTTCAGCATAGGACAATGCTGTGAGAGTGCCTAGCTGTTTTTGCAACAAGGGACAGGAAGTGAAATTACTCAGTATTATTCATCAACAAGCCATTTTCTAACATATTCCGTCCTTCTCTACTACCTTTAGCACTCCAAACAGAGTCAAAACCTTTCTAAATAACGTTTTAAACTATATACGGTGTTTTAAACAAATTATAAAACATCCAGCAATGTCTTTTGGGCTTTTTTGTCTGAAAAAATTATCTCGCTTTCCCATGTATTTTGATTTGAAAGATAAACTTTTGTTTGGGGAGGCAACTGGAGAATCTCTGAACTGAGTCAATGAAATTGACAATGTCTATCGAAACAAAACAATGGTTAGTCTGACACGGTATTTGGAGAGGTTTCTTGCAAAAGTTATTGGATGCAATCTGCTAATGTCCTACAAACAATGCTAGTCAACTTTCATTCTCGAGGTTTTATGAGGTTTGTTAAGATATGTGGACAAGTGCCAATTCACAGTCAAACCTGAAAAATTCAGAGAGAAGATTAAATGCAGACATATTCCCTAATCTAACTTCAGGGAAAGTGACATGTAGGATATGAAATAACAAATGATATGCAATGGATTTGCAGTTTCCAAGTCTGTTACTGCTTGATTTAACGGGGGTGATCCTAAGTGGGTGCAAGAGCAATTCGTCCTTGGTTTTTTTTAATTCAAAAAAAGTAGTCTAAAGTTTGTAGATGTCCAATTTCGGCTCATACATGGAGTGTTTTTGTATGATGGATTTTGGATGATATTTAATTGTTTGAGTCTATGCTAGTTTGACTGACCTGATACCGGATAATGAATGTGACTGGTTCAACCGTCAATTGTGCTTAGTGGTTCTTGCGGCTTTCATGATGGCTTGTAGTGAAAATAGTTGAGGGGTAAGATTAACTTTTTGGTCTTTCAAGCTTTACTAAATGAAGGGGATGTGTTTATGGCTGTTTGGACCCCACTTCAACTCAACATTAATTAATTACAAATCACATTTTGCATTTTGGGTCATCCCTTGTGGCTTTAGACCGCATTACAAAAATTCAGATGAATGCATATATAGTGCAAGGGCCATCCCTATCCAGGTGATATTTGGTAGTGCATGAACCAAGCTCCTTATTAACGTCGTCATCTCACCCTCCAAAGCTGCTTGAACAGTTGGATTTTGGGTTATCGCAATCCACTCCATAAAGGTGTATACGTCTTCATGTGAGACCTTTTCAAGCTCCTCAAACTTGTTGCTTGTGGGATCCACCCAAGCATATCACTAAATGGAACCCGAGAATTTGCCTTTGTGAGACCAATCCAAGCATATATCCTCATGGGACCTGCCCCACCACTACAAGGTGGGTTCAGCTTTGATACGACTTGTAACGATCTGACCAAAGCCTGTGATTTTGTCCATGTGGCATTGCCCCCTTACAATTTTAAAATGTGTCATATAGCTCATAGTAGTTTTGACCAGGTGTATACATATATAGCGACAGTGTCACGACCTTCTCTAACAAGGCAATGCGGGATAGGTACATGGATTAAACACCTCACTAATCCTCTTTCCTGTCCAATATCTTTTGGACGACTGGACTTTCGAGTATCACAAGCTCTTGCCAATTGAAATGAGGAGCAAGAAATTCGAACAATTTGGGATCTTGTGCAAAAGCAATGGTCTAATTCAGCCATATTAGGGGAACTTTGCACTAACACACAAGAAAGAGCGGATAGAAGAATAAATCTTTCTCATCCACTTTTATTTTGGTCACATTTTATTCTTCTACTGAAGAAATTGTTGTAGATTCAATCTTCCCAAAATCTCCGTTTTGTTTTGAATTTTTTTTCATTCATGGTTAACATACAGTTCATTGAACTATGGAGTACCCTAACAGCATATCAATTAGAGACCAACATAAACTGACTAAGTTTTGCCTTCACACTGTATATAATCAACAATGGAGGCAATCTTAAACAACGCCACTGCATGGCCTTAGCTGTTTTCAAAACACTTCCATCCCTAGCATATCTTTTAAAAAGACAGCTCAGTACCATTATGAGGTCTTGTGGGGATCAGATGTGTGCAGTGTTATCCATGCATGTGGAAAAGCTAGTTCTTGTGATTTGGACTGACAGCATTAACACCAGAGTAGTCTTACCACTGCACGAACGCCCGCCTTCTAGTCATCTTTTGCGACCCTTGAATCAGCCTATCATCCATATATGTCGTAAAGGCTTACCTAGTCATACTTTGATGCATGAGAGATTCATGATAAAAAGTAGTGAATAGATTGGTGAATATTCCCTATGTTAGCAACCTAAAAGTAAGTAAATTTATGTTTCTATCTTTATAATAATGGACTTGAAACCTGCTTTCATCCAATAATTTAGGGGGTGTGCATACAGGGGGAAAAGCCTCTGGTTTCCACTACTGTTGTGCCTAATGTCCAGTTCACCATGGCTGTTATTGTTACACCAATTTTAATGAGTTTGTTTTTCCTCGTCTCATTTTAGGCATTGATAGTTTTGTGCTGTTGGGGGCAATTTTGTACATTAAATGGCTGATCTGAGCAACGCAAAAACTTAGAAAAATAACTGCTTATGACACTTGCATCAATCGACATTGAATGATTTTTGTGTTTGCAAGACAATATCTTCATCGACCAAAGGAGTATCAGTGCTTATGAGTTGTGTTTTTCCTATTTTGTAAGTTAAAGAATGTGTCTGGTGGAATAGGGAAAATAAACACTTGTCACTACCGGTTTCACCGGGTTTGACGTCATCACTGAAACTTTGAAGCATCAGCCTTGGAGTTTTTTAAATCTGTGGATGCTCATAACATGGGGTTGCTTCTCTTGGAAACTGGCAGTGCCTACAGTTTTTGATGCTTGAATAGTGATGTACACTTTCATGGTCAGTGAGCTCTATTGGTCAATTGAAGATTGTGTCTTGGAAACTACTTCAGTGCACATTTTTGGGAGATAATGGACCGGGATATTGTTTAAACTTGGTGTGAAATGACCTTCAAATGTTTCTAACATGTTAGTTAGATTTTACATTTAGTTGAATTTGCTCATGACATTGTTGTTTTAGAGGTTACCATCCATGCAAGATTGTAAGGTGGCATACCCTCATTGCCTTTTTTGGCCATAAATAATCAGTGCTGAAATGACAGGATAAAGTGACTTTTGTTTTACAAATTAATAATGTGCTAGGAACCAGATTTGAACTGGTGACACAAGGATTTTTAGTCCTCTACACTACCAGCTGAGCTATCCTAATTGTTTCCTATGCAGCATCCTCGTTTTACTAGATGACTGAGGTCTATGTCAATTAAAAAAATAAAGAGTGATATGATTCGTGGGTGATGATTGCCGCAGGTTTTGCTTCTAGTTCACTCACCCCCAAGAATGAAAACAGCTTGATTCCGGACATTCCAGCAACTGTAGCAGCTGTTAAGAATCCAACCTCAAAGATTGTTTATGATGAGCACAACCATGAGCGTTACCCTCCAGGTGACCCCAGCAAAAGGGCATTTGCTTATTTTGTGTTGACAGGCGGCAGGTTTGTGTATGCTTCCCTGATCCGCCTCCTCGTATTGAAGTTTGTTCTCAGCATGTCAGCAAGTAAGGACGTTCTTGCTCTAGCCTCTCTTGAGGTTGATCTATCCAGCATTGAACCTGGTACCACTGTCACTGTTAAGTGGCGTGGAAAGCCAGTCTTCATTAGGCGCCGAACTGTGGAGGATATCAAGCTGGCAAATAGTGTTGATGTGGGTTCCCTCCGTGACCCTCAGGAAGATGCGGCCAGAGTTAAGAATCCAGAATGGCTAGTTGTTGTTGGGGTCTGCACTCATCTGGGGTGCATCCCCTTACCAAACGCTGGTGATTTTGGTGGGTGGTTTTGCCCGTGCCATGGTTCTCATTACGACATTTCTGGCAGGATTCGCAAGGGCCCAGCACCGTATAATCTGGAGGTACCCACGTACTCTTTTTTGGAAGAGAACAAGCTACTGGTTGGATGAGCTCTAAAGATGAGATTCTTTCCGGTGGATGGTGGGATTTTAGAATTTCTTTTTATTCAAGAGTGTTCAATACTTGTGGCTTATATCTTTAATTTGGGCATGTTCACTGATGCTTATGAAACTTGGATATTGCAATGGCGGTTGACGCATGTGTTGCTCTGAATACTGAATAAGTTTTCTGTAGATGACGATACAAAATGATCTGAAAATCATGATGATATCAAGGATGCTGCTTAGTTAAATAATTTAAGGATGTTTTGTACTCTGTTCCCAAAAGGCTAATGTATTTGTTGCTGGTTTGGTTTGGTTTCACGTTTTGTAATATGGATGGGTTAAATTCTTCCACCAATTGATTTACTTTTGGGGGCAGAGTCATGGTTTCAACAGGATACACATGTACGAGGAAAATGACTAAACTTGGGGAAGAAACAGGAAGACTAGCCTTCATTTGTTTTCTCTCATCTCAGTTAATGAGATACATGGAATCCATGTGTCTTACTGAATTGTATGCTGGAAAGAAAAAAGGCTAGCCTTTCAACATGAGATGCTTTGAACGGTCTNTGAATTGTATGCTGGAAAGAAAAAAGGCTAGCCTTTCAACATGAGATGCTTTGAACAGTCTGTCATCTGTCAAAGAGGCCTTTAACATACACCATGCCTTTTTCGCTCAGCTGAAGCTCCTTTCTCATTTGCTCTACTTGCTGGTCGTCTCCTTGAACAACAATCTCAGACAGGGTTCCATCATCTGCCACCATGATCTTGACCTTGATCTGCTCCTTCCGTGATGCTCTTTTCCAATAATATACTCCGCTGTTTCCGGAACCAAATGTTAGTACTTGTTTAGCTGCCATTTTTNTTGATCTGCTCCTTCCGTGATGCTCTTTTCCAATAATATACTCCGCTGTTTCCGGACCCAAATGTTAGTACTTGTTTAGCTGCCATTTTTGTTCAAATTTAACTACAAAAACTTGAAAAGTAAAAGAGTGTGAAATACTGACGCCAGAGGACTTAGAATGGTTAGCCAGAACCAATTGTTGCCCGCATCTGGAAGTGTTATGGTAAGAACAAGAGCGACACTTGCTAGGCTTATGCATGTGCAGAAAGTGAGCAATGCTGCTTGGCCTCGGCTTGGAATCATCATGCCTTCAAACCTTCAACCAAGAAAGAAATTGCATACATAGGCAATGTGTTTAACATGTTCAATATCTTATTAAGGAGACAGTGGCAGTGGCAGGATTTGAAACCCCGTCAGTCAGTCGTAGATCAGATTGCTCATCGGTATCAGCTAAAAAATAAAATATTAAAGGATGTGTAATTTAGAACTCTAATTGGTGTCTACATAAGTTTCTATCAAATTTTCAGATGTATGAAACTTAAACCAAGCAGGCCAACTAACAAAACTTATCAACGGAAAATACTTTCATACCACAACAAAAGAGCAACTTGTTATATCCTTTATGCCCCATAAAGGGCCTTCGCTAGTTTACCCAATATATTTGCATTTAGTATATCAGTCGAATTTTTTATTTCTATTTTTATCTTCTAATGTTATTTCAACTTGCATGTAACTTCTATTACTTTCAGTTCAGCCAAGGCAAGTTTTTAGTTTCTCGTGAATGAAATAACATTAGAAGGTAAGAAGTACAAAATAAGGGGTGGTGTTGGTAGCTTACGTTATGGTATCTCCTCTATCCAACACCACAAAATTGTTGCGAGTGAAGAAAGAAAGAATTTCTCCTGCCACCTGATTGGCCACATTCTTGCCTTCCCCTTCCATTATATACGTCTTCTGCACTACCTGAATCAACACCGCAGAGAACACACACACATCAAAAAGGGTATTCTAAACCACAAAATTGAAATAAAAATGTCCGGCTTAGCTTTGGTAGACGTACCTTGGATTTAACAGAACGCTTGATGAGGGACCAGAGGCCAGGCAGAGAGATAACAAAGAGACCCAAAGAGGTGTAGTAGCTGGCAAATGAATAGCCTACGCCGTCTGCCATAAAAAACAACGATGATGGGTTGTGGTGGAGATGATGGACAAGAGCTGAAGAGGTAGATGTGAGAGTATCATGGAGGGAGGAGGCTCGAATCACGAGGGTCCTGGGCCTTGCCGGAATTTGAGAGCGTCCCAGCCGTGGTTGGCCGTGAATTGAGTCTCTGGCTTTGAATTTCGAAGGATTGTGAGAGAGGGGGGAGAGAAGTAGCTTAGCTGCCATTGGTAACAGAGCAAACTGGGGTGGGTGTGTGGGTGTGTTTTTTTTTAAAGTTAATACTAATATAAATAAAGAACGAAGATAATGTTACTGGCGACGGACGACGTCGTATTAGGAAATAAGTTTTCACAATACCACGCTAATTATGAATTATCCGAGGAATAATTTCACTCGCACCCGTCGTGAATGTTTACAGAAATTTCTCATCACCATAGTGGTTTTGAAATTACTCTGCATTCACTAGCCGCTTATAGTACTGCCATTGCCATATCCGCTTGTATCTCAATTGTTTCCCGCTCTCTCGGGCTGCTGCAACTATTACTATTTTAATCACAATATTTTTCCTCTCCCATTCAAAATTGCATCTTANCCGTCGTGAATGTTTACAGAAATTTCTCATCACCATAGTGGTTTTGAAATTACTCTGCATTCACTAGCCGCTTATAGTACTGCCATTGCCATATCCGCTTGTATCTCAATTGTTTCCCTCCCGCTCTCTCGGGCTGCTGCAACTATTACTATTTTAATCACAATATTTTTCCTCTCCCATTCAAAATTGCATCTTATGTGAAAACCAGTAAGGGCTAACCATACAACAAAAATTTGTACAATCTTGTTCACTAAATCCTTGTAAACATCTCTACTACTACTACTACTTTATTACCTTTGAATAATTAATTAATAGCGATGTCTAGTATACTTGGGGCTAGTCACTGTTGAAGCTAATTACAATAACAACAGATTTTCCTCAACCAAAAACAATTGCTAAGCCAAGTAGGAAGGAAATGGCCAGACAACTTAATTTTAATAGATTTGGACGATAAATAGAATAAATATTTTTTTGTGTCGACACGAACTTAACTAAATACGGCATAAATCCGTTAAACTACACATGATTATTTATAAGACAGACAGACAGACAGACAAACATATATTATTAAGTAAATTCTAATATGACATGATCGAATGATTATTCTTATATTGTTTTCATTTTTACAGTCTTACCGATATTTATGTTAACATTAAAAAATGAATTATCTTCTCACGCAATACTTTTAATTTATTACAATCAAAATCACTTAGTTGATTAATTATTTATTACCTACTTTTTATAAATTATAAATTCAAAATCTTTTTTTATGTGACCAATTTTTTCTCTCAATTATTTTTTTACATACACAGTAAACGTCTAAAAATAGATTACTATTCAAAATTATTATTGATATTTAATTTTATTGTATTTATAAATTTTAATTCTCTTTCTCTGTTATTTATCAGATTCAATTATATTTTGGTCTCTTAATTCAATTTTAATTAATGAATTTTTTATAACTAAAGCTTGAATGTAAACACTTAATTAATAATTTAAATCTCAAATACAAAAAAATAAATAAATAATTTGAAAATAAAATATTAATTCTCTCGTAAGACCTCAGATTTGTGGGGCCGCCTACTTAAAAAATTGAATGAATATTTATTATTAAGTTGCGGGGCAAATTGGGGATTGAAACACGATAGATAAGATAAAGGCGGGCGGGCAGTGTGTGTTTGTGGGGCAATAGAAAATAGAAAATCCAACAAGTGAACAAAAATTGTATAAAACGTTTACTTGATACCCGCACCAAGTCTACGGCTTCCCAATTTTCTAAACATCACCCACCCCTCACGTTTTCAAAGATAGGCTTCACCGTAGCATGGAACTTTTAACGGCTCGCCACTAACACCTCAGATTGGTAGCCGACCCAGACCATTCAACTATTCATATATCTATATAATAAAATAATTAACAAAATTTATATTAAATTTTTTACGACTCAAATCGCTTGCCGGTTGTTAATTCGATAGTTCTGATGCAAAATTCTTTCTCCTAATTTTTCGAACAAGAATTTCATTCCTTCCACAATTCTAATACTCATATTTATCTCTTTCTTTATCTCATACTACATATTAATTTAATCGTTAATTATGATTCTATATAATTAAATATTATTTTTAAATAAATAAATATACCTTAAATACATATTCTTTGCATCAAATAAGTCGAATGACTATAATAAAAATTATATTTTGTGTGGAAATAAAAATACTATAATATTCAAATGGTATAATTGGCGAATAATATATATATATATATATATATATATATATATATATATATATAATTTGTGATATGTTTATATACTAAGGGGGAGTTAGCATTGTTTGTTTTGAACTTTTCGTTATTCAGATTGTTTTAAAATTATTGATCAAATAATTGAAACTACTCCAAATTTTTTTCACGACAAAAAATTGTATTAATCTTTTTATTTTACTCGATTATTGATTCAAAGTGATTATGATTATAATTGGAATTGACCTAAATTTGATTGTCGAGTATAAAATATATATTATTTCTTAAACTTAACTTTACTTGAATTTTACGAGTATTCAAAGTTTAAGTCAAATTGAAATTAATTGTAAAAATAATAAAGAATAATTAAATTAAAACAAATTATGGTGTTTTTGTGAACGGGAGTAGATAAAAATTAGTTTGTAAATTTAAGATATAAGTGCTAATTGAGTTGAGTTTAAATTCAATTCTTGGTCGGTTTGACATAATTATGATTAAGACTTGAATTGTGTTGAATTTGACTATCAATTATAAAGTATAAATTATTGTTTAAACTTATATTCGATTGACTTTTATGAATATTTAAGTTAAACTGAAGTGAAAATTGATCTTAATTTTTCAACAATTTTTTTTACATTTACAAGAATTTTTGCGGAACTTTTAGATGTTTTCTTACAAAAGTTACATAAACTCACATTGGAAAAATAGCATTGAGATAAAGCTTATTAAATGTAAAAATCGTGGATGTTTGATCAGTAATAATTATATTTTATTAGATTTTTGAATTAATATGTTGTAGTAATTGCAGCGTAATTTTCATTATATAAAAGTTTGATTATATATGTTCTGTATATAGGTTGAATAGTATCAATTTAATTGTTATATTGTTAAAATTGTATTATACATTGTCTTTATTTATGAAAATATATTTTATAATTTTTTATGAGTAATATAGTACATTCAGGCACGGATAATTACTAGTATATATAAATAGTTTTTACTTTTAATTTTGAAAATATATAAATATAATGTGTATTTAAAAAAATTAATTATATTTAATTTATTGATTTAATCTACTATAGTTATTGGATTACAAGTGAACCTCATTTAGAATTAGAGTTTGCTGCTAATTTAATGATAATATTAATTTAAGTAAATAAATCAAGTTAAAGTAACATTATATTTTAAAAACTTTTTGCTCTCATTTTACGTTCTTATGTCTTTTTCAATTATGCTTTGCTATTTTTTTTTTTTTTGGGGGGGGGGGGAGAGGTGTTTAACCTTTACCCTTTTCGTAATTAAGTTTAATGCCCATATTGTTCTGTTTTAGTATAATGTTCATATGATATATTAATCCACCAAAAAAACTCATCAGCTATATATAAAAAAAAAATGCTTATGAAGGCAAATTCTCTTTCATCCCACCTATAGAAAAACAAAATATATTGAGCTTGTGTTTTTCTCTCACTTTTTGAATTTTTTTATTATGTTTTTCAATGTAAAATAAGCTTAATTATGATGACAACTATTTGAGTTTCAATTAAAAACTACTTATAAGATGGGAGGCTAATTGACAAAAATACCTCATAAAATGTATAAAAAATATTATTGAGAAAATAATAGTTTTTAAAATTATTTTAATAGATATTGATATGCGTTACAACTTATCTTTAGTTGATGCTTATATCAAAACATAGTAATACATTTTTTTATAAACAATGAAAGATGAAAATAGGATTGTCACATTAAATTGCATTTTTTTTTCTAAGGTTAGACGACATAGAATGATATGATTATATGATTACTAATTAAAATATTTGACAAGAATTGATGTACAGAATTGGTAGTAATTATTATTTTTAATAAGGAGAAAAGTCTTATTAGTTGTAGATATTAGAATTCCTATTAAGGTAGTCAAAAAATAAAACACTTGTTGAATGAGAGTTGTGATAATAATACTCTATGGAATATGTTGAACATGGAAAAAAAAAGGGTTAATTACAACTTGCACCTCGAAAGATAGTTCAAATCTCAATTTACACCCTTAAAGATAAAAAAATTTAATTTGTACCCTCAAAGATAAAAATTTATATCAATGTGCACTTAAAACTAAATTGATAAATTATATCTGGATCCCCTTATGCTTGCCACTTAATCATCAGATTGAACAATATATTGCATTTGATATAAAAAAATATTATATAAATATCTACATTATAGAATAAAGGGTTACACATTGAGTGATATATTGAATTGGATATAAAATAAATATTATATAAATATCTACATTCTATTGGACATTCAAATGGTAAGCTTAGTTTTGAATTTTAGAGTATATCGAACTCACAAAATAAAGGGTAATATAAAATTATAATTTTTAACAGTTATATTAACAGATATCAACGAAGAGGAGTTGCGTGTTATACATGCACAAACATCATAAGATGTAAGATTAATATTTTAAATGTAAAGGGGTTCAAATGATTAAGTGACAAGTATAAGAGATCTAGGTATAATTTATCAATTTAGTTTTACATGCACATTGATATAAATTTATATCTTTGAGGGTACAAATTGAAATTTTTTATCTTTAGGGGTGCATATTGATACAAATTTATATATTTGAGGATGCAAATTGAGATTTCTGATTTTTGAGGGTACAAATTGAGATTTGAACGATCTTTTAGGATACAATTTACAATTAACAAAAAAAAAATTGATTTTATAGGTCCCGTTTGATAACATTTATGTTTTTCGTTTTTATTTTGATATTTAGAAAAAATAAGAAAAAAAAACTCGTTTGATAAATATTTTTATTTTTATTTTTTGTCATCGTTTTGTAAACGAGGGGTGATTTTAAAAAATGAGAAAAATACGTTTTTCATTTTTTTAAAAATAAAAAATTATAAACATTACCAAACGAAATCATAGTGCTTGGATTGACAAAATCCTATTACCAATACCAACCCGATGGTCCAAAGCGGCCGGGCCGAGCCAAGCCGAGCCCAAAGCGCGCGCAAACGTAAGAGAGATTGAGAAGGATTCAACCTAGCAATGGCAAAAGAATAAACCATAACGGTTCCGAGAAACCACACACTCGTCTGATTCACCCTATCTTCTCTCCCTCTCACTCTTTCGCTCGCGTTCTGTCTCCATGTCTCTCCCCCCTTCCCAATCGTATTAGACAGCGGTACTCTCTCTCGGAGCCCATTCACCCTAGCATTCGGTGCGTTACAGGTATTTTTTGACTTCAGTATTAGGGATTTGTTTCTGTCAATCAGAACGTATCTCTATTTGGTATTCTATTTATTTTTTTTCCGGGATTTTTCTTAATTATTGATGTTTTAGTGGATTCGTTTTGTCGGCATATATGTCTGAATGAAAATTAATCTTGTATCATGTATGGATGTTAGGTAATCTCTATACAGTAATGATATGTACTCGTATTGGCAAACAATCGCATTAACTATGTTAGACGATGAGTTGCTGCTCGGCTGTCTTGAGACCTGAAAAACAGACAAACGGCCAAGGACGGATGGTTGATCAGCCAATGGTACTTCGATGTTTTAAGTCAATCAATATTTTGGTAAAGCGCTTGTGTGAACTAGAAAACAATGCATAACTAAACCTTTTGTGCCTCATTCGTAGTCATAGGAAAAAGATCCTTTTGCAGAAGAGGCAATTGTAGTTGAATGGGATTATGAAGAGGCAATTGTAGTTGAATGGGATTATACTCCCCAGCTAGGACAATTTAGATAAGACCAAGTTTACACTCTCAAGTAGCTGGCTGGGTTAGGCTTCACCATGGTTGACTGATCTTCTGTTATGTCATTGGAGTCGGTTTGAATTAGGATATCCCCTGAAATCATCGTGGTTGGATTATCTCAAAACTAGAAAATCCTTATCTAATAAGATAGTCCATGTTGGTGCGGTTAGACACGAGTTTGGCAAGCACCCTGAACACCCCTATCATTCATATGGTTGTTGGGTCTTTAGGGACGAAACGTGACTCTGTTGTTCATTTGTTGCTGGTGGCAGTACCAACCATGGCTGTTGAGAATCCACGAGTTCACACACACATTGATGTGCTCAACCATATGAGCAGCTTTGCCAACTGAGAAAGTAGGACTATCATTAAGGATGGGCGACCCAAAGGTCGACCTTTATCATTCTGCATGGTCTGGTTCTTGGGGTTGGCCCCAACTTCTTATCAATATCTCTTTACAAGCGTGTCACATTTCTTGATACCAAACATGCTTGCTCACATTCTATCGAAGGGCCTCTATATTATTGGTTAAAACCTTGTTCGTCCTCACCCCATTGGGTGTATATTGCTATTTGCTATACACATTTCAAGTACGAAAGTGTGCATCATGGCTCTAAAGTTTTGATTTTTTTTTCTCAGTTAATTTTTGATTATTTATCTCGAACGGTGTTAGCATGCATTGTTTTAATAGGTTTTAGTTGTATTGGTAGTTAATTTGTTTTTAATTTCTAACAAAATCGTGTTCCCTACTGGGCTTTCAGAATTTTTGTTGCATAATTTAGAAAACTTTTGGGTTAAAAACCAAAGTATAATGGATTTTGGCTTTTGTGCATGTAAATCCACCTTTGGAGGGCGGTAAAATTTGGTTTTACTTGGAATACATGTGAGAGGCTTTAGTCAATGGCTAGTAGTTGAAAATTGAAGAGGTGAACTTGTTATCTGTTTGGCACAATAACTTAACTAAGGACGAGGAAGATTTTTTTTTTTTGCTTTTGTTGCATATTTGTCCATTGTCTGGGATATGTTCGTTGGTTTAGTTATAAAAGGCAGCGACTATACCTCGAAGTAACAAAACTGTAAAGTATGAACTACCTTCTCTATATCAACAACTCTATTGTGGAATTTTGTGTGGTTGGCACAAATCATTTTATTTGGAAGTTCTTCTTTGGTGCTAATCACATTATGTTTTTCAGCAAGTTGACGATAGGGTTTGGCTTTGTGCTAAATATCGCTAATGTTTTCGAAACTTGCAGCTTTGTTTTCTTCAGAGAAATTGTAATTACCTTTTTTACACTTTACTGGTCATTTGATGTATTCATATATCTCTTACTATTGCTAAAATGATGGGAAAACACTATAAAAGGGCGGCCCAATGCACAAGACTCCTGTCATATTGTGGAGAGGGTCAGATGTGCGCAACTTTATCTCTACAAGCGGTAAGAAATTGACACCCAAATCACAATGGAACAACCTTACCATTCACTTCAAATAGTTGGGAAAAAGTTTTGATGACTGGAATTCCAATTGATAATCTTATTTTGGTTGCATATTGCATGATATGGTACTATTTGCTATGCATGGGATTTTATCTCAGATACTTGTATATTTCTAGATCTATTAGGGGCTTTTATTAGCTCTTTCACGTTTCACTTAGATGGAAGTAGCAGATGGCTTTATGTAACTCTATGATGTTGTGATAATATGTTGCAGGTTACTTGAAACTAATTGGTGGTTCATGTGATACTCACATTGATCCCTTATTCTTAGATCTGTTAGAGCCCTAATTTATAGATGTACACAGATTATGGGTGGTTTACCATAGGTATGAATATGATTATGTATGAGTTTGGAACTTTATTGTTTTTTTCTGGAGTACTTGTGGTTATAAAATAGTTTAGTTTTAACACATGACTTTAAGGTTGAAATTGAATGCACTGTTTGAATATTGCTGTGGTTTATTGGGGCTGTGTGTTGACAATCTGCTATGTGAGTTGGCAATTGATAATATTCTTTTTGACTGATGGCTTTAGGCATGCATATGGAGATATTTGTTGGCTTAGATTAACACAACATCTTGTTGTAGGCATATGATGTTCTGCTGGGGATGTTTCTGATATTTTGAGCAAATGGCGGCAGATCAGCGGAAGAAGCGTGTGAATGCCTCCAGCATTGTTGACTGCACTACTAAGGGGCAACATAAAGCAAAAAAGAAGAAACTGGGGTTACCGCAACATGGTTTAAACATGAGACCTACTATCTCTCTTGAGTGGGATGAAANGGCATATGATGTTCTGCTGGGGATGTTTCTGATATTTTGAGCAAATGGCGGCAGATAAGCGGAAGAAGCGTGTGAATGCCTCCAGCATTGTTGACTGCACTACTAAGGGGCAACATAAAGCAAAAAAGAAGAAACTGAGGTTACCGCAACATGGTTTAAACATGAGACCTACTATCTCTCTTGAGTGGGATGACAAGAAAAAGAGTGTTGTTGCCAAGAGAGAGCAGATTGGCATTTCATGGACAGCGTCTTCTCCATTTATTGATGCTGTTCCTCTTTGCTCCAATATCTTGGCTGACATTCTCACTGTTCCTCGGGAAATTTTTGAATTGGAGAACTTGACTGAGGTGCTCTCATATGAGGTGAGGATAATTTACTGATAATGATCGCATGTATTGGACTTCAGAAATTGTGATATCTTTGCTCAGAGTGTTTTGTATATTTTATGTTATAGGTTTGGCAGACTCGGTTGTCTGAAAGTGAGCAGAACCTTCTTACACAGTGTTTGCCTAAAGGAGCTGAACCACAAGAAGTTGTTCAAGAATTACTCGCAGGGGATAACTTTCACTTTGGAAATCCTTTCCTCAGATGGCAAGTATTAGTATACTTTACGTGTATGTTAAAATCCGTGACTGAGGTTACCATTTGTTGAAAAGCAAGATGTGTGGGCTTCTGGTAAATTATGGAATATCCATTTTTTGATTATTTGTGCTAGGGTTTGGTCAGTTTTTGGGTTATGTGCTTGTGTTTTGTAGAAATGCATCATTTGCATTCTAGAAAATTGTCTGAACGTGATTTTTGACATTATTTATGCATGTGAGTAGTTTTCATGTAAGAGGTTGAGTCTTGGCACAATAGTTAAAGTTCCTCCATTGAGACCTACATGTCATGGGTTCGAGTCATAGAAACAACCTCTCTGTATGTGTAGTAAGAATGTTTACATCGACCCTTCAAGGCCTCACAGTGATTGGAGTTTTCTGTACTGGGCTGCCTTTTTTAGTAGGTTTTATCTATAATTGCAGTACAAATTGTCAGCAGTCTCATTTTCTGCCCAATCACTGACTGATACATGAACAATACCCATTGCAGCTTTGACATATTTGCGTGGAGGTACAAGATTTTTGGTTCAAATAAGCACACTAGTTTGGCAGTGTTGGAGAAAACGGCCCATCTGATAGAAAGTACAGACCTTTAATAAACCCGTTATTATTTTTCTGAGGTGCATCAAGAGGGAGTGAGAAGTGATGGAATATGTTTAGTCGATGGCTAATGGCTTAATGTGCCTAATAATGGTATAATTGAAATTTCAGTCATGGCCTTGATCCTATACAACCTTACAATAGGGATTTTGAATGAAATTTTAACTGAACAATTTAATAATAATAAACGGTAAAAAGTAAAGAAAGACTGAATAATGCAGTGTGGCCTTGATCTTATATAACCTTACAATGGGGATTTTGAATGAAATTTTATCTAAACAATTTAATAATAATAAAAGGTAAAAAGTAAAGAAAGACTGATTGATGCAGTGTGGCTGGTAGAACTTTAGATTTCTCCTTGTTTATGGATTACATACAATGGCATCTCAGAGAGCTCTAATTCAACTGCTTGCAATTTAATATCCTATTACTGGTCCACAATATGTTGATATCTTCAAGTCCAAAAGAATGCAGTTACTGTAGTTCCGTGCAGCCTCACGAACTAGGAATAGATGTTCTATTTGGATTCTATATGCTGCATTTGAGGCAGTCAATTTGTTATATCCTTTGCAGGGGTTCCTTACTTTGTTCTGGTAATCTTCATCCTGATCATGTTATACATCGGGAAAAGAATTACAAGGCTAATAAAAAGGCATACTGTTCAGAGTTACAAAAGTATCATAATGAGTATGTTGCCTAAACAACCTCGAATTTTTCCACTTCATATTGTTAAATTGTTGTTTTTTGCTTAAAGTTGTATGGTTATGACACCTTTATTCATCTTGTGGCAGTATGATTGGAAATTTACAGATGTGGAAGGGAAGATGGGAAAGCTGCAAGGATCCGGAAAATGAAAGTGTGCAAAAAATATGGAGGTTGACACACTTCTTTTTTTTTCATTACTAAATGGAGGTTGATACTGTTTGTATGTTTTGCATTTTATAGATATGGATGAGTTTGGTAGAAGAGGAGTTTTGATATGAGTAACCCGATTATAACAAATTATGGCATTTGAGACTCTTCTGTTTTATCATCATTGATATTGCTGCATATCGAAAGAATATGATCCTTAATGGTGTCACAATAGGAAAGAGGCAAGCCCTTTACAATTCAAGCCTCAATTGAGGAATCTTTTCTCTTTTAGTCCGATTGAGAAATAAAGAACCCCATCAAGTGGAATTAATTTGTGGAAGTTGTATGGCTTATGCTAGTTTGTGCAGAATCATTATGTTTCATGGTGATCAGACCATATATCAGTAGGCTTGACAATTCTAGGCACGACTCGTGAAACTGACATGAACCAGATACGGATTTAGCAAGTTTGGGTGTAGTCTTAACGGGTTCGAGTGGTTAACAGGTTAATTCGACAAACCTGTGAAATAAACGAACCGGTTTTGTGTTTAACCCATAAACTCGTTTCAACCCGTTAATAGTAGTACTACAATTTTTTAAAAAAAAGTTAGATTTCTCAGTCTCTGGCTCATCTCACACCTCCCATCTCTTAGACTCGTTTAAATTTANGAACCGGTTTTGTGTTTAACCCATAAACTCGTTTCAACCCGTTAATAGTAGTACTATAATTTTTTTTTAAAAAGTTAGATTTCTCAGTCTCTGGCTCATCTCACACCTCCCATCTCTTAGACTCGTTTAAATTCAGTAGTCATTTAACGCTTATTTTTTGTCTTTATTTTTTTTCTCAGCCATAATTTATTGTTATAGTAAATTGGTCAAACATGTGTAATGTGTGGCGAGTTGATATTTTTTTGTGTAGATTCAAAATACTCTAACCTATTCTGTTATTTAGCGGGTGACATACGGGTTGTATCGGGTAACCTGTCTAATAAACGATTCGCGTATGAGTGTGATAGTTGAACTCGTTTATATAAACGAATNTGTAATGTGTGGCGAGTTGATATTTTTTTGTGTAGATTCAAAATACTCTAACCTATTCTCTTATTTAGCGGGTGACATATGAGTTGTATCGGGTAACCTGTATAATAAACGATTCGTGTATGAGTGTGATAGTTGNTGTAATGTGTGGCGAGTTGATATTTTTTTGTGTAGATTCAAAATACTCTAACCTATTCTGTTATTTAGCGGGTGACATATGAGTTGTATCGGGTAACCTGTCTAATAAACGATTCGCGTATGAGTGTGATAGTTGAACTCGTTTATATAAACGAATGAGGTATGGATGAAGGCTTTTTTGACACAAACCCGTTCCATCCGACACGAAACTATTTCACTCGACACGATTGCCAGACATATATATTAGCATATGATTCTAGCCATCTTTTGGGCTTTCTGTACATGCTTTGTGTTACTTGTGTCTTTANATAAACGAATGAGGTATGGATGAAGGCTTTTTTGACACAAACCCGTTCCATCCGACACGAAACTATTTCACTCGACACGATTGCCAGGCATATATATTAGCATATGATTCTAGCCATCTTTTGGGCTTTCTGTACATGCTTTGTGTTACTTGTGTCTTTAGTGCATTTACATTGAAGATGACCCAAGTGAGGGACTCTGTTTTTAATGAATTTACCTATACCTCTCACTATTGCCATTGGATGCTACACTTATTTTTGTAGAGGGAAATTATTGGGGCATTCAGAAAATGTTTCTTANAGGGACTCTGTTTTTAATGAATTTACCTATACCTCTCACTATTGCCATTGGATGCTTCACTTATTTTTGTAGAGGGAAATTATTGGGGCATTCAGAAAATGTTTCTCACATATGTTTTGTTATCTAGTTGCTTTAAAATTGTTGCAAGGTTCTTATCAAAATTTATGTTTTGCTGTAGTAGTTATTTATATGGATATATTGTTAGTTCACATTGGAGTGTTTAATTGCAAATTGAAATCTTTTGTGGATCTCTTTTTGCAACCATTTTAGGGATTTGGAAATGTCATTCTGTATCTTGTTTGAACTTGAAGAATGTCATCCTTGAATTGATGATTTGTTCTCTGCTTTATTTTCAATATGTCTACTGTTTCTCATTCTGATGTATTGGGTCAGTTTTAAAAGCAGGTCAAAAAAGCTTGCTGAGAAAAGTGTGCCTGCTCATGCAAATGGTTTTAGATTATGTGATTCTGATGAGAACCCTGTAGCCACGTCTGAATCTTGTTCTTGGGCTGCTGATGAGAAAGCATGTAGCAGTGATAATCCAAACCTGATGCATGGCGAACCTCAAAGACTGTAAGTAATTTTTTTTTACCAAAAGCTATGCCGTTGCTTCTAAATCCTTTTTTTTTTGGCATTTGACCAGGTCTTAAGGATTGAGGGTTCAAATATTAGAGATAGTCCTTGTTTGTAAGATTAATAAATTGGTGACTAATTTTAATAATATTATGTAGTTGTTTGGAACATGTGTTTTAGAAACGTTTTTGTATGTTTGTGTGATGTAGATATATAACCTTAAACCTAATTTTAGTCTAAATTTATGTTGATCTGCTGTTGACATAGGAAGCTTTACCTAAATCAATATCTATTGCAGATGACTTGTTAAGCAAAATTTTCTCAGCTAGAATTCGAAGCCTCCATTCTTGGTTAATATAAAGGAGGACAAGATGGCCTATTTTTGAGTTTCTGTGTATCTCTCCTGTCAAAAAAAAAAAAAAACCTAGTCCTATATCTCAATCTTTCCTTTTTGACTTTCTGCATTAGAGTTCTAGTTGGCAGGGATCAACATTGATAACATAGACCCGTGGTTGAACCTCTTTACTTCGTAACATACCAGTCACAAATGTGCTTGCTTGTGAAGATGCATTTCAGTTACGGATTATTATAGCTGCCCTTTGATTCCCTTACATGTTAACAATCCATCTTTTACGCAACATAGGAAAAACTATGGCCTAGGAGATGGTTTTTTGTGTTTCCCAACACACTGTATCTGCACGAAAGTGAGATTGAGGTAGACTTGATTAGAGGTTGGTAGTCATTGCCTAGATCAAAGTGTAGTGGTGTTATCTATTCTTATAATAACTGTGGCATCTTTCTCTCATCTCTCTCTCTCTCTGTCTCTCTCTACACACACATATATATATATTCCCCCCCCCCCCAAAAAAAAAAAAAAGGAAAAAAAGAAAACACACACACACACACACATATGATCTCAGCTGTTGTGTTCGGTCATTTTCTCGATACGTCTTTAGTGTGGGCAGAGCATTTTGTTATTAAGAAAACACACACACACACACACATGATTCAGCTGTTGTGTTAGGTCATTTTCTCGATATGTCTTTAGTGTGGGCAGAGCATTTTGTTATTTATATTAGTTCCATCTGGCGGTAGATGACTTTAGTTAGTTGTGTTGGGTTTCAGGATATGCAGAAAAGGCAACATGGAGTGCAAATACGATTATTCATCAGATGGGCTTAAGGTGGCAGCAAGGCATAGGAAAGTAGAAAGGCTACACAAGTATAATATCCAGTGTGGTGATGGTGCCAAATACATGTCTTATATCAAGGTAGTTCATCAAATCTCTTGTGGATTTTATGAAAATCTTGGTGGGACAACACTTTAATTGGCCCATATGTATTCTTCAGAAGCATGATTATCAAATTAGATCTTTGGCCATGTTCATCTGGTTGTCATGTACCAATTTTAATCGTTTTGGTACTTTGGAGTTTGGTTGGCAGTCTAGAATTTGTAGGTGAACTTTTGGCTAGGAATTTAATCAAGGTTTTTAAATCTTTCTGTGGATCTATAATCAATTATTAAGGACCTGATCTTCTTGATAAGGAAGCAAGTGCAACTAAGATATTCTTTGGAGGGCTTAGGGCTGACAATTTGCTCACTGTTGTTTTTCAGGTTAGCAGGGAGCAGCATCAACGTGTTAAGAGCAGTATGAAGCATTCTAGTAATAGCATCCAGCATAGGTCTCTTAATAGTGTTCTAGGCAATCTTGATACCTTTCATGTACAGCCATTTGAAGTATTTGAGGAAGAAGAACGACAGAAGTTGCATGAGCATTGGTTAGTATATGGTGAAGTAAAAATTACTTCAAGCTGTTTCGTTACCTTTTACTCAAAACTTCTTCTTGTTTATACAGGTTGCAATTAGCAATACGAGACCTCCCAGCTGCGGTTGCAAACTGGAGAAGAAGGCAAGAAGAGAAATGGGAACTGACCAAGTCTCTTGAGCAAGAATTGGAAGAAAAACTGAAGTCTCTGAAAGAGGTTTGTCCCATTGGTCTTTTATTTCAAATGTTACTGTGAGAAATGTCCGATCATGTAATTTTGATTTTTAGAATCTCCGGCAGATCCTTGACTCCTTGTTGAGCCCGTGCACTGCTTGTAAGTATGTCTATTGGCTGCAGTATTGACATCTAGTTTTAATTGGGTGATCAGGATGAGGAAGAGAACTATCATGACATGCTATTGGAGCAGAAAGATGATGGGGCAGCAGACCTCGAACCTACACTTACGTTGGAGGTTTGTTACTTTAGCCACTTCTTTCTTGTGCGTCAGTTTCAATGTGGATACAGTTGCCTATTATGAGAAATAAACAATGAAATTTGCCGACGTTTAAATATTTTTCTTGAACCTTTTGACTCTGCTCTGATAGATTTGATTCGTTCNCGTTGGAGGTTTGTTACTTTAGCCACTTCTTTCTTGTGCGTCAGTTTCAATGTGGATACAGTTGCCTATTATGAGAAATAAACAATGAAATTTGCCAACGTTTAAATATTTTTCTTGAACCTTTTGACTCTGCTCTGATAGATTTGATTCGTCCAATCACATTTACTTGTCAGTGTATTATTGGTTGGTCAGGATGAGGATAAAGAGAAATCTGATAGCTTGCTTCGGGAGCACACAGACAATGCAGTAGCATTGGAGGTTTGTTACAGCTAGTCTTTCCTTCCATATGTGGTTGTGTGTGAGTGTGGGTATATGAGCATAGTGTCAACCTTTTGAAGTTATAAAAGATCCTTGTCGAACTTGTGCCTTTGATAAGCTCTATAAGTTGGTGTTAATCATTACTGCCTTACTGGTTTATTATTTGACGGACAGGACGAAGAAAATGAGAACCCTGATTGCATCCTTCAGGATCAGACGGATAATGAAGCTTCAAATCTTGGATATACAATGGTAGATAATAATGAGTCTGTTTCTGCCTGCATGCAAAATCAGGGTCTGCAGCGGATTTCTTCATTCAGTGGCAGGCACGAGTTCCACTCCATGGATTTGGATTCTGATGACAACCATTTAAGGGCGAAAATAGGTGATATTCCTCCTAGTGTGTCGGGGTACCCTGATAATTTGAACCATGTGGACATCCCTGTTAGTCAGGGAAATGTTCTCTCTTCTTCTAGTGATGCTTGGCCAGCAGTTAGCATGTCAGGTTCTTATTATCGTTCTACTGTAAGCCATGAATATCCCTCTGCCAGTGACTTGTCCCTTCCACGGGATATTGACCAGCAACCAGTTGGATTGATTGATTTGGAATCTGAAATGAGGGAAGAAGACTCTGGGAAAAATCTTCTACATAGACAATCCAATGATGTGTCCTTCTTGAGTCCTTACCCTCAACAGGACCGAAATGAGCTACTCCAATCTTTCTTCAATGGCCAAGGAAGTTTATCTTTCCATCATCAACAGAAACAAACAGGGTTAAATTTGCAGCCTGCAGGCGATGTAATGATGGGAACTAGTCAGTTTCCTGGGCATTTTGGGGAGCAGCTGCCCCTGTCGCTGCCTGTGGCGCTGGAGCAGAAGAGATTGAATGATATTTACTTTCATCAGAACACTCGGGAGAATATTTTTCCTGATGGAGGTCGATACTCTATCCCAAGACAGGAACACTTCTCGCCAGTGAATATTCCGAATTGGGCAGTTAATAACGCCCGGATGTCAGCACCTCCCCAACCTCAATTGAATGGTGAAGAGTTGCTAAGTCAGAATTGGTTTTCTGGTGAGCATCGAGGCCGTTGTGGCTGGTCTGGTTCGGAGGATGGTGTTGGTCCTAATAACATTGGAAATAGAAACAATGCTGATGAGACCCTATTTGGTGTTGTATCTGAATGTAATGAGTTACGGTACGGTGCCCCTTACAATTCGATGATGGGTCCTCCTACTGAACAATTCATTCAGTCTCGGAACTATGGCGTAGTGGGTGTTCCCAGAAACAACCATATGTTACCACAGATGGGAAATCCAGTAGTAAATTACTCGAGTGGGCATGAAACTGCGGGGGGCCTGAAGAATAACAATATGGGATGGATGAGCTTGCCGCATCCAGGTTCTGCTTTACAGGACTCAATCCGTAAGCCATTCATGAGGTCCTGGGATCGTTAAGGATGTTTTTCCCCTTGTTTGGAAAAGGTGGGTTGCTAGTCTTGTGGGTCGGGACAGGACAGGACAGGACAGGATGAGAAAGATGTAGAAAACGAATCCATCATGTAACAAGAGCTTGCGGCAATTATTTTTGGGATGAGAAGATAAGCACAGGGTTTGTGAGCATACAAGCCCACGAGATGGGACTTTGTAAATGCAAATACAAAGTCCAATCCCATGTATATATCTAGATTTTAGATTAAGAGGTGGGATAGTTATTGGAACGATAGAAGAAATCTGGATCTCTTATTTTGATAGGTGAGCCATGAATCATATGTTAATTGGCTTGGGATTTTTTTTTTCTTTCTTTCTCCATAATTGATTGCAAATGTTTTTTTGACAATCGACATAATAAAGCTCCCAAATTTTAATTTAATTTAATTTAATNAAAGTCCAATCCCATGTATATATCTAGATTTTAGATTAAGAGGTGGGATAGTTATTCGAACGATAGAAGAAATCTGGATCTCTTATTTTGATAGGTGAGCCATGAATCATATGTTAATTAGCTTGGGGATTTTTTTTTTCTTTCTCCATAATTGATTGCAAATGTTTTTTTGACAATCGACATAATAAAGCTCCCAAATTTTAATTTAATTTAATTTATTTTTTTGCCTTTGATTCCCTCCTTCCATCCATGGGGAAGAATGTGTGAAGATGTCAACTCAATTGAACACGTGGTGATGGTTCTGGATAATTGTTATTGTTAGCTGGTATGAAGAGTATTATATTATATCCCTATTTTTCTGGAGTACAAATATTTTTATGCTGCTGCATAGCCTGCATTGTGGGAAAATTAGTGGTATTAAATTTTGATTGAAAGTTTGAAGGCAATTCTATACTTTGCATACTATGGCAGGGTCATCAATGGTTACCAGTCTAGGTCTAGACTTGTGGTGTGTGGTGTGTGGTGTGTGTTAAGAGTAATTAATTTTGTAAAGGACAAAAGTGAAAGGAGGGTAAAGAAGTCNGGGAAGAATGTGTGAAGATGTCAACTCAATTGAACACGTGGTGATGGTTCTGGATAATTGTTATTGTTAGCTGGTATGAAGAGTATTATATTATATCCCTATTTTTCTGGAGTACAAATATTTTTATGCTGCTGCATAGCCTGCATTGTGGGAAAATTAGTGGTATTAAATTTTGATTGAAAGTTTGAAGGCAATTCTATACTTTGCATACTATGGCAGGGTCATCAATGGTTACCAGTCTAGGTCTAGACTTGTGGTGTGTGGTGTGTGGTGTGTGGTGTGTGTTAAGAGTAATTAATTTTGTAAAGGACAAAAGTGAAAGGAGGGTAAAAAAGGCGAGAGATCAGTCGGCACTTCTTAGCAACTAGACTTCATTCAGTATGTCGGCAAGGCATATTGAAATGTACTGGGGCCCCAAATATGACAATTCATTCAATCGTGGAGGAAAGGGGGAAATTTCATCNAGATCAGTCGGCACTTCTTAGCAACTAGACTTCATTCAGTATGTCGGCAAGGCATATTGAAATGTACTGGGGCCCCAAATGTGACAATTCATTCAATCGTGGAGGAAAGGGGGAAATTTCATCCACCCACTTGAGGAGTGGGCACCCATTGAGATGTCCATAGGTGGTGGGGTGGGTGTTGTTAAAGTTAACCATTACTTCAAACAATATTCTTTAATAATAAATTTATTGGACTTAAATAAATAATACATTTTCTTTAAATAAAAAATAATACATTTTCNCACCCACCCACTTGAGGAGTGGGCACCCATTGAGATGTCCATAGGTGGTGGGGTGGGTGTTGTTAAAGTTAACCATTACTTCAAACAATATTAATCGATTTACGTCTTTAATAATAAATTTATTGGACTTAAATAAATAATACATTTTCTTTAAATAAATTTATTTACGTCTTTAATAATAAATAATACATTTTCTTTTTATTGTACTCCAATCTAATAGCAAGGGTGTGATTTGATTTAGGTCAACTAACACTTTGAGAGTATTTTTGCTATTAGTTTACACTTATACAAAGATGTATAAAAAAGATTAAGTAATATGTGATGCAAATGTTCAAATTATTGCATCACAAGATCTCCTCGCAGTTTTGGTGGGTGCCACCCTAAATAAATACCTCTCCTAATTTGTGGTGTTGAAACAAACTACATTTGGCTATTTTTTTTTAATCATATTTTTGAATTTCTATTTTTGAGATATTTTATTTGTTATTTTAGAATGTCACTCTAAATTAGTTATATATATATTATAACAGAAATTTCAAGATCCCAATCTCATTTTATAAATAAAAAATAACGTTCGTAGACATTTAATTATGAGTTATTTCTTGCTGATGTTACAACAGAAGGAGTGGCTTACCAAATACACACAAGGAAAAAACAAGAAAAAAAGAAAAAAAAAAAAGAGTTTTATATCTTCTTGTCTCCTCCTCCTGCCAATGAACTTATTATTAAATTATTAATATTCTTTGTCGACACTAAAGAAGCCTTTTGCCCTTTTTGGCGGTTCGACTCGTCGTTAAGAAGGTGATAATTGATTGATTAATTACAGCGTCCCTTCCCTTCCCTTCCCTTCTTTGTTTCCAAATTCCAATGCGTCTGTTCGTTGTTTGAGTGCTAAGGTGAAATTCTGATTCGGATTCTCCATACCAAAACCAAACCCTCGCTTTCATCCCTCGTATCGCGTCTTTTGATTTTGAAGCCTTCTATCTACTTCTTTCTTTTTCATACGTTCGCCCGCCCATTCCGTCTACTATATGTAGAGAAAGAAAAACATTGATTTTGTCTCTTACATTGACAGAAGAAGATGGACAAAACGAAGAATAAAGAAGTTATTCGCTTGGAGCGCGAATCCGTCATTCCAATCCTAAAGCCTAAGCTCATCATGACCTTAGCCAATCTCATTGGTATTTTTTGCAAATCACTTGTTCATTCTTTCTTTCTACTATGTTAATACGACTTTTTCACATGTAGGGTTAGGCTATTCTAAATTATTACAATTTTCCGGAAGCCCTTCGAATATGAGTATTGATTTGTGATTGTTTCTTCTTCTGATATATGTTTCCAAAGCCTGTAATCATAATTGTAATTATTCATGATTTTTGAACGACGTTCTGAATGAATGAATGAATGTAGAACATACTTCTGACCGGAGTGAATTTTTAAAGCTCTGTAAGAGAGTCGAGTACACTATTCGGGCCTGGTATCTTCTACAATTCGAGGATCTAATGGTATCTTGATTTCTTATTTATTTTATTACTTGAAATCTTCATTCCTTATTCTAAACCTAATCAACATTGGGCTCTCTCTTTCTCTCTCCTTTTGGTTAAATAAATCTGTGCTCCCAGCAATTGTGCTCCCTCTTTGATCCTGTCCATGGGGCTCAGAAGTTGGAGAGTCAGAATCTGTCTTCAGAAGAAGTTGACATACTTGAACATAATTTCCTGACATACTTATTTCAGGTAGGATTGCTTCTGCATCATATTGTTGTTTGTATGTGGCAGATTTTTGATATCCTGAAAATGAATATAGTCTTATCCGTTTTCCACAAATTAATTAGACATAGATAAATGTGCACATACATGCGCATTTGTCTACAGTGCCAGGCAGTGTTTATGTTTTAGAATGTTACAGGTAATAGAATGATGTCATTTTATTATTGTTAGAGGTCACAATGCAACCTTATTCATTTGTTCCGTTCTAAGTGCTTAAACTCTTGTTTGAATGGAGTTAACTTATGTGCTTACTCTTGTTTTTACTTCTTTTATTTTATCTGATGTCTTGTTGCAGCTATCCTGCATTAAATATTATGGCCATGTTAATGTAGGTCAATTTAATTCTGCCTATGTATGTCCAAATAATTATAGGTACTATTAATGACTCCATTTCTATTGCACTGTCTATCCTTGTTGCTTCACGTATTTGCTGGGAAGTTACATTTTATGTGCAATCTTGATTTGGGCCTCATGTAACTGCATTTCCTTTTTATTACCCATCGACTTTCGTTCACACTTCACCCTTTTAATCTCTCTCTTTAAGTTTTATTTGTGCTCCATCTCCATCTACGACTGGCCCAAACCTTTGGCAACTGTTGCCCGAGGTCCCACGTTTCAAGAAAGGCCCCTATTTTTATGACTAGTTGATCATTAAGTTTTGCCTAAATGACATCCTAACATCCGACCAAGTGGTTTCACATTAGAAAAAGGAAAATGCTACACAACCCAAATAAAACCCAAAAAGCACTTGTGTAGCATTACTCTTAGAAAAAGGCTACAAAGATATGATAGTAAATGCTGAGAATACGAAATAGGTCCTATTATTTAGTTGAACTTTACAATACCAATGAGAATATAAAAACTACCTTTTTTCTTCCATAACATTAAAGCAAATAGAATTTAAGCAGACTTCTTATGGCTTCTCTTATGTTTCACTATTTTTTATTCCGGTAAACTTCTCACACAATTTTTTTTCTCCCATTGAAGATGGTTAAATAAGCATACCCACTTTGGTCTCCATTAGTGGGGTCTGGGTAGGATGGACACGTTCAACGTGGTTGCCTTTAGATTTGAACCTACATTCTCGAGGTTATTGGACCGAATATTAATCACCGAACTTGTGGCTACAGTTCAAATCTAAGTACTAATCTGCATGTGCAACCTTTAGTATCCACAATGATAAATTAGGTTTTGTTATTCTACACCTTTTTAATTTAGTTTTTTAATCTTTTTACAAGTTTTGTTAAAGGCAGTATATGTTTTCTGTGTAAATATTGTTTCTTATCAAGGGTGTGACAAACTTTAAGAAAAGGAGAAAGAAGATAATTTAATTAAATCTCTAGATGGATCTTTTTGGCAAATTTCATACTAGCAATGAAGAATATATAACAGAGAGTTTAGTTGAATGTCAATAAATAGTATCTTTTAATTATATGAAAGGCCTCACTCAGACTTTTTGGCTGAGGCGCCAAATTGCCTCGAGTCAACCTAGTCTCCATCCTTTCTCATAGCCAAGGCTATAAAGGGAAGCAATGAGTTGTCACATGTTAAAGGCTAGGTGGTGACGTTTTCATGGAATAGCAACCACCAGTTTCGTCTATTATGCTTCAGTAAAAGGTCCTACTTTCACTATCCAAAAAGATGGGAAGGAGGGAAGCTGCTGTTTTCTTTAGTTTTCATTGGCCAAAAGTTGTATATTTTTTTTTATTTTTTTTTTCCGGTGNAAAAAGATGGGAAGGAGGGAAGCTGCTGTTTTCTTTAGTTTTCATTGGCCAAAAGTCGTATATTTTTTTTTATTTTTTTTTCCGGCGAGGAATCAACTTGTTATAGTTGAACAACTTTTTGTAAGGACTAAGCAAGTGCAGGTTGACCTTGGAATGATTAAGTTGACTGTCTCAAGTTTTGAATCAAATTTGCTTGTTCTGATTGGGAATAGTCCTTCAGTCAACACACTTGTTGGATTTTATGTAAAAAAGTATGTTTTTTATGATAATTTGTTTGAATATTCCAATACCTCAGTTTGCCCACCACTTTAGGGCATTGTTATGTATGGGTCCTCTTGAAGCTGCAATGTTCGATAGATACTTTTCCTCTTCCCTTGCAACTTGAACCAGTAACACTACCCTTTGAACAATGTGCAACCTATTTATCTTCTGCATGTGTATGCTTGTATTTTTTATTAGTTTTATAGGCAATCAAGGCCATTATGGAATGTGAATCTCCATTAGTGAGGATTCTAGGAATTAATGTTCCCTAAGTGGCTTACTCTGGACTAGAATCCTCATTCTCGCACTTGGTGGCCTGAGCTTTAACCCGAATTTTGTCTACAGAGAATTTTTCCATAGGCTCTTATTTTATTTTTTATATATTTTTTTTGTGGGGGTTATTGGCTTCTCATCTTTTTTGCTCTCCAATTTCCTGTTAAGGTTTCTATTTTCTCTCATATTACGTGCAGGTAATGGACAAGAGCAATTTCAAGATGGCCAGTAATGATGAGATTGATGTCGCACTTTCAGCACAGTATCTTCTAAATCTTCCTATCTCAGTTGATGAATCTAAGGTTTGTAAAGGCACTTGTGTATCAAAAATGAATGACAAAAACTGCATGTAATAGATATGCTTGTTTAGAAATGTAATCAGTGCTTTGTCTGTATTTGTGTATCTACTTCCATGGCTGTTCACATTATTGTGTTTGCTGATTGTAGCTTGACAAGAAACTTTTGAAGAGGTATTTTGCCGAGCATCCTCAGGAAAATCTTCCAGACTTTGTTGATAAGGTATTGCTCCATCTGGAGTATTTACCCGCTCCCCTTTTGGTAAACAATAGGGTGTGAACCCTGCATTGAATGACTAATTTCCTCTTCTTCACTATCCTCAATGACGACATACCTTTTGGGTGTGTATAACTCGATGTCACGGTTAACAGTTTTATTGATTGATTTATGAGAAAAAATATGAAAAGCTACATACAAGATTCTTTCTCCCCCTTCTTTCTTGTGGTGTTTTCTTGTTCCATGTAATGCCCTACCTTTTATGCTCTCTCTCTCTCTTTTTTTTTTTTCCGAGTAGGCACTTTAAAGTTCATTTTATTATGAAGGTAATTCTAGACATGGTTGTAACAGCATGTGTCCTTTCCTGGATCCCATGAAGCACGGAAACTTCAAAAATGTTAAAATATCGCATATAGATATGCGTTCGATACGACCGGAAAGTATCCTAGAGTTAAAAAAAATTTGAATATTGGGTATGTCATGATAGGCAATGATACATGTATAAATACAGTANGAAGCACGGAAACTTCAAAAATGTTAAAATATCGCATATAGATATGCGTTCGATACAACCGGAAAGTATCCTAGAGTTAAAAAAAATTTGAATATTGGGTATGTCAGGATAGGCAATGATACATGTATAAATACAGCATGGATACGACGGGGTATTACTTGTATTTTTAAAAAGGAACAAGGGCACTAGAGTAAATAATATTGGACTCTTATTTGCAAAAAAAAAAAAAAAAGAAAAGAAAAAAATCGTAACTTATTCGACAGACACCCCTCGATCAGATATCGACGTTACCTCTCCCTCTGTCTCATCCGATGGTCTCTCTCTTGACGTTGACGACGTCTTTTCCCCCCTTGAAATTGTGAAGCTCTGCTGTCTAGGTATCATCGGTGCCCTAAGCTCCCTTCTCTCTCTCCTTTTTTTTGCCTTCTACCGGTGATTAGCACTCCTCGTTTGCAATTAGGGTTTGTAAAACAAACTTTGGGGCCTTGAATTAGGGTTTGCAATTAAGGTTTGTTTTTTTGCAATTTACAATAGGGTTTCTATAGATTTATTTGTTTTTTTTTTGTATAATATATTAGGAACTATTTGAGAATGACAAGTGAATTGTTGGGTACTTTTTTTTTTTTTTTCTCTTTGAGAAATGGTATTTGAACTGCTAGGTACACTTTGAGAAATGACATTTGAACTGCTTGGTACTATTTGAGAAATGACATTTCTTTTGTTTATCCATGGACATGATATCTTCTTTTTCTGGGTGTGCGGNACTTTGAGAAATGACATTTGAACTGCTTGGTACTATTTGAGAAATGACATTTCTTTCGTTTATCCATGGACATGATATCTTCTTTTTCTGGGTGTGCGGCATTTTGGATATTATGTAATATGCATGCGTAGAATGTATGATTTATGAATGATTAGTTATTATTATATATCTTGTATAGATGTATGATTCACTTTATAAGTCATAATTATTACATTAAATATAATAATAATTTTTTTAATTTTTTTTTTGTGCATGTATTCTAGCTGTACCCATATCTTTTTTTTTTTTTTAGGTTTTGTCGTATTGCCGTATCAGTATCCGTGCTTCATAGCTTGGATCTTAAGTTTTTATGCTTATTTCATTGTGGAGAGTCTAACTTAGAAGTTAAGTATGGAAATGGTCTTTCCATGTTAGAGTAGGCTAGAATATGACTGTTCTGATGTTTTTTTGGCAACCAAGAGATGGCAAAATGTTTTGACTAACTTTCTAGTCAAAACTTAAGGAACTGTGAAAGGCCTTTTTTTTAGCAATTTAAAATTTGGAGACTAAATGATAGAAGAATGGGCATTCACCTGAACAATGAGATATAACAGAATTTGTGGTGATGACTGCACGGTCTGGTCCCAATAAATTTTCCAACTGTCATATGCTTTGCTTTTTAATAATTGTCCTGCTAAGTAGTGGCAGAGCAGGAGCTATATTACTCCCCAAATAAATGTGGTTTATGTTTTATGATCTATATGAGATGTTTTCGAGTGACAAATTTGACTTTTTTTACTGAACCCATGAATATCTTTCTAGTATGTAATCTTTCGACGAGGCATTGGGCTTGATCAGACAACTGACTACTTTTTCCTGGAGAAAGTGGACATGATCATTGCACGTTTATGGGCATGGATTTTGAGAAAGACTAGGTGAGTAACTGTATACATCAGTACCTGTTGAGTTGGTAGCTCAAACCCAGGCCACTATATTGACAAGTAGTTCCTAAACCCAGGCCACTACTTGTAATTTTTCATATTTTTGTGGTTCTTGCAGGCTAGAAAGAGTGTTTTTGAGAAAGTCAAGTGCACAGCCCAAGAAAGATCCAAAAAAGGATGATGAAGTTGGCACCGAAGCACAGCAGGATGCCTTATATGTTGAACGGATCCGCATTGAAAATATGGAACTGAGGTTTTTAATTGCATCTTGTTATTGCAGTTCTGGTGGTTAGCGTATATTCACTCTTGAATATGGGCTATATGGTTGTGGTTCTAAATGATTTAGAAGATACATTTCCGTGCTCGTGATCTCTAAACTTCTTGATTGTAGTGTCCAACTAACTTATCAAACAATCAGAGCCATTATATGTATAATGCATTCACTAAAATTGAAATCATCTCTGAAATCATTGGATTATGATTCATATGAAATAATCAAGGTTTATAGATTGTATTAAGCCAGCATATACCACTTATGCTCTGGCTACATCTATCTAGGGTGGCTCGCACAAACTATTAGATGATCAAGTAACCATAATGTCTTCCTGATGTGGAAACACCAGGGAATTGGATAGCTTGTGTTATATATATTTTTTGATATTTTATTTTCCTACTTGGAAAATTTAGATATTATTCTTGTTTTTCCTTGAGTTTTAGTCTGGTTATTAGCTTTCAGATTGAAAGGAAGATCTTCTCTTCTATGTTCTTCTTCCCTTCCTCTATTCTTTATCTTTTCTATTATTTATTCTCTCTCTTACCCTTACTTTCTGGTCTTGCACACTTGTTTTTGTTAGCACAATGATAAAATGGGTAAAGCTTTGAGTTTGATGAACACTTGTGCACACAACACTTGCGCAAGTATTTTTGGGGGTCATATTCATTGTGACTCATGGACATCTACATGCTGCATACATTCATTGTGAGTCATATTAGCACAAACACAGACAATTTAGAAATGGACCAATTTATAAGTTTAGCTGGCCATATTGAGTTCTTGAGGTTTATTCGCAGTTTATGACTTTTACATTATATCTAATCCAGTTTACGCAATTTGCTGAGCAAGATCACAATCCAAGAACCTACATTCGATAGGATAATTGTTGTGTACAGGTAATGCTTTCGGTTCTTGTATTTAATAAGTTATTGCGCACAATATTTCAGCAGTTATATCAAAATGGTTGAACACTTTTCAAAGAAAGTGCAACAACTTAAATTCAGGCCTTCTTTTCTTCACTGAAGAAATTGAGGAGGGCATTTGAGAAGTGATCCATTACCTACCAAAGAACTCCCTTTTAATTGTGGCTAACATAAATGGTGACGGTGCAGGCGAGCGAGTACCCAGACAAAAATGGACCGAGGAGTTTATGTGAGGCATTTCAAAAACATCCCAATGGGTGATTTGGAAATAGTCCTGGTGAGTTTTTGTTGTGATCTGCGTTGCTGTTGTCTCCCCCTCTCCCTAGTGTATGTGTGGGGGCATACGTGTATATGTGTGCATTTGCACAATAATTAACTTTTCCATAGAATGCTCCCCCCACCAGAAAAAGCAAATGAAAAATCCTCTTCTTTTGTTCTGTGTATTATCTCTATGTTCCGGTGTTGATTGATACACTTGCATTTAACAGCCAGAAAAGAAAAACCCAAGTTTAACTCCAATGGATTGGGTCAAATTCTTCATCTCTGCTATAGTTGGCCTGGTTGGTTATCAAATATCCATGAATTTGATTTGTTCGACTGTTCTTGTCTTTGAGCCATTGTTCTCATTTTGCACTTGCCATGTGAATTTTTCAGGTAGCTGTGGTAGGTTCACTTGACGTGCCTAAAGCTGATGTTTGGGTCATTTTTGTGATCCTCTCCACGGTGATTGGTTACTGTGCTAAGACATACTTCACGTTAAGTGGTTTATTTAATTAAAGTTCATGTGTCTAGGTACATATTTATACAATTCAACCATTTGCATGGATGCTTGTTTGATCCACTCCACAATCATCGCTGTAGGCCGGATAGGTGCAGTCACGTCAGGCAATGCTGGCGCAGTGATTGCGGCCACTGATCATAGGGTATTGGGTTTGGGGCCCTGATTGCATGTGTGCCAGGCTACTTATACATATGCCTGTAGGCAGGCTGTGTGTAGAATGACTAGGTTGCTTCGTCTTTGTCAAAGAAGTCAAATTATCTTTGGTAATGATGCTAATGCTCATTTAACTGTCTGTAGGTTTCAGCAAAATATGGCTACATATCAGAACTTAATCACACAGTCCATGTATGACAAACAACTGGATAGTGGAAGGGGCACTCTTCTTCACTTATGCGATGACGTGATTCAGCAAGAAGTAAGTTTGCAGGCTGCGAGTTTCTTTTTTCTTTAATTTTTTTCCTTGGTCAACCAGATGTGTTTACCTTATCCTTCTTCTTCTTAATTAGACTTCTAGTAATATGCTGACTGGGCATATGCGGTCAGTTTATTATTCTTAGCATTATAAGCATAGTTTTAAAACTCGGCCAAGACATCAACCCGGTGAAGAGACCGGGTCAATGGGTCACGGTTCAACCATTGGGTCACTGGTTCAACCATTAGGTCACTGGTCGGACGTGTAATATAATAAAAAATTAAAAAATAAGTATAAATAGCCTAAAAAAATTACAATAATTATAAAAATAACATCAAATATGTAAAGTTAAGAAGAGAAAAGTCATCAAACATTAAGTAAATTTGGTGTAGCGCTAGTTGGTGTATAGCTAGTTGGTGTAGATTGAGATTCAATTGGTGTTCCGGATGAAGACATTTTGATATGACATCGAAAACCAAAAAGCCACAAGTAATTAGACCCCACAACACAGCACACTAACTTTAAACTTTAAATTATAAACTAACAGTCTAAGATACAAAAAAAATAAATCAGATTTTATACCAATATGAATTTGATTAGTGTGATTTAAATTTATTTTTTGATCAATAGTCCTAATATAGTAATACATAGCATAGATTTCACAAGAAATTTATGAACAAATTGCTAGTGTATATCTATAGCACCTATAAAACAAATGAATAGATACATTCAGATAAATTTGATTATATCACAATTCACAAGTAAATACACATTTCAAACGGGTTTTCAACATAACAAAACCCAAATCAAACTTGAGCTCCAATTGCACCAAAACCCATTTCATTTTCACAATATTTCCAAGAAACATGTGTTAAAACAAACAAAGATAAAAACAAATTCTGCACATAAAAGCCCCAAACCATATATATAGAAGTGGGTCAAAAGGAACTCAAAGGACTTACAGTGAATGATGACAATAGGGTTGTGAAGAAACAGAGTCAGAGCACCAGAAAGTCCACTGCCTTAAATTTTTTTCTGCATCCAACAACAACAAAGCTTCCGATTTTTCGATCAAGCAAACACATGAACAACCCTCCCATTGATCAAAGAATCTTCCTCCTCTAATTGCAAAATAAAAAACCCAAATTACATGCTTGTATGTACAAATTGAGTGAGAGAGAAAGGAATTGGACAATGTAACCAAACAGAGGAATTGGACAATGTAACCAAACAAAGGAATTGGACTGAGACAGAGAAAAAGGGGGGGAGAGAGAGAGAGGGAAATTCACTGGAGTCCTGGACTGGAGTTGCTGCTGGTGGACTGCACTGGACTGGAGTCGACTGCCTGCTGCTCGCTCACGTTGGTCTGATCGCTCATGCTGGTCTGATTGCACTCTGGATCGCTGGTTGCTACTGATCGCTGCTCGCACTCTGGTCGTTCGTTGGTGGTGGAGGAGTGGCTGTGCAACTTTGGATTGATTTAGGGCAACAAACAAAAGGAGAAAAAACAAAAGGGGAAAAAATCTCACATTTATACAAATGAAATCAAACTATTCGGTTTGGTAAACTCGTCCGGTTCTCACGGATTCACCGGTTTTTGACCGGTTCAACGGGTTGACCTTTGGTTCCGTACATAAACAGTTTTTAATTAGAACCGGCCCGGTTAAGGGACCAGATTGACCCGCTGGGCCGGGCGGGGTTTTAAAACACTGATTATAAGGTCTAAGGAGCATTCTATGACTTCCAAGATTCTGTTATGACCCAGCCAAATATGTACCTACTTAGTGAGCCTTATTTTTGATTATGATTAATGATCCAAAGTAAAAATCACTCTTGTTCATTGTTTACAGGAAGCACATATCCACCTTCTCTTCTCTTTCCTCTCCTTCTTCTTCTTCTTCTTTCAGCCTTCTTTCTTTTCGTTTTTAACAGTTGAACTTTGAGTTTGCAAATGCCAAGAATTTGAATATTAGACGAGTTGCAGCAATGTGGATGACTTGCTCATTTAGATATGGATGCTAAAAATTTCTGCGTGTTCATTCATTAAGAGCCTTCAATTGGTCGGACAGTGCTTATTTTATAAATGTATATGTTGTTCTGGTAACTTACCCTTTTTAAGGGACTCTAGAATCACATTTTTATGATGACTGAGAACGTCCCAACAACGTATTTTTTTGGATTCATTGAACCACATTTTCTCTGTTCAGGTTGGTTTCACTTGTCGGGCTCTGAGATTCGTCTTGCTCGACTTCTTTGTTGAGCTATTTAATGACAAAAGTTCAGAATATGAATATAGGTCCATCTAGATAAATTTGTTATTGAACTTATTTAAAATATCAATCTGATTTACAACTGCATGCCAAAAAGAAATATTGATATTTCAAATGCTTGCTATTGATATATAAGTTCTGGTGGGGTGATTTCATGTATTTAACTCCAATATGGTGTCTGCTTTGATTAGTTTCCTTTCCTAGGCTTGGTTTTGATTAGCTTATTTCGTCGGGTTCTGTTTTGATTGGTCAACTCTACTTGTACTTGACCATGTTTGATTGGGTTGACAAACTCTGCTCATTTTCAATCAAATCTTATTGGGTCGGCTAACTTTGTTCATGAGTGGCCACCTCTGCTCAGCTGGGTCCACTCTGCTTGACTTGGACCAATTCTGCTTATGGTTCATCAACTCTGCTCAAGTTAACCAACTCTTCTGGTGCTTGGTTAACTCTCATAAACTAAGGCTTCTTATAGAATATTTTGTCTTATTCTTTAAACATTCATTATTTTATTTTCTTTTGCGCAACTAAGAAGGCAAGGCCCCCAATGGCTCCATCATATTTTATCTCGCCTATGATTGCTTATACATCCCTTCTCTCTATGTCTTTTTGTCCTAGTCAATACAGATGTCGACCGAATACAAACTTGACATAATATCAGGAGGCTCGTTGGAAGTCTCTGTTTTGTTGCAAATGGGTAGCTATTGTATCTTTGAAAATATACTTAAATCATTTCTCACAGATGACACTACGCAAAGCTTGGTCTGCTTGAAGAGCTAGATAACTGCATGTTCATATGGCCTGTAAGACAATGAAGTAGATCAAATGGGGCACCGAGCTCCATTGGTTGACCCTTCATTGCTTAACTTAGTATCTCAGCTGAATATGGAAAGTTAGTGCTATATGTGGTTGGGAGAGCATACCTAAAAATGAAGATTTGCCCCTTTTATATGGAGGTTGCTGGGTGGTTCACTTTTGCCACCGCTCTCTCTGACATGCTGGATGTGGTCAGATGAAGGCCATAATGTTTAAAGGGGAGGTTACCTACTAGAATTGGAGGAGTTTGTTTAACTGGGTAATTTTCCATGGACCAGAAGTAATTTTTTTTTTTGCTGGATTTTTACAAAATCCATTATTTGAATGTAGGTAAAGGAGGTGATAATATCATTTTTCATATTGATGGAACAGGGCAAAGCTACTTTACAGGTATGCTCGGTATTTTTGGCTTTCTCCTGTGTTCATGTTCTGTTCTCGTGATCCTAACTACATTCTGGATATNATAATATCATTTTTCATATTGATGGAACAGGGCAAAGCTACTTTACAGGTATGCTCAGTATTTTTGGCTTTCTCCTGTGTTCATGTTCTGTTCTCGTGATCCTAACTACATTCTGGATATGTTTTTTTCAAAGTTACTTTGTCATGATGTGAATAGGATCTTGACCTACGGTGTGAGGAACTTATAAAAGAAGAGTTTGGTGAGAGCTGCAACTTTGATGTGGACGATGCAGTCCAAAAGTTAGAAAAGTTAGGCATTGTTGCTAGAGTAAGTTCTTTCCTCCTTGACCAAAGAGGTGATAGATAGTTTGGTAACGTTGTGCTTTCTTCAGCTTAATTGAATTTCTGTTTCTTTTTTTTTTCCTGGCTTCAAAATATTGTTGCCAGTCTGTCCTGGTTTTTTGTCTTCTATGAATATGTTATAGGAAGTAATCATAGAAGGGTGTCTTTGGTGAGTGGGAAAAGAATGCCCCTGATGCACTGTGATGTCTTGGCCTTTTAAATCCGTGGACATCTGCAGAGGTTCACAGATTAGATAATAATGTCATTGATGCAGGATGCAAGTTCATATCTTTTGACCAAAGTGTTGTCAAATGTAGAGCATGTTTGGTTTGGTTTCCAAAAACAGTTTTTTGTTCTCAAAACTCTAAAAACAAGGAGAATGCTTTTTGTTTAGTTTTTTTGTTCTCTATTTTTTTGAAAATTTTGGGAATTGAGATGTGATTTTAGACGACAACAAAATGATGTTTTCTGAGTTTTTAGACTAAAATAGAAAACAAGGAAACAATCCCTCATCTTTAATGAGGTTCATCCATCAAACTTCTTTAGTTGCAAAATGCATTTTTTTTGGTTGAAGTATAAAAGCCTTTCACCTGCGTCTTTCTCCATAAATCATTTCTCTCTCCACTTTGGCAAATCTAGATGAAATACACCCACGATCTAAGTTCAATAACTCAGACGATCTCCGGCGTCTTCTCTCTCCTTTCTAGTGTCTNAAATCATTTCTCTCTCCACTTTGGCAAATCTAGATGAAATACACCCACGATCTAAGTTCAATAACTCAGACGATCTCCGGCGTCTTCTCTCTCCTTTCTAGTTTCTTTNTCTAGATGAAATACACCCACGATCTAAGTTCAATAACTCAGACGATCTCCGGCGTCTTCTCTCTCCTTTCTAGTGTCTTTTTTTTTTTTTTGCATCTGGATTCAAGACACAGGTGGTGGTTATGGGTTTTGGGTGGTAGTGGGTTGGTGGTGGTTGTGGGTTTTGGGTGGTTGTCGGTTTCAATGCTTTGTGGGTTTTGGTGGTGGGTTTGATGCACATTTAAAGAGAGAGATAGAGAGTTGAAGAGAGGTGAGAATTGTGGATTATTGTCCAAACAAATTTTATAATTTTTGTTCTTTAAAACTATTTTCAAAAATATATAACCAAACAGGTTTTGCAATCTAAAAATTTTTAAAAACACTTTCTTACAATTTTTCTCAAAAATAGTTTTTAGATATTGTTTTTTGAAATGCAAACCAAGTAGGTGTTCATATCATTTGACCAAAGTGTCGGCAAATATAAATTCTTCATATATGGGGAGGAGTGGTAAGCACTGTGCACCTATTGTTCTTGAAGGTGTTACCTTAAGCCTAATTGATAGAAGTCTAGAATCTAGATGAAAGTTGCCTTCAGCGGCCTGGGAGAAATGGTTTGGGCACGGAGGCTACTCCCGTTGTGATACAGTCATTAGAGGCAAAAAATGGAAGTTTTCATCTCCTTTGACTCTTTTAATTCTTTTATGCATTTAGGATGCAATTGGAAGGTACTACTGTGTAAGTCTCAGGCAAGCTAATGAGATCATTGGCACCACCACGGAGGAGCTTGTACTCAAAGCAAAACAGGGTGCTGGTCCCTCTTAAGCTGTCTCTGGATGGTAAAATGCTTCTCTTACCACTTCACGTATTTGATCACTTGCAGAAATTTTACACCTAACAGTTGGATAAAAATCCAATCTATCTGCAGGCATATGGGAGTGGCAGCTGTACTCCTTTCCTTTCCTTTCCTTTTCTTTTCTTTTCTTTTCTTTTCTTTTTCCATGTTGATAGTTGTTATTCACGTCACCAGCCCTTTAATTTTTTTTTTTTTAAATCTTAAGACAACTTTTCGTTGCATCTTTTTATTTTTTTTGATTATTTAAATTCGTTTCATTTGTTNAATTTTTTTTTTTTTAAATCTTAAGACAACTTTTCGTTGCATCTTTTTATTTTTTTGATTATTTAAATTCGTTTCATTTGTTTGGAACAACACAATCTCAATTGTAAGTCTTTCTGGAATGCTGCAGTNTTGATAGTTGTTATTCACGTCACCAGCCCTTTAATTTTTTTTTTTTTAAATCTTAAGACAACTTTTCGTTGCATCTTTTTATTTTTTTTGATTATTTAAATTCGTTTCATTTGTTGGATCAGTGTTAATAACCTACCTCCCTGACTGTATTTTATGTGAGCAGCTAGCAATTTTTGTGTGCAGTGGCATCCCTGATTTGACATGATTTTCGTAAGTGATGTTTGAGTTGTTTGGCCGGGAAAAGGGGTCTTTTTGTTTTTATTTCTGACACTCATCGTAGTTAATGTTCGGAATGAAGAGCAGTTCCTACATGCAATCATCCAGATCCTTGCATGGCCTGGTGGTTAGACACGAGACGATTGTGTTGATGTGGATGAACGACAATATAGATTTTGTAGGGGCAGGGAACTTATCCGTAAGGTTCAACAGTTTTTACTTACCTAGCATAGAAATATATGATACGATTGCAGCTTAACAAAAGAGAATCTGCTGCCTCAGACGCATATGCATGCCCATGAACACGTACTTAAGGTCAGGGTACAGTTGAATCTTGCAATTGCACTAGCACGAGTATGCTACTCCGCAAGGAAAGGCCATTGTTCCAAAGCTAAATGTGTTAAGTTTACTGTAATATTGATAAGATGGCATCGTTTCAAAGTATGATTTTGTGGGAACATATTTTAGTTACACTCTTAAGCACAAAAATTGTAGTTCATTTGGGCAAAATGAATATAATTGCGTAAGCTACTTGTTATTCCAACAAGAAAAAGGTTGTGCCAAACCATCTTAAAACTAAAAATCTGAGTACAGTTTCCCAAGCTAGCAGTTGGCACAAATTAAGCGAAAAAAAAAAAAAAGAAGGTTATCATCATTTCACTTTCCCTATCACGTTAAACAATCACTCTAGTACAAAACAGTTAGAATCGACATACATCCATCCGATGGAAGGTTTCCTCAGAGTCTGTTACAGCTTGCTGCTTGACTCTGCAAGGAAACAGATCCATTGTGCCGTCCAAGGCCAACTAGAAAATGCAGTAGGCTGTTGATAATTCCAAGCTACTTTTCTTTTGGGCAGTGGCATTGTGTGCAACCTTCTTCAGGGAAAGAATCGACAAACCAGTATAGCAAGCACCCAAAGCTGCACCTTAACCTATGAATAAATTTGAGAGAGAGGGAGAGAGAGAGAGAGAGATTTCTATGTTGTAAACAAATGGTAGAGCACATACCTTTTAAAATTGTAGGCACTGNAGCTGCACCTTAACCTATGAATAAATTTGAGAGAGAGGGAGAGAGAGAGAGAGAGAGATTTCTATGTTGTAAACAAATGGTAGAGCACATACCTTTTAAAATTGTAGGCACTGTCTTGGATTTCGGTTTGATGAAGTAGAATCTTAAAACGCTCCTCCAAAAAGCCCTATCACAAAAATGAATCTCAATTATTCTAGACCCCAGTTCAAAAAAAAAAACAAAAATGAAGAAAAAGAAAAAAAAGAGCTTATTCTAGAGTGTCCAAAGGCTGCAAACAGTTTTATGAAAGAAGAGTTTGTAGGTGCAAACAAATGACCTCACCTCCCATCGTTTATGTCCTGTACTTACTGGTGATAAATACCGACTTTCCATTTCCCTCTAGCAGTAGAGAGTTGGAGGCAAAACACATCAGGAATCCAACTGCTTAAGTTTCTCCAGGACCTGCTTCATTGATGGTCGAACAGAAAGTGTCTCTACGGTGCAGGTTGATGCCAGTCTTAGCATACCCAACATATACTCCTTAGGCCTAGATTCCCACAATTCGGATGGAAAAAATTCACAAGAGCGTCCTTCCTTGATCAGCCACTTGGCCCATGAAACAATATTGAATCCATTCCCAAACTCTGAAAATGAAGGATCAAGGGACTTTTTTCCTGACATCAATTCCAACAGCACCACACCAAAGCTATAAACATCTGCCTTGTCAGAAACCCTGCAAGTAGTCGCATATTCTGGTGCCACATATCCGAATGTCCCTGCAACATCTGTGGTTGCATGGGTCTCAGAAACTTCTAGAAGCCGAGCCAATCCAAAGTCCGAAAGGTAGGCATTAAGCTCTTCATCAAGCAGGATGTTGCTAGGCTTGATGTCCCGGTGAACAATGCGCGGAACACACATGTAGTGCAGGAAATTAAGAGCCTCAGCTATGTCAATGGCTATTTTGTGGATCACCGGCCACTCAACATTCTTTTCTGATCTTTCATGTATGAAGGTTTCAAGATTTCCGCCAGAAAGGTAGTTGTAAATTAAAAACATCTCTGCTTCTCCAACATAGTATCCAATGAGGGTTACAAGGTTTTTGTGTCTAATCTTTCCTAGCGTTCTTATCTCTGCATCAAATTGCTCAAGGCCTTGAAACCTACCAATGGAAAGTCTCTTCACAGCTACGAGGAAACCTGGGACCAGTTCTGCCTTGTAAGTGGACCCGAAGCCGCCAGTTCCAATGAGGTTCCGGATGCTGAAATTCCCAGTTGCTCTAACCACATTGTCATAATTCAGCTCAGTTGGAGCATCACCAAATGTGACGACATCTTTCCTTCTCAGGCTTGTAAGTGTAATGAACTTTCTTCTCCCAAGGATGACAAGAAATATCACTACAAGAATACAAAGTACAACACATGCGGAAGTGGCCATTGCTATTATAAAAGACTTCAATTTATTCCGATTATGCAACTTATGAACCTTAATTGGGACAGGAAGCCCAGGAGGGGCTGCTGAGTACTGATCCGGACACGAGTGTAGAAATTTGTTTCCCATGAAACTATCACAATCATCTGAGTGTTGAAGATGAGGTATGTTACCAGACAGGTTATTGAAAGAAAGATCCAGTTCAGTAAGACTGGAAAGCATGGAAAATGCTAAAGGTATCTCCCCATCAAGTCTGTTATGATCCAGCAACAAAATTTCGAGATTAGTGGCATTTGCCAAAGCCGCAGGGATGGATCCAGTCAGAGCATTTTGAGATAGATCCAAAACTAAGAGAGAAGTCAGTTGGCCCAGTTGAGCAGGAACTTCTCCTGTCAAATTGTTCTCTCCAAGAAGAATCCATTTCAGATCCTTCAGTTCCCCCAACTGACCAGGAAGGAACCCAGACAGGGTATTTTTGCTCAAGTCGAGATGTTGGAGGATTTTCAACCTTCCAATCTCAGGAGGAATTGAACCATCAATTTGATTATGTGCTGCTTTAAAATCAGTCAGGCTCAAACAATCAAGAAGCATCTCTGGGTATATCACCCCCGATATGTTGTTGGCACTCAAGTTGATTGAAAAGCCCTCTAAACCATTACAGTTTAAGAATAGCTCACCAGGAAGCGGCCCATTGAACTCATTATTGTTCAGAAAGAGAATGTAAGAAGCTTTACTGTTAGTCAGAAAGAACTCATTACCAATGGAAAACAACGGCAGTGAACCAACAAAGCTATTCCAACTGAAATCATGAGCAACAAAAAGATTGTCACATGAGTTTGATGAAAACAGAGGATTCATTTGAGATCCCCAAACAGGAATGTTAAAGTAGGCATTGTGAATGTCTTCCTCATCTAAACAATTTGGTTCTTGTTCATAAGAAATGAGGCTAAACTCACAACTGTCATTCCCAAATGCTGGAAGAACACCGGATAACGAATTTCGACTCACGTTGAAGTACATCATACATGAAACTTGCAACTGGGGAGGAAGGGACCCTTGCATACTATTGGAACTCAAATCCAAGAAATATAGCTTTTTGCACATAACCATGTTTTCTGGTAGTGTACCTGTAAAGTTGTTCCACCCTAAATTGAGGACTCTGAGCGAGCATGAATCGTTCCAGTTACCAGGCAAGCGTCCACCAAGATTAGCCCTGGGCGCCCAAAATATCTGAAGATTAGGAAGCAGCAATACCTCATAAGGTATACCTCCCTCAAAGGCATTGAATTCTCCTCTAGAATCGTCCGTAGATACCCCATCAGCAACCAAATTGGTCAAGACAACAACAGAGAGCCTCCAGCACTGGGCTAGCTCTTTAGGAATCCTATCGGTGAGGCTGTTTCTCGAAACATCTAGAACCCTTAGCTGAGAAATCAGGCCAACCTCAACTGGAATCTTACCTTGGAAAATGTTGCCATCAAGCAAAAGTGTCCTCAAATTGGAGCAGTTTCCAATTTCAGGAGGAATGTCATCAACCAAAAAGTTATTAGAGAGCTTCAAATGAGTTAGAAACTCACAGTTACCAACACTAACTCCACCGGAGAGCTGATTATTTGACAAATCAATCACATTCAATGTGCCAAAACCAATCAAATTACCTGGAACCGGACCTGAAAAGGAGTTATAAGATAAATTAAGGATGAGAAGAGAGGAGAGGTATGTTATCTGATGAGGAATACCTCCTGAGAAATTATTTCCTTGCAGCTCGAGGATTTCAAGAGAAAGAAGGTTCCCAATTTCCGGCGGAATCCCACCGGAGAATGCATTGTGAGGGATGGAAAGAATACGAAGCTGGGTTAGGTTTCCGAGTGAAGGCGATAGGGTTCCGACGAGAAGAGAGTCGTTGGAGGTGCCCGGTTGGGAGGAACGGGAAGAAGCGGTGATACGTAGAGCAGTGATGTTGAGAGAGATTACTCTGGCGGAAAGAGTTTCGCAGGTGACTCCGTACCAGTTGCAGTGATTTGTAGAAGTGTTCCAGTTATGGAGAAGGTCGGAAGGGTCGTGGAATATGGAATTCTTGAAGCTGAGAAGGGAGATTGCGTCTTGGGGTAGAGAGGTGGTAGCCTGGGAGAAGGAGAAGGAGAAGGTGAAGGTGAAAACCAAAGACAAAATCAGAAGGCAAGACAGGGCCATTGATACCGGAAAAAAATCGCAGAGATGGCGTGAGTGTCCAGTTTCTGGTTGAAGATGTTTACCTCCGGCGAGATATGAACAAGTAGATGCTATTCGGTGGGTTACGTACAAAGAGTAGTGGCCGGAAATGAGAGAGAGAGAGAGAGAGAGAGAGAGAGAGAGAGAGAGATTCGGGACGTCTCTTGTTAGGTTGAGAGTGAGAGAGAGATAAGTCAGAATTACAGTGAGAAATGAATAGACAAGAAAACGAAAGAAAGCAAAGACGGGTGGGTGGCTGGCTGGCTGGAATGGATTTGGAGCAAAATACAGGAGGAGGAGAATGGAATGGAATGGATTTGGATCTCTTTTTGTCTATCCCTCCCCCAAATGCCTTTTGATTTTTTGAGTATATATAATAATAATATTATTATTGACAACCAACCATATCAACATCATATTGAATGGGTACAAGAGAAAAGGTTAGTTATACAACTTATTACTAAATCAGATTATAGATTTAATGTTTAATTTGAAAATATTATTCGAAGATTAACCGTAAATGATTATTTTATACTAGTTATAAATTGAATTATTTATTTATTTTTTAATGAATTTTGATATAATATATAGAAATTAGTTGGATGCTACTGACCCTAGGAATGGATATGGATGGTATCGATGAGTCTCTCTCTCTTATACGGTGGATGGGATGGCAATGAGCAAACGTAACGTAGCCGGAGGCTACGAGACAAAAGAGGGCCTGCCGGCCTGAGTCTAAGTAGTAGTAAGTAGTAGTAACAAATAAACAGTATCCTCCCAAAATTTTAAAAATAAATAAATTAATTTTTAATAGAAAAAATAAATTCTTAAGCATATATTTGGGATGATTTTTCAAAAGTACTTTTAAAATTTATAACTCAATATTGTTTGAAATCGCTTCACCATCATCATCGCTGCCACACCACCATCACCAACACCGTCACCATTCACCACCATCATCATCATCTCATTTTTATATGTATTATCACTACTAGTCTACCACCATTACTCCACTACCGTTGTTGTTCACTGTTAGAATTCACCACCACCCACTACCATANAGAATTACAGTGAGAAATGAATAGACAAGAAAACGAAAGAAAGCAAAGACGGGTGGGTGGCTGGCTGGCTGGAATGGATTTGGAGCAAAATACAGGAGGAGGAGAATGGAATGGAATGGATTTGGATCTCTTTTTGTCTATCCCTCCCCCAAATGCCTTTTGATTTTTTGAGTATATATAATAATAATATTATTATTGACAACCAACCATATCAACATCATATTGAATGGGTACAAGAGAAAAGGTTAGTTATACAACTTATTACTAAATCAGATTATAGATTTAATGTTTAATTTGAAAATATTATTCGAAGATTAACCGTAAATGATTATTTTATACTAGTTATAAATTGAATTATTTATTTATTTTTTAATGAATTTTGATATAATATATAGAAATTAGTTGGATGCTACTGACCCTAGGAATGGATATGGATGGTATCGATGAGTCTCTCTCTCTTATACGGTGGATGGGATGGCAATGAGCGAACGTAACGTAGCCGGAGGCTACGAGACAAAAGAGGGCCTGCCGGCCTGAGTCTAAGTAGTAGTAAGTAGTAGTAACAAATAAACAGTATCCTCCCAAAATTTTAAAAATAAATAAATTAATTTTTAATAGAAAAAATAAATTCTTAAGCATATATTTGGGATGATTTTTCAAAAGTATTTTTAAAATTTATAACTCAATATTGTTTGAAATCGCTTCACCATCATCATCGCTGCCACACCACCATCACCAACACCGTCACCATTCACCACCATCATCATCATCTCATTCTTATATGTATTATCACTACTAGTCTACCACCATTACTCCACTACCGCTGTTGTTCACTGTTAGAATTCACCACCACCCACTACCATAACTCCCCACCATCCATTGTAGCCCACCATCGCTGTCAACCACTGTCATCCACTCTTATCAAACTTACCACCACCAACCATTACCATCCGTCATCGTTCACCACTATCACCACACATTGTCACCCACACATGCCACCACGACTGCCATCGTCATTCGTTACCACCCATCACACTGTCATTCAAAAACACTTGTCGTTACCCCCCATTATTGTTGTCACCGCCCACCACCACAACCCACCACAGTCACCATTACCATCGTTACCCAACCACCACCACCACTGTCAATCACTATCACGGTCGCCCATCACCATCCACATCCATAACCGTAACCACNCAACCCACCACAGTCACCATTACCATCGTTACCCAACCACCACCACCACTGTCAATAACTATCACGGTCGCCCATCACCATCCACATCCATAACCGTAACCACTATCACTCATGGTTGTCATTACTATCATCATCACTCAAAACCCACAACCATTATCATTGTTGTTACCCACGACTGTCACCATCACCACTTATCACAATCATCACCGTCTCTCATCACCACCACTATCACCCATCACTATTACCATCGCTCACCCCACTATAATCGGTTCTTGACTTCCTTTCTCTCTCATCTATATTTGTGATTTAATTTTGTGTGTGAATATAAATATATTTATTGTTGATATTTTTTTTATTACTCTATACTTTTAAGCACAGACAATAATTAGCATACATAGTAAAGTATAAGATATTTTAAATCCTAAAGATATAAAAAAATTACTTTTACTTTTTGCAAATTTAGACTTAGACTTGACCCAGACATGATTTGACCCTAGACCCAAAGCCGGACCTGACCCCAACCCTGGACCCAGACCCGACCAAGACATGTGGGTTGACCGAAATTGTGTTTTGATTGATCAAAAACAACACCTGAAACAACAATTCAAAGATTGGAGGGGCCCCGGGAGTTAACCCTTCGACACTTGAGTTAGAAAGAAATTGAGGATTAAAAATATCAAAATGAAGTTGAAATAACTTACCTTTGTTGATCTCTATTCTTCATTTTTATAGATTGATTAATTATGCCGTTGGGGGATTCTTATCCCATATTTGAATTGAGGCGATAATAGAGGCACAATTAAGATGAACTTTTTGCCTGAGTAGAAGTTTAATTGAGTTGAATTAGTCAATATCATGAAGAGATAGGACTATGTCAGGTTGAAGATGAGTGAGTTGGTGAATTGGCTCACGAAGAGTTGGCGAACTAGATCTTTGTTGAGTTCGTATTCAATTTCCTATCGTCAAGTATAATATTAATTTTCTTTTTCAATATTATTGTATTACGAGTCCTAGAATATGTGACACATGAATTCAATTGCTTACTTATGGCAAGACTCAAAGAGTGTTGAATTTTATAGTCCTTAACAGAGGTCACGGTGATTTGATGGTCTCCCCTCAACATGTGTTATGTGCAAGTTAGCCTTTCTAATATTTTTTTCTCCCAACTTAAAAACCCTAATAAGTCCATACTTTTTCAAGCTAATTAAAATTAAACTAAATGTTCCTTTTCTATGTCTTTCTTCTCTCTTTATTACGGATGTTGAATAATTTATTTTTATAATTGTAAGATTTTAAAAAAGATTTTAATCTTATTTTTTTAATTATTAATTTTTTAAGCAGGAATGATTTCTAGTTCTAAATAATAATATATACATAAACAATTAGAGAAAGGGCATTCTCACTTTTGAGGTTTTCAACTTTCAAGTGATGGTGACCTTTCTAAGGACTGCACCCAATCATGGAGTCCATGATCAAATTAAAAAGCAAACTGCTTATAGCTTTTCTCTCTCTCTTTTTGGTTTGAAGACCTTTTTTAGTGGGTAAGTACTGTCTCACGACTTTTGAGCCTTCTGTATCCCCCCTCCTACTGACAAGCAAGCAGCTATACATGCACAGCAACTAATTTTATAGAAAATTACACTCTCGCCCCCGGGGGATCATAACATTATCAAAAATAATCACCTTTTTAATTATTAAAAATGACAATAACATCACATTTGAGTTTTCGTTCGTAGTTGTATAGCAGAGATGGGTGACACGAAGATGAATGCAAAGATGCGAAGCTTGGGTTTCTCAAGTTTCTCAAGACGATGAGACATGGGTCAGGTCAATATAATTAAAATTTTTACTGTATTTGAAACCCAAGAAACCATGGGTTATGGGTCCTCCACCACCACCACCACCACCACGACTACTCCTCCTCCTCCTCGACAATGTGTGCGTTCCTTCCTGTCTGGTTCGCCCGCTCACAAGCAGTAAGGCAAAGAAAGATTGCTTATCTTATCACCATCCTCTTCTAATAATTAATAATTCAGCATGTATCTCTACAAAACAATTTTAGGGTTCTTGCATCAACCCTGCGCGTGAAAGCATTGGAACCGGTCTCCATGGGTCGAGTTGGTTTTTCAATGCATCATATAATAATAATAATAATAATAATAACTTGAAACGCACAGACACGAAACTTCTAAGACCAAATTATAAAGAAGAGCCAAAGCCAGAGCCAGAACCAGATAAAAGGAGCTTAGTCAATAGACTTGAGAATTTTTTCCACAACAGAGACAAAAAGTTTTAAGATCCTAATTCTGTGAAAGTTTTGTTTTTTGGTTCAGACCATTTATGGAGATATCTTTAAACCACCAATCCATCCCGCCAAGAATGGAAAAAGAAACTTATAAAATTAAGATCTTCTAAATAATTTTCTGATTAAGATGAAGGATTGTGTGCGTGCTAATTTTTGCACAATAGTTGAAATGAGAACAGATTTCTCCTACGATGAACTTTGGTTCGTCGAGAAGGCGGTTCTGACGAAATGAGAATAGGTTGAGAGGGACAAAGGGAGCTTGGGTAGTTGTAATGATTTGCTTCTGGGGTATCCGATCGACTCCGATTGAGATTCGACCCGTCGGAACGGTGGATCCGACAACAGATAAAGGGGTCTCAAGGACTGGTGATGAATTACTGTTGGGGGTGTCGATCCGGCAACAAGAAATGGATTTAGAGGGACAAAGGGGTCCTAAGGACTAGTGATGAATTGCTAGTGGTAATGTCAAACTGATTTTGAAGATCTATAAGAAATTCCTGGTACACAGAAACAGGTTAAAAGAGCGTCGGAGTGCTCTCCGACGTATCTCTTCCGATAATCAAGTCAGTTCTTTTAGAGAATGGATGANATTAAACTAAATGTTCCTTTTCTATGTCTTTCTTCTCTCTTTATTACGGATGTTGAATAATTTATTTTTATAATTGTAAGATTTTAAAAAAGATTTTAATCTTATTTTTTTAATTATTAATTTTTTAAGCAGGAATGATTTCTAGTTCTAAATAATAATATATACATAAACAATTAGAGAAAGGGCATTCTCACTTTTGAGGTTTTCAACTTTCAAGTGATGGTGACCTTTCTAAGGACTGCACCCAATCATGG